AGACATACACCATTCGAAAGGTAACCTCCTAAGATTTTAGCATGGCAAGTTTCAACTTTTTTGGAATCAAACTACGCCCACACTGGGCGAAAAACTCTGATATTATACTAGACATCAGTTTGAAAAAAAGTGAATTAGTGATGACGGAGTGAATTGACAAGACATACACCATTCGAAAGGTAACCTCCTAAGATTTTAGCATGGCAAGTTTCAGCTTTTTTGGAATCAAACTACGCCCACACTGGGCGAAAAACTCTGATATTATACTTGACACCGGTTTTGAAAAAAAAGTGAATTAGTGATGACGGAGTGAATTGACAAGACATACACAATTCGAAAGGTAACCTCCTAAGATTTTAGCGTGGCAAGTCTCAGCTTTTTTGGAATCAAACTACGCCCACGCTGGGCGAAAAACTGTGATATTATACTAGACATCAGTTTGAAAAAAAAGTGAATTAGTGATGACGGAGTGAATTGACAAGACATACACCATTCGAAAGGTAACCTCCTAAGATTTTATCATGGCAAGTCTCAGCTTTTTTGGAATCAAACTACGCCCACACTGGGCGAAAAACTGTGATATTATACTAGACACCGGTTTTGAAAAAAGGTGAATTAGTGATGACGGAGTGAATTGACAAGACATACACCATTCGAAAGGTAACCTCCTAAGATTTTATCATGGCAAGTTTCAGCTTTTTTGGAATCAAACTACGCCCACACTGGGCGAAAAACTCTGATATTATACTTGACACCGGTTTTGAAAAAAGGTGAATTAGTGATGACGGAGTGAATTGACAAGACATACACCATTCGAAAGGTAACCTCCTAAGATTTTAGCATGGCAAGTTTCAGCTTTTTTGGAATCAAACTACGCCCACACTGGGCGAAAAACTCTGATATTATACTAGACATCAGTTTGAAAAAAAAGTGAATTAGTGATGACGGAGTGAATTGACAGGACATACACCACTCGAAAGGTAACCTCCTAAGATTTTATCATGGCAAGTCTCAGCTTTTTTGGAATCAAACTACGCCCACACTGGGCGAAAAACTGTGATATTATACTAGACACCGGTTTTGAAAAAAGGTGAATTAGTGATGACGGAGTGAATTGACAAGACATACACCATTCGAAAGGTAACCTCCTAAGATTTTAGCATGGCAAGTTTCAGCTTTTTTGGAATCAAACTACGCCCACACTGGGCGAAAAACTCTGATATTATACTTGACACCGGTTTTGAAAAAAGGTGAATTAGTGATGACGGAGTGAATTGACAAGACATACACCATTCGAAAGGTAACCTCCTAAGATTTTATCATGGCAAGTTTCAGCTTTTTTGGAATCAAACTACGCCCACACTGGGCGAAAAACTGTGATATTATACTAGACACCGGTTTTGAAAAAAGGTGAATTAGTGATGACGGAGTGAATTGACAAGACATACACCATTCGAAAGGTAACCTCCTAAGATTTTAGCATGGCAAGTTTCAGCTTTTTTGGAATCAAACTACGCCCACACTGGGCGAAAAACTCTGATATTATACTTGACACCGGTTTTGAAAAAAAAGTGAATTAGTGATGACGGAGTGAATTGACAAGACATACACCATTCGAAAGGTAACCTCCTAAGATTTTATCATGGCAAGTTTCAGCTTTTTTGGAATCAAACTACGCCCACACTGGGCGAAAAACTCTGATATTATACTTGACACCGGTTTTGAAAAAAAAGTGAATTAGTGATGACGGAGTGAATTGACAAGACATACACCATTCGAAAGGTAACCTCCTAAGATTTTAGCATGGCAAGTTTCAGCTTTTTTGGAATCAAACTACGCCCACACTGGGCGAAAAACTCTGATATTATACTAGACATCAGTTTGAAAAAAAGTGAATTAGTGATGACGGAGTGAATTGACAGGACATACACCACTCGAAAGGTAACCTCCTAAGATTTTATCATGGCAAGTCTCAGCTTTTTTGGAATCAAACTACGCCCACACTGGGCGAAAAACTGTGATATTATACTAGACACCGGTTTTGAAAAAAGGTGAATTAGTGATGACGGAGTGAATTGACAAGACATACACCATTCGAAAGGTAACCTCCTAAGATTTTAGCATGGCAAGTTTCAGCTTTTTTGGAATCAAACTACGCCCACACTGGGCGAAAAACTCTGATATTATACTTGACACCGGTTTTGAAAAAAGGTGAATTAGTGATGACGGAGTGAATTGACAAGACATACACCATTCGAAAGGTAACCTCCTAAGATTTTATCATGGCAAGTTTCAGCTTTTTTGGAATCAAACTACGCCCACACTGGGCGAAAAACTGTGATATTATACTAGACACCGGTTTTGAAAAAAGGTGAATTAGTGATGACGGAGTGAATTGACAAGACATACACCATTCGAAAGGTAACCTCCTAAGATTTTAGCATGGCAAGTTTCAGCTTTTTTGGAATCAAACTACGCCCACACTGGGCGAAAAACTCTGATATTATACTTGACACCGGTTTTGAAAAAAGGTGAATTAGTGATGACGGAGTGAATTGACAAGACATACACCATCCGAAAGGTAACCTCCTAAGATTTTATCATGGCAAGTTTCAGCTTTTTTGGAATCAAACTACGCCCACACTGGGCGAAAAACTCTGATATTATACTTGACACCGGTTTTGAAAAAAGGTGAATTAGTGATGACGGAGTGAATTGACAAGACATACACCATTCGAAAGGTAACCTCCTAAGATTTTAGCATGGCAAGTTTCAGCTTTTTTGGAATCAAACTACGCCCACACTGGGCGAAAAACTCTGATATTATACTAGACATCAGTTTGAAAAAAAGTGAATTAGTGATGACGGAGTGAATTGACAAGACATACACCATTCGAAAGGTAACCTCCTAAGATTTTAGCATGGCAAGTTTCAGCTTTTTTGGAATCAAACTACGCCCACACTGGGCGAAAAACTCTGATATTATACTTGACACCGGTTTTGAAAAAAGGTGAATTAGTGATGACGGAGTGAATTGACAAGACATACACCATTCGAAAGGTAACCTCCTAAGATTTTAGCATGGCAAGTTTCAACTTTTTTGGAATCAAACTACGCCCACACTGGGCGAAAAACTCTGATATTATACTAGACATCAGTTTGAAAAAAAGTGAATTAGTGATGACGGAGTGAATTGACAAGACATACACAATTCGAAAGGTAACCTCCTAAGATTTTAGCGTGGCAAGTCTCAGCTTTTTTGGAATCAAACTACGCCCACGCTGGGCGAAAAACTGTGATATTATACTAGACACCGGTTTTGAAAAAAGGTGAATTAGTGATGACGGAGTGAATTGACAAGACATACACCATTCGAAAGGTAACCTCCTAAGATTTTAGCATGGCAAGTTTCAGCTTTTTTGGAATCAAACTACGCCCACACTGGGCGAAAAACTCTGATATTATACTTGACACCAGTTTTGAAAAAAGGTGAATTAGTGATGACGGAGTGAATTGACAAGACATACACCATTCGAAAGGTAACCTCCTAAGATTTTATCATGGCAAGTTTCAGCTTTTTTGGAATCAAACTACGCCCACACTGGGCGAAAAACTCTGATATTATACTTGACACCGGTTTTGAAAAAAGGTGAATTAGTGATGACGGAGTGAATTGACAAGACATACACCATTCGAAAGGTAACCTCCTAAGATTTTAGCATGGCAAGTTTCAACCGTTTTGGAATCAAACTACGCCCACGCTGGGCGAAAAACTCTGATATTATACTTGACACCGGTTTTGAAAAAAGGTGAATTAGTGATGACGGAGTGAATTGACAAGACATACACCATTCGAAAGTTTACCTCCTAAGATTTTATCATGGCAAGTTTCAGCTTTTTTGGAATCAAACTACGCCCACACTGGGCGAAAAACTCTGATATTATACTTGACACCGGTTTTGAAAAAAGGTGAATTAGTGATGACGGAGTGAATTGACAAGACATACACCATTCGAAAGGTAACCTCCTAAGATTTTATCATGGCAAGTTTCAGCTTTTTTGGAATCAAACTACGCCCACACTGGGCGAAAAACTCTGATATTATACTTGACACCGGTTTTGAAAAAAGGTGAATTAGTGATGACGGAGTGAGTTGACAAGACATACACCATTCGAAAGGTAACCTCCTAAGATTTTAGCATGGCAAGTTTCAACCGTTTTGGAATCAAACTACGCCCACGCTGGGCGAAAAACTCTGATATTATACTTGACACCGGTTTTGAAAAAAGGTGAATTAGTGATGACGGAGTGAATTGACAAGACATACACCATTCGAAAGGTAACCTCCTAAGATTTTATCATGGCAAGTTTCAGCTTTTTTGGAATCAAACTACGCCCACACTGGGCGAAAAACTCTGATATTATACTTGACACCGGTTTTGAAAAAAGGTGAATTAGTGATGACGGAGTGAGTTGAAAAGACATACACCATTCGAAAGGTAACCTCCTAAGATTTTAGCATGGCAAGTTTCAACTTTTTTGGAATCAAACTACGCCCACACTGGGCGAAAAACTCTGATATTATACTAGACATCAGTTTGAAAAAAAAGTGAATTAGTGATGACGGAGTGAATTGACAAGACATACACCATTCGAAAGGTAACCTCCTAAGATTTTTAGCATGGCAAGTTTCAGCTTTTTTGGAATCAAACTACGCCCACACTGGGCGAAAAACTCTGATATTATACTAGACATCAGTTTGAAAAAAAGTGAATTATTGATGACGGAGTGAATGGACAGGACATACACCATTCGAAAGGTAACCTCGTAAGATTTTATCACGGCAAGTCTCAGCTTTTGTGGAATCAAACTACGCCCACACTGGGCGAAAAACTGTGATATTATACTAGACACCGGTTTTGAAAAAAGGTGAATTAGTGATGACGGAGTGAATTGACAAGACATACACCATTCGAAAGGTAACCTCCTAAGATTTTAGCATGGCAAGTTTCAGCTTTTTTGGAATCAAATTACGCCCACACTGGGCGAAAAACTCTGATATTATACTAGGCAACACTGGAGACTTGGCCCAAGGGAAAGAATACAACATCAGCATTGTCCTAGTGATTCGGCCGGAGTTCAAAGGCTTCCTGACCAAAGGAAAAGGCGATCAGGGCCGTTCCCACCGCTCATCTCTGGCTCCGATCTGGCCACAAGACGTCGGAAGAGGCGGATGTGTACGACGAAGGGGAAGATTATCCAGAAGACCTACATGAAGATGAATGTAATGACGAGCAAGATTATGAAGAGCATGATGAAGAGGACTACTAGTCACGGCACCACCGTCACTATGTCGCTAACTTCCAATTGTCGTCCCATTATCCAATTTACATTACTCATATATTATAATATCATTGCAAACTATATTGCTTTAACCATCCTTCTCCAGATACTTCATCCTCAAAGCTTCGAATCTTTTCCACGAAACGACTGTATGCACAATTTATTCGCAATAAAATCCCATTTTAATTATACGTCTCTTGGTTTTCGATTTGCATCTCCATACGCATCATCCGAATTGAGGCCATAGAACGATTCGAGGGTTGAATTAGCAGTTGGCACCACTGGGCCACCTTCGTCGAGGAACATTCTTCGAACATTTTTTGTCTTGGTCGATCTAAACGATCTTGTTATAGTAACCATGACGACAAAGTAAAATTGCACCAAAAGTTGAAGAAAGGTGGCAAAAATTTATGAAGCGAGAATTTAAAACATGTAACTTGAAGAGAAAAAGCTTTCAGATGTCTAATTGTTCTATGCTAAAAGAGCTTCCTAAAATACGACCAAAAATAATATTAGAGATCCAAACGAAAATTAAATTGCGAGGTCCGAGACCTTGGGCCAGGCGAACGATTGTGTATCAGAGCGTAGAGGCAGGCTGGCGCAATAATCTCGTCGTAGCCGTCCGCTGGGAACAACTGCTTTGGTTCGCCGACTTGGCCAATCAGTTTGGTCCATTCTCCGTTTTTAACGGCGTCAAAAACAAGTCGAGGGATCACCACATCGCCGATTCCCAGCTTTAGAGCCTCTTGCATCTTCCCGAGAAGGGTCGACTTGGACGCAATTCAGTATTGGAAGAAAATGTACATACACGACGAACCCCGAAAATTCCGCTTGTTTCGCGGCTCATACCGCCGTGTTAAAGACTGGGATGTCGGTCATTTGTCTGTAAATCCGGGTTCTGTCCAAGACGTTCGTTCTCGAACCGCTTTTTCTACGCTATTGTGGGAGTGTTCCACAAAACCTGTTTCGACCAGAAGGTAGAACTCCTCCGCTAACGGCGAGAAAATTCTAGGGCCGCCAAGCGTCCCGTTGCCCAATTTGCAATGGATCCGAGGCTAGCCAGCCGGAGGAACAAGAATGGAGAGTGCCGCCCCTACGGGTCTGGAAGTCGAAGACATGGCCAGCGGATCACGGGAACTCGTTGACCACTGGGTGGTTGGTTATGCGTCCGGGACTGAATCCCTACCTTCGCTGTAGAATCTGCCATTTTTTGGCTTCAATACACAACTTAAAAGAGAGTTTTTTACAAATTGAAGCTTCTCATAACAAGGGCCGGACATTTCAAAAAAACGACCGACCCAGAATCTTTTGATATTTTGCATAGTTGTTGTACCATGATAGCTGAACGTCAGCACGAATTTTTAGTTTCGGAAATTACCGTATACGGGGGTTACGGTAGGTACAATTTTTAGAAAGATTGGGTTCGTATGTAAAAACCTTAAGGAGTAAAGGCACAAAACCTCGCCGTTTTACGTTTTTGACCATGGGGAACATTTTCATTATTGACAACTTTGCCGTGGGATGTTGCCTTCGACTACTTTGAAAAATACCAAGGTACCATATTGAATGTAACTTTTTTGCAGAGAACTTGTCTCAACTTTTGAAACCTCTCAAAAATACGTTGACATGTATGGAACAACATATCAAAAATTTAGAAAAATAAAAGGGGGGGTTTTGGAGTTACGGTACTTTGAATGTTGCCGGTACGGTATATCAAAAAATTATTTTTTTCAAAATCGGTGTAGAAGATCCGCAAAAATTCCCAAAACACGTTTTCGACCATGGCGAACATTTTTGTAATTGACACTTTTTTTGTAGGATGTAGTCTTCGCCTACTTCGAAAATGACCCAGATACCATGTGTAATGTAACTCTTCGGCATTCTACTTGTCTCAACTTTTGAAACCTCTCAAAAATACGTTGACACGTATGGAACAACATATCAAAAATTTAGAAAAATAAAAGGGGGGGTTTTGGAGTTACGGTACTTTGAATGTTGCCGGTACGGTATATCAAAAAATCATTTTTTTCGAAATGGGTGTAGAAGACCCGCAAACATTGCTAAAATACGTTTTCGACCATGGCGAACATTTTTGTAATTGACACTTTTTTTGTAGGATGTAGTCTTCGCCTACTTCGAAAATGACCCAGATACCATGTGTAATGTAACTTTTCGGCATTCTACTTGTCTCAACTTTTGAAACCTCAGAAAAATACGTTGACATGTACGGAACAACATGTCAAAAATTTAGAAAAATAAAAGGGGGGGTTTTGGAGTTATGGCACTTTTAACGTTGCCGGTACGGTATATCAAAATTTCATTTTTTCTAGAATTGGAGTAGGACAACCGCAAACCTTGCCAATATACGTTTCCAACCATGGGGAACATTTTTGTAATTGACAGTTTTGTTCTAGGATGCAGCCTTCGACCGGTTTGAGAAATGTCAAGATACCATGTTCAATATAACTTTCCGGCATTCAACTTGTCTCAACTTTTGAAACTTTACAAAAACACCTTGACATATGTGTAACAACATATCAAAAATTTAGGAAAATAAAAGGGGGGGGTTTTGGAGTTATAGCACTTTGAATGTTGGACATACAGTACACCAAACTTTTTCTGTGATGTTGACATCCGATATTGATAGATTCCACCGTCGTATGGCACACACGTCTCTAAACCGTGTCAATTGTTACAAAAAAATTACGAAATCACTGATCTTGCTGTTACAGTAACCAGTCGTCTGCGCACGATATGTTACAGTATGCTTAGGTCTAGTTTTTTTGATTTTTTTTTGTGAAAATAGTTTGTGAGGGTCGTACAACATAGATAAAACATTACATTTTGTTTTTAAAATAATCTACGTAAAGTTAAGCCGAGAATAAATCGAGGTGTACTGTATGTCCAACATTCAAAGTGCTATAACTCCAAAACCCCCCCTTTTATTTTCCTAAATTTTTGATATGTTGTTACACATATGTCAAGGTGTTTTTGAGAAGTTTCAAAAGTTGAGACAAGGTGAATGCCGGAAAGTTATATTGAACATGGTATCTTGACATTTCTCAAACCGGTCGAAGGCTGCATCCTAGAACAAAACTGTCAATTACAAAAATGTTCCCCATGGTTGGAAACGTATATTGGCAAGGTTTGCGGTTGTCCTACTCCAATTCTAGAAAAAATGAAATTTTGATATACCGTACCGGCAACGTTAAAAGTGCCATAACTCCAAAACCCCCCCTTTTATTTTTCTAAATTTTTGACATGTTGTTCCGTACATGTCAACGTATTTTTCTGAGGTTTCAAAAGTTGAGACAAGTAGAATGCCGAAAAGTTACATTACACATGGTATCTGGGTCATTTTCGAAGTAGGCGAAGACTACATCCTACAAAAAAAGTGTCAATTACAAAAATGTTCGCCATGGTCGAAAACGTGTTTTGGGAATTTTTGCGGATCTTCTACACCGATTTTGAAAAAAATAATTTTTTGATATACCGTACCGGCAACATTCAAAGTACCGTAACTACAAAACCCCCCCTTTTATTTTTCTAAATTTTTGATATGTTGTTCCATACATGTCAACGTATTTTTGAGAGGTTTCAAAAGTTGAGACAAGTTCTCTGCAAAAAAGTTACATTCAATATGGTACCTTGGTATTTTTCAAAGTAGTCGAAGGCAACATCCCACGGCAAAGTTGTCAATAATGAAAATGTTCCCCATGGTCAAAAACGTAAAACGGCGAGGTTTTGTGCCTTTACTCCTTAAGGTTTTTACATACGAACCCAATCTTTCTAAAAATTGTACCTACCGTAACCCCCGTATACGGTAATTTCCGAAACTAAAAATTCGTGCTGACGTTCAGCTATCATGGTACAACAACTATGCAAAATATCAAAAGATTCTGGGTCGGTCGTTTTTTCGAAATGTCCGGGCAATCCTTCGATTTGTAAAAAACTCTCTTTTAAACGATACAATGGCGATAGAAATGGCGCTTTTACGGCCGGATAACGAATAAAAACCCCACATTATCCCAACCATCCTTGCTGGAGCTATTCCCTCCCTAAGCATACATCCTACCCCTCTACATTATCAATCTAGAGAATGCCCAACGTCTCTCCGAGTATAAGTAATTTGGATTGAAAAACCCAGGGTACCCCTCACTTTCAGCTAACAGGGGAAGTACCCCAAGTGCAACGCTCAGATTTTGATGAAACTTGGTACAAATTTAGAGCGATTTTTTCTAAAATTTGTGCGAGAATCCTAGCTCGCGCTTTGCAGAGACAACCGATATTTTTAGTTCGAAAATTGGCGAAAATTTGACACTTTTTCCCGAATTTCGGCACAAAAAGTATTATGCCTATTTCTACCGTAGAGGGTAATGTTTCCACAAAAAATCAATTTTTTCCGCACGAAACTGGCAAAGTTATGAACAAAAATTGTTTTCTCTCTGACCGGTCTCCGCGTTTCGCATTCTCTCTCGGCGGCAAAGATCGTTCAATATCTCGGCTGCACTTGCAAAGCGCGAGCTAAAGCTTCCAGGAATTAATGCTTAGTCCATGACCGATGTGTGTGCAAAATTTGGAAAAACCTGAGCGTCGCACTTGGGGTACTTCTCCTGTAAACTAACAATGGCAAGCTACGAAACACCCCCTTTCCTAGTCGTTCTAGGAAGTGCGTAGGCATTTTTTCGCGGCGCACAGTGCATTTTTCTTCTTTTTTTGCACCGTGCAATGGCTGTCACGTGCCCAAAATGCGCAGCGACGTGTCTGAAAAAAGCCTACGTCGTTGCGAGTTTTGGATCGCACGTTGAAAAGGCCAAACGCACAGTGCGGAAAACTTGCGACGAAAGGCGCACGCACTTTCTGGAACGAGTTGTACTCCAACCTCCAAACGTCCCTCTGATACACGATTCAAACAATACAATGCCGACAGCACTGGCGCTTTTACGGCCGAACAAAGGAAGGATAAACAACCCTCACTTACCCAGCTGTTCTTTCTGGCCCTATTCCCCTCCTACGTTTGCATCCTACCCTTCTAAGATGCCAGTCTCCTAGGCCGAAAACGCCCAATGTCCAAGTGGATAGAAGTAATTCGGTCGAGCCACAATTCAACGCCTTTCGGAGCCAAAAACCAAAAGAATTCTAGGTACCCCTCACTTCCGCGTCCTGACGGTTCAAGGTCGCGACAAGTCGGTTCAAAGATACCGTTTAATATTTTTGCTTCGGGACTTGGGAAAAAGGATTTTTTGGAGAATTGGAACAAAATTTTGAACTGTTTTCGCTTCGGGATTAAATCCCGTGCTTCTAGTTAAACACATAAACAATGGATATGATTTTCTTATTCGCTCGCCGCTTATAGACACTATTTTCCTAAAAAAATTCGAAGATAAACCTCCATTCTCCAGAAAATCCTTCTCCCCAGTGCCGAAGCGAAAACAGTTCAAAATTTTGTTCCAATTCTCCAAAAAAAATCCTTTTCTCCAAGTCCCGAAGTAAAAATATTAAACGGTATCGCCGACCCGACCTGTCGTGACCCGATTTGTCCCTGACCCGAAACGCGGTAGCGCCCTCACTTCGAGACTAAACTATAAATCTCTAAGATATACGCTCTCTATCGGCCCAGTAATAAAAATTTCTTCCTAGGCTGCCCACCTACAGCATCAGCACCATTCAGCCCAATTCCGATTACTTACCTTCTCCGCCCCTTTCTCCCACTTCCCCTTCCCCTTTCAAAACAAGCAAAATAATATAAAAAAGAAACAAATAGATCAAATTAAAATCGTCGATTCTTCTTCTTCTCGGCTGGAAAGTTGCCTGGGCAGGTTTAATGGGACTTGAAGGAAGCTGTAAGAAAATGGAGATTAGAAGACAAAAAATCAAAAATAAGTTCAACAATCTCATGAGTAAAACAGGGATCTCAAAAAATTGTAATCATAGTGACTAAAATTCCGCCAAAAATAGTAGTCATATACTCTTGTCGCACTTAAATTTACTGTATCTCCCTTATTTCACATTAGAGACCAAAACGTCAAACCGAAAGACACCTGATGTCAGAGACAAAATAAGTGGGTCAAAAAACTGTCACGATCCTATGATTCAATTTTAAACAATGCTAATTTACTTGATCTTTGATCGGAATACCCCTGTAATCCACCAACGGAATTTAAGATCATAATAATAACCGCCACTTACTTTTTAATTTTCTTGCATTGTGCAGACTAAACGACGTTCTTGACATCCACCGCTCCACACTCAAATTCCTTCAAGCTTATACCAATTGCCATTCATACACAAACTTGGACGGGCGACCTGGAAGCAATGTTTTATTACAAATGGAAAAATTTGAAAACTGAATTTAACTCAACAACATAAAGCCTCTACAAATCTTTCATAATTACCACTAAACCAGACAATTCATAGAGCAAACAGTGCCTTTATCAACTTTTACCCTCAAAACGATCAAATATTACACCAGAGGGCTAAAAAATCTGTCATGACGACGAATTAAATAGCCCATCCTTATTTCAATTATTTCTCCGCCAATGATGCACCAATTTCTATAAAATTTATATCAAATTGAAGCTGACGTACCCCATTTTCTGTCCACCAAATATGACGGGCCCAAGTTCAAGGAGGCTCCCGTACTGACCCTTGACATTTTCATTCCAAATTTGGAGCCCGAAATCGGTGAAACTTTGAAAATTTTTACAATGATTTTCAATTGAGTTTTCGGACTTGGAAATTTTTTTGGATTTCCGGCAAAGACAAAGTCACCAGATTTGCGGAATTTTTTAAAAAATGTAAGGTTCACAGAAGTACCAAGTGCCTAACAAGCATATTTCAATCCGGCGAGGTACCAAATCGAATGAATGAAAACGAAAGCTCTTTTCTCATGCAACAATTTTTTCAACTACTTCTAGATGGCTTATTTAGCAAAAAACTCGAATATTTTCCAAGTCCGACAACTCAATTGAAATACATTGCAAAAATTTTCCAATTTTCACCGATTTCGGGCTCCGAAATTTGGAATGAAAATGTCAAGGGTCAGTACGGGAGCCTCCGTCAACTTGGGCCTGTCATATTTTGTGGACAGAAAATGGGGTACGTCAGCTTCAATTTGACATAAATTTTATGGAAATTGGTGCATTATTGGCGGAGAAGTACTTGAAATAAGGATTGAAGCTGGAGTAAAAAGTACCTTTTATCACCACTTACCCCAAAAAAGGATCAAATATTACACTACAGAGATTAAAACTTCACAAAGAAACGACTACTCCCACGCGTTGGATACCATAATAAAATCCGTCATGAGGACGATGTAGCGATCTACGTCTTTTGAATTCAAAATCAAACGAATTTCCAGCCCTAGATCAACCAAAGTTCCCCTTTATCAACAAAACTTCGCTTACCTCCAAACAATTGCACTGTGCATCCTCAGAGACGCCGTCCGTTTCCGTGGAATGCAGGGCTCGGCAAAGTAACTTGTTCTTCGCTTTCAATCAATCTAGCTTCCTCGTCGACCATAAAAAAGTGGCCATTCTGAAAGAAAGACGTATTAATCAGTGAGAAATTTCATGTAATTCATCTCATGAACGATATAAAAGTAGCACAATACCGTCATGACGACATGATAAGTGGCTAAAACTAGTCACTACTCCGTGTAAGATTGCTTTTTACGACCCCTTACATATTATAATCCCCTAAAATGTCCCAAAAAAGCAAGAAATTCTGACGAGGAAAGTACTTCTATGGGGTATGGAGTTACGGGTCAAGTCATATATCAAAAAATTTGCGAAATTTTTCTGATTCAGAATATGTAAAAATTAGCTCCATAATTTTGGTCTGTAAGGGTGAAAAAATCCTCAGAACTTTTCTCGCAACACCATGTAAATGCGCCTTTTTTACATTGGAACTACTAATTAAGGTGTAGTATAAATTAAATTTGCTATTTTGAGGCTTGTAAAGATACCAGAGTTTACTTTAACTCAAAAACAAGCTTTTGATTTGGTAAAAACTTGGTCAAAAATGCATTTGCGTGGTGTTTCGAGAAAAGTTCCGAGGGTTTTTTCACCCTCACAATCCAAAATTAGGCCGCTAATTTTTGCATATTCCGAATCAGAAAAATTTTGCGAATTTTTTGATATATGACTCGACCTGTAATTCCACACCCCATAGAAGTACTTTCCGTGTGAAATTCTTCCGAAAAATCACAAGAAACATAAGTTTCTAACATCCTTCCACGAAGACAAATGCGTATCCCAAAATAATCAATCACAAAACAAAACAGCACCTATCTAGAACTTGCAAGCTTTTAAACCCAGGTCTAACCCGTTTATACCCGTAAAAATCAGAGTTTAGAAAAACCCTCGTCTCTACCGTAACCATCCAAAGAATATGTCGTAATGACTGGCTTTTACACAGCTAAACGCTTTTTCACTTAGAATGTTCCTAGTGTCCCCTTCTAATGCCCGATTCCTGAATTGATCACTCCCAATTAACATACCTTTCTTATCTTCTGCAGACCTTCAGGACACCATTGATTTCTCCAACTTCTCCAGGGCTCCAAGGAACGGATTCTTGATGGTTTCCATGAAAATAGATAATATTAAAAATAGAATTGGCAGTATCTGCACTTAAAACAAGAATAAAGGCCTATGATTGGTAAAAAAACAACTTACTTTAATCACCAAAGCAGGCTTTGATGATTGGGTGAAGGGGAGGGAGTGGGAGAGGGAGAGGGAAGGAGGGTGGTGGGTGGGAGAGGAAGTGATGTGGCTCTTCTTTTTTCTGTTTTTTTTATTCTTTTTTTTTACTTTTTTTTCTTTTTTTATTTTTTTTTTTTTTTTATTTTCTTCTTTTTTTATTTTTTTTCTTTTTTTTTCATTTTTTTTTTATTTTTTTTTACGAATTTTTTCTTTTTTAAAGGTATCCGTTGCATGGGGCTAGGAGATATCTGCAAATTAAAAGAATAAATTGAAGGATCCTCAAAAAAATTGACAATAATCTCAAGCCCTCTGTAATTTCCTCAACTACCAATAAACCACGAAACTTACATTCTGAAGAGAGTGTGATGGGGGAGGAGTGAGGTGGGAGTGGAACGGAGGAGGGGTGCGGTGCGAGTGGGAGGGGAGGATGGGTGTTGCAAATGGAACGGGGTGTGGCGAGAGTGAAGACGATTTTTAGGTTCCTGAAAATATATACCATAGTTTGGGAAAAAACCAAGCAAACCAGGCTAAAATCAAGGGTGAAACAACAACTTACATAGCAAAAAATGGGCGGTAAACATTTGGGGTACGCAGTAAAATCTTGGAGCAAGACCTGAAAATAAAATAATCAATTGAAGAACCACAAAAAAAGTGACAACAATCCGAACAATTCATATTGAAAAACAACCAAAAAAACAAGCAACAACAATCTCAAGAAGAATTCCCTAATATTTCCTCAACTACCAAAAAAAGCCATCAAAACTTACATTCCATGATGTTTCTGTCGTTGGTTTGAGTCTCGGCCATGGTGCCGTCCTGGGCCGAAGTTGGGAGTGATGCTGTTGAATTTGCGTTGTTTTCCAAGGATCCATTGCTTTCCGGGATGATTTTCTGCAAATATTGATCACATAATTTGAGATTTAAAAAATACGCTAAAATGGTATAAAACGATAACTTACGTAGTTAAAAAATGGTGATAAATCATATACGATGAGAGGAAAATTTACATTAGGGGTACGGCAGTGAAATCTTGGAGCAATATCTGAAAATAGAATTATCAATTGAAGAACCACCAAAAGAACAATTGACAACAATCTCAAGAAGAATTCCCTAATATTTCCTCAACTACCAAAAAAAGCCATCAAAACTTACATTCCATGTTGTTTCTGACGTTGGTTTGAATATCGGCCATATGGTGCCGTCCTGGGCCGAAGTTGAGGCATAGAAAGTAGCAGTCGGGAAATGTGCTCCAAACATCCACTGGTTTGAGAGATGGGTCGTAAACAAAGGCGAATCAAATTTTACAAGAAAAGGATAAGGAAAAAATTATTTTTTATATTTTTCTTTTTTTTATTATTTTTTTTTTTTTCTTTTTTATATTTTTTTAATTTCTTTCTATTTTTTTTCTTTTTTTATTCTTTTTTCTATTTTTTTCTATTTTTTTACTTTTTTTTATTTTTTTTCTTATTTTTTTCTTTTTTTTTATTTTACATCCGAATAGCAGCAAAGAAATTGGACCGAATATCTGAAAATAAAAAAACATTAAATAGAAAAACAACCAAAAAAACAAGTAACAACAATCTCAAGAAGAATTCCCTAATATTTCCTCAACTACCAAAAAAAGCCATCAAAACTTACATTCCATGATGTTTCTGTCGTTGGTTTGAGTCTCGGCCATGGTGCCGTCCTGGGCCGAAGTTGGGAGTGATGCTGTTGAATTTGCGTTGTTTTCCAAGGATCCATTGCTTTCCGGGATGATTTTCTGCAAATATAGATCACATAATTTGAGATTAAAAAAATACGCTAAAAAAGGTATAAAACGATAACTTACGTAGTTAAAAAATGGTGATAAATCATATACGAATAAAAAATGGTGATAAATTATACATGCGAATAAAAAATAGTGACAAATCATATACGATGAGGGGTAAATTTAAAAATTTTTTTTTATTTATTTTTTCATTTTTTTTTTTAACTTTTTTTAATTTTTTTGGCTTTTATCTTATTTTCTCAAAAAATATATTATTTTTTTTTGCCTTTTTTTATTTTTTTTTGGCCTTTTCAATCTTTTTTGGCTCTTTTTTTTTGGCCTTTTAAATTTTTTTGGCTCTTTTTTTAGGCCTTTTTCATTTTTTGTTTTTTTTTACATATTTGCTTCTTTCTTTTACACCGTCGGTAGTGGGTAATGACGAGAGAGAGCATCTCTGAAAAATAAAAAAATTAATTGAAAACAACGTAAAACACATGTATTACATATGTTTGTGTAATTTTATATGATGAGGAAAGTACTTCAATGGGACCTGTAACTCGATAACCCATAGAAATCAAAATTAGGAAGTTGTCCGAAAAATGTCAACCAGTACAAAAAATCCAAATTTGCAAAAAAAATGCCCAAAAATTTACATCTAGTAAAAAAATCCATTTCGAACAAAAAATTTAAATCCGCTGAAAAGTTCTCATCTTGCCCAAAATTCCCATTCTGCCCGAAAATTCCCATTTCGCTCAAAAAATCAACTTTCCCCGACACATTCCAGCTTGCCCAAAAATTTTCCATCTTGCCCAAAATTCCCTATCTTGCCCAAAATTCCCATGCTGCCCAAAAAAATCCTAATTTTGATCAAAAAATCTTACCTTGCCAAAAAAAATCCACCTTGCCCAAAAAATCTATCTTGCCCAAAAACAAAACAACCATTTTGCTCAAAAAAACTCTCTCCTTGCCCAAAAAATTCTCCACATTGCCCAATCCATCTTGATCAAAAAACCCCCAACATATCCCAAAACCCCTATTTTTCCCAAAAGTTCCAGGCAAATTGACCTGTCCAAAATTCCACTTCAAAACCTACGGGGTGATTGATGGTTTCTTCCACATCCAAGGACGAGATGTACCTCAAGCAGTCGTACATGATCCGTCCGTCACAATTGAACTGTGCGCCCAGCTCCTTCTGGTCGTAATCCAGGAGGTCCAGGAAGCCGTTCGTTTGGCTTCGATTTTTCGGACCACTACGTCCTTCTGCAGTTACACGTCGACCACCTGGCGCAACGGGCTGTTGAAGTTCCAGATGCGACGGTTGATGCATTTCGAGAATTCGAGGCATTGGACGGCGGCCAGTCCACCGCCTCTCAGGGGACGCACGCATCCCGACATGAGCAGGTCCAGGTCGGTCATTTCGGTTTCGCGACACTGAAATTCCAACAAATAACGTCAAAATCACAAAAAAAAATAAAAAAAATCATCTAAATCAATATCACTTCCAAAAAATTTTTGAAAAATCCAAAAAAATCACCTGAATTTGTGTGAATCCCGAGGAAGAGCAGATTAGGGCCAAAATATGATCATCAGTCATGTTCGGGGTCAGTTTGACAGCTTCATGTCCATTCGTGAAGGTCTCGATCGACTCAATTGTAATATAAAAAGGTGGCCAAATCCGTCGAATTCAAGTAGCCATTGCTGAAATTATTCGATTACACTCTCTGACACACCATCTAGACACGAGAAAACCTCAGAGTTCAGCCAAAAAATATCAAAAAAATAGACTTTCAACCTTATACTTGACCCCTACTAAACCCAAAAAAAATTCCTTCAACTTTTCCCAAATTTAGCACATATTCTTTAGATAATCCCCAAATCCGTCCCTGAAAATTTTAGCTTTTACTTTGTATTGTATTACACAATCTTTCCGGCGGGAGAGAACGGGAAACGAGGAAAGCGGCCAGACAAAAAACGTGTTTTCCTCTATGTCTTCGCGAATTTCAGTGGGAAAAGATTGTTTTTTGTGAAAATATTCGACTCCCTGTAAACAATAGACACAGATTTTTCTGACAAAGAAATCTGATTCAAAAATAGGTATAAAAATCAAGTCTGACCATTCCCTCCCTAAACCAGATCCAAAATTCTGCCAAATATTGATCTAAACCGCAAACAAAAAACAAAAGAAACATAAGCTTACTTCATTTTCAATGCTTCGACCATGAATACCCGCTCGGACTCCTCAGTAGTTTCGATCCGGCAGACAATTGAGCTCGTGTGTAAGAGTCTGAAAAAGAAGAGATAATGTTATGTCAGAACAAGAAAAAACGCAAAAAAACGAAGGAATACAAAGCGGGATCGAAGTTATCGCATTTTTAGAACAGTCTTGATGTCAAGAAAAAACATCAGCTGCACCCCGAAACGAACTTTTTTAGTTGATAGAAATGGTTGGCATTCTGCATCAAGGAAAACTTTGCGGACAGATGCAAAATAAATTTGCAGAAACGAGCGTGAACCGTTTTGCAGAAGGTGTAAAAGTAAGAGAATGGCCTCTGAAGTTGGAGAATTGGTTACTTTAGGTGATAAAAGGCATCTCTTGGATATACGATATAAGTGTTTTTATGTTTTTTCGTTCTTTCGAAATTTAGGTATCGACCATGTGGTGAAGAATCGACTCGGAAACGGCATTTTAGTCCAAATTTGGGGAAAATGCTTAGTCAGATTTGTTTATGAGACCTTTCTGCAGGTCAGTGCAAATTTTTGCTCTACTAAGCTCCAAAAATCTCGGTTTTAGCTAAATTTTTAAGGGATTTGACTTATTTTGGCCATATTTATCACATTTGGAGTTCATAATACATCTATTCGGGTTAGAAGCCACTTTCTGAGCGTATTTTAGCATTCTCGACGGCATCAGTTCATAAATTGTTGCCCTTCTGCCTCCAGGATACTTTTATATTAATTTAGGTAACAACTTATTGAAAAACGTTTCGATTTTTGCGCCATCTCGTTGGGACATGGAACTATTGCGACATAACATACGTTATACAACGTTAATATGTTGTGTAACGTTGTGTTAGATGGATATATCTTTCCGGCGTGCAGTTGATTATCCCGAAATTCCTAAGCATGACTCCTAAACTTCGCAGGAGACGAATATAAATCTTGCTTACCTCAATTTCATTGATTGGTTCACTGAGGCCCCCCAGACTAATTCAGGGGGCGAGGGTTCCAGGTCCACTTCGGTCTGGACTGGCCTTGAACTGAAAGTGGGAAAATTATATTACTTTAGCCCAAAAAAAAGTAAAAAATTTCCGGAAAACAGAAGGAAATCTTACCTTATTGGTCTAGCCGAGCACCCGTAAAGTTATCCAGAGGGCCCCCCGCATGAAGCGGAGGGCCCGGGTGCTCCGGTTCGACGCGCCAGTCACCGGAAAAAAGGTGAGCACCCATGAAATTCCAGCGGCCCCCCGGGCTGATTCGGGGGGCTAGGGTGCTCCACCTTTCCCAGTTCATCCTTTTTAGGGAATTCTGAAAAAAAGGCAAACATAAATTCAACACGATAACTTACCTTATTTTAGTCCAAAATCACCAATATTGACCATAAAAAGTGGATGGGGCACCCTTTTTTTATTCCAGATGCCCCCCGGGCTGATTCAGGGGGCAAGGGTGCCGTATCCACTTCTCCACTCCGGTCTGAGCTGGCCTTTGATCTTTGGCTCCACCTTATCCAAGGAACCAAGGTGCATCATTAGGCGGAGCATGCGTTCTTCTGCCTGAAAAAAGATATTATTGAGGATTATACATGGATAATGTGTTTTTTCTTCAAAAAAACACCTGAGTTTGGTTTATTTCTAGAGGGGTTTGGCTTAAAACGAAAAAAACAAGAGCCAATAAACTTACGAGGCATGATAGAGCTCCGTATCGCCGCATAGCTACGGCGTGCCATGTTGACGACAAGTCGCGCCGGGGGCTGACGGCTTCTCCTTGGCCGTTCTGCAACGGGCTCGATAACTGGCCCGAGCTTTTCGACTTCCCTTGATCTTCGGGGAGGCCGGGGGACAACTTGGGGCGCAGGAGGCGGCGGTTGGTAACAACACCGCCTCCTGCATTTGGGCATCCTTCGCAGGGGCCCCGGGGCTTCATGTTGTGGTCCATGGCCTTCCATGACCTGATCCTGGACAGGGGGCGACACGACTTCTTCTTTAAGTGAGGCGACTTCCGCTGGAGGCTGGACGTCAGTGGTCGGCGATCGCGTCGTTCGTGTCACGGGACTACGCGAGCGGTCGCTTCTTGGTGGCCGGGCATCGGCTTCGGCATGACGAAGGATCTCGCTGAGACGTGTTTTGAGACGTCTTTTTTCTTCTTTTTCCTTCTCCAATTCGGCCATTGCCTCATCTTTGGCCCTTATGGCTTCTTCGAGCTTCCTTCCAGCCCGGTAGTTGCTGGTTTTCAACTCGTTTATGGCCCTTTGTGCCTCTTCCAGGTCATCTTCGGCCTTGTGGGCTCTTTCCATTTCTGAGAGCCACAAGGCTTCTGTGGCCTGCTTCGCCTTCCTCATTTCATCGGTCTTCCTTAGAAGTTGTCGATTCTCTTCTATTAACTCTTCCATCTTCGCCCTCAGCTTGGTCTTCTCTTCGTCTCCTGGCTCCGGCGTGTTCTGTGCCATCATTGCCTGATAGGCTTCAAACTCCTCATAAGAGGCGATTGACGGGACTCCATGGAGCGTGGAAGTCCCGGCGCTGTTTTCGGACGAGCGCGAAAACAGCGAGCCTGAGGTCGGACTAGCAATGCTAAGTCCTCCCTCACCCCCTGGGACGCCGAAGCGATGGGCACCCAGAGGGGAGCCCGCAACCGCCGGCGGGTGCTCGGCCTGAACGGTGCGGGCCGCGTTTTGGCCAGAGGCCTGGCCGACGGTGCTGGGAAGCACTGAAATCACCAAAATTAGTCAAAAAATAGAAAAGGTATGAAAACAAATCTAAAACTATTACTAAGGTCCCTATTCTGTCATATTCCCCCAATTTTCCCGACAAAAATTTTATCCTGTTTCTAAAGTAATCTTTTTTTGGTTTTAGGCGGAGATCCTGATGTTGACGATCCTTGATCTTGAAGTCCACGGTGACCGAAAACGGCATGTTTGACTCAAAATCCCGTGAAGATTTTTCCATTGCTCCAGAAAGAGTTCCAAGAATGTCGAAAAACCATCCAGTTTGAAGTCCGGTGACGAAAGCCGTATTAACCCCAAGAAACCCGAGCTGATTTTTTTGTTGATGGCGACCAGAAAGCGTATTTCTTAGTGGTGATCAGGAAAGCGACTGCACAGCGGCTCGAAAGCCGTAGAACACTGAATGACCCGAAGATCGGATCAAACGACAACGTGGAACGGGAGATCCTTCAAAAAGACTCCAGAAGATGAGATGGAACCAAATTTAAGGTGGTGATCCGAACCAAGATTAATTGGTGAAGTTCAGGCGCGAGTGGACAATTTCCGGATGATTTGGGGCCATTTCGACGTGGAAATCATGGAAAACGGGTGCTGGATTGGATTCATGGAGATGAAAATGGTCAGATTGGTATGTTGATGTTCAACTTCAGCTAAAATAAGGTGAGTGCAGGGGTCAAATGGGCGAAAATGTCTAAAATTTCTGTTTTCCTTCTATCGGTCTTCTAAATGCTTCATTTCAGATATTCATTAGTTCTTTGATCACTCCCAACACGATATTGATGTCATGAATAATCTCCAGGCCAAAGGAATCATTTCTGAAGGTTGCTAATCCAAAATTTGTGGCGAAAATTGAAAATTCCGATTGGAGACGGAGTCATGATGTAAAAACGAATTTGATGGTGAAGATGTTGATGAGATGGAATTAATGGATGGTAGAATTAATGAAACTCGTGGTTGAACTGAAGATGGAGCTGATTTGAAGTGCTCATGGCGAAAGTAGGTGCCTTGGCGTCCCTTTTTGTCATCTTGAAGATGTATTTGTTGATTGATTGGAATTCTCTGAAAGGTCCACGCGACACGCAACCGAAAATTCGACGAGCCTGAACGACGAGAAGCCAAGTCCACCTGGAGAAAATCACAGAGCACATCAAGAGGTCTTTCAACAAGGTTTTGACAAGAAAAACGAGGACAGTTGCCAAGAACACCATCAATAACGTCCATCCATGGACGAGACGAGCTCCCCACCCCTTGGAAATAGTCTAATGCGACCCTAAACCTAAGTGATGATCGTCGACATGGTCCAGTAGATGTTGTTCTTCAGCAATCAGACCAGTGATTCAATTGGTCCAATGTAGAAGGTACAGGCGATCCATCGTGTCATTAGGTGGTGTCTCACAGTGAAAACCCCGTTAAAAGTAACAAGAAAGGTGAATTTACATGGATAGTATAAAATGACGTAAGTATTTATTGTTATGATTAATACAATTAGAATTTATGATAGAATATTAATAATCCAATTGTAATGGTTCAAGTTTCAGGGCGTCAACGGAATTGGAAATGGACTTTTGACAAGGAGCGACGTTTTGAATCATCTTGGAACAGCTCCATGGACGAACTGAAACAGAAAGCAAAATAAAATTATTACCTGGTCCACGAATCAGATTGGAGACGGTGTTCGATGGCAATTGGAAAAAACACAATGTAAGGCTATTTTTGGCCGTGAAAAAGAATAGTTTAGTCTTTAATTGGGATTTTTGTCTCCAAAAATAATCCAAGTTACGATGTATGACAATAGTTTATGACGAAGACAGTAAATTATATAATAAATAATATTTTAGGTGATGTCATCATGAATAGTCGCTGGAACTGCCACAATCAACATAAATGATCCATCTTCGACCCGGATTTGGCTCTTGGAGGGGATTCTGGAGGTACATGCGGATGCTTGAGGCCATAATTTTCAACGTTGGACATCAATTCTGACATTCGGATGACAAATTTCTTGAAAATCCGTCAAAAATCTTTGGGGAAGGGCTAATTTTTGGAGTTATTTGGAAAGAGAATGAAGCTTCTAAATTAGAGTTAATTTTTTCAAAAACATTAACTAAAATTGACGGATTTTCCAGATTTTTGCCCTCCGAATGTCGTCTTGGATCTGAGCAGTGAATGGACTGAAGTTCTGGCCACCGATCGACTTCTTCATTTATGGGCCTTGGAGGGATGTCAGCCCAATCATAATGGGTATTCTGGGAGGCTGCGGGCTGGGATGTTGATGATCAAAAAGCAAAATTTGGGTATAGAGGAACTTATATCAAAAACAAGCTCGGAATTTTTGCTAGATAATGAGTGCTGTTGGCTTTATTTTATTGCCTAAAGGGGTGTTAAAAAGGGAAAAGGATTTTTTTTCCAAAATTGTTTTTTTTTCGAAAAAATGGATTCGAGTGTGTTTTTGGCCCGGAATTTTTCAAAATTTTGTCTAAAATACAGCAATCCATCTCAAAAAATGCCGCAAATCTACCCTTTCGGTCAAAATTTTGCCTTCTTACATCTTCTCCATGAGGCCTCTAAACACTGTAAAACGCACAAAATTTTGACTTACCGATCTGCCAGGTCTTTAATGGGGCGGGAATTGATCCATCGAGTGGTATACATAATGTCAAGGCCAATTTCGGCCGGATTTTACAGTATAAAAATAGTTTTTGGCGGGATTTACAGTATCCCCCACCAGCCAAATTGCCCCTTTTTGTGCAATATTTTTCTTGAATCTTGCTGTTCAAGGCCTTTAGGCCTTATTATATTGTAATTTTTGGCGGGATTTACGGTAGTAACCCACCAGCCAAAAATTATTTTGCGGATAACAAATTATATAATATATAAGGTGATTTCGCTCAAATTGAGCTCGAAATCAATTTTTTTGAGCTTTTTTCTTGAGTTTTTTACTTCAAAATTATCTTGTACTAGACAAGTCAGCGATGATATTGATATTTTTTTTTTAATATTTTTGTCCCTAAGCTTATGTAAGTCATGTAATTGTAAGTTGAGGTCTATTAAACTATTCAAAGCCGGATTTGTCATCAAAAGATCCAGAATTTTTCTGGAACTTTTGATGATAAATCCGACTTTGATATCTTAAAAGCTTCAAAAAACCCCAAAAAATCCCGAAGAACCCCAAATAATCCCCAAAAGATCCCACTGGACTCACCCGTCGACCCTTCTCCGACCACCGGGACGGCAGCATCGGTGGTGGAGGCTACCCCAGCTCCAGCCACCGGGACGGCAGCGGTGGAGGAGACTGGGGTCTTCGTCGTGTTGGTGACGGCGTCGCTGGAAGCGGTGGTTTGGTGGCGGGACATCTTTACAGAATTTCGCGTTGAACCAGGATAAGGGTATCGACCGGTGAATGAGCAAATTGCCAACGAAATTTTGGTGAATTTCGATATGCAAATTTCGAGTTTTTCGTGCAAATTCGTGGGAAAGTTGAAGGTTTTTTCAGATTTTCATTCATATTTTTTCAATTTTTTTGAAACGTTTCTTGCAACGTGGCGAAATTTCGGACGTTTTCGTGGAATTTTGAAAGCATCGGGACGGGCATGGACAAGGGGTTTTGACTGTATGGCATATTTTCGGTGAGTTTTGACAATTTTTGTAAGGTTTCTTTATATTTTGATGTAGTTTTTAATTTATATGTAATTTTAGATGGTTCCTTTGGACAGAGAAGGCTACATTTGATTCGAATTGCCGCAGAATGAGTTCTAGATGATGGGCAACATGGAAAAAGTAAGTTGTGTTTTGTTTTTGGATTGTTCGGAATTTAGGAAATTGCATCGGAGTCCCCCCGGAACTAGAATCGGCAAATTGATCCCAGCGGACGATTATGATGAAAAAATGGCGGGTCGATAGTGCACTGAACAGTCGTTGATTAATTGGAAGGTAACTGAGAGGTAGGCCTATCTTTGGTCGTATCTTAGCAGGTTATGACTGAATTGAGGGCACGGATTGTTAATGGGTGTTATGCTGAGGGTTTTTTTGAGCATTTTCGGGATAAATTTGGACTCATTTGAAGGTTTACTGTAGTTTGAGTGTATTTCAGGGAAATTCTATAATCCAGGGGCACTTGGACTGCTAGAATTTTGTTGAAAGCTTTGTTTAGAGTAAAGTACGGGGTTTGGAAGGTTATTTCATAAACTTTTATCAAGTTTTCACATTGTTCTGATAATTTTGCTTCTCACAGGGTCATGATTATTATAATTGCCTTATTTAGAGATCTCACGACGAAATATTCCTCCAGTTTTTCTCGATGGAGAGCCTCAGTGGTACCAACTTGCAATCTAGCCCTTGAATCTTTCATGGACTCAACTCGGATGATTTTTGCGGAGATTCAAGTTGAAAATTAACGGATATGTAAATAAAATTAGATTTTAATAAAAATAGGTTTTGAACACAGTAATTCTGCTTATTTTTACAATATTACACTTGATTTTGTTGATTTACACTGCTTTGGGTTCCATTCCCTTGAGTTCCATTTTGATTCTCCGCCTTGTCGCATTTACCGATGGATCAATCGATTTATAGGCCCATTTCTTGGCGTTACTAATTGTCGCGATCGATCCAGAATGTAAATTTGAATTTATGGAACCCTCAAGCTTCCTCGAACCTATTTTTCAACTTCTCAAACGTTTCGGTTTCAATTCCAATTGCATTTTTGTATTGTATTCGAGAAAATTGGTTTGGATGTGAAGTGTAATATAAAATTTGTTGTTTCTCTGTTTTTAGACGATTGAATCAACAATTGGATCAATTCCACGCATCAAACACTCGATAAGCTCTCCAAAAAGCAGCGAAAGGACATCGCAACCTTTTTTTTTGGCGCCAATTTCCCGCGAAAAAACCTCCGAGTCCAAACAATCTTCTCCTTGCCTTTTTCCCACTCGCCAATCGCTTTTCCTTTCGCGCATTCGATCGGCAAATGGAGTCGATGAGGACGAATGTGTGTTGCTTGCGAATTTCGAGAATTTTGTTTGTATAAATGCGGATTTTCTGACTGATTTTTGTTGTTTTAGGAGATGCCACCAAAAATGGATGGTCCATTGCCGAAAATGAAGACAAAACGGGTTAAAGCCAAACCTGCAGCGAGTTGTAAGTTGTTTCAAATGTTCTTTGTGTTGTGTTCGTGGTCTAGATACAATGTTTGAGCAGATGAATTGAAATTTTTGGGGGTTTTATATTGATTTAGACAACAGATGTGGGTCTAAAATCTTGATGGAACTTTGTGGTCTTTTTTTGAGGAAATAAAGTAAATCCATGCGCTTGAACGAATATAACAGGGCCTTCCCCGTCTCTTGAAGGGGTATTAAGCATTGTGTTTGCCCAACTTCTACTGGATTTATATTATTTTAGGCATCAGATGTGGACCTAAATTCTTTTTTAATTTGCGGCTGTTTTTTGATAAGTAGAGTAACTCTAGGGGCCGTAAATGATATTTTATATGAGTATAGGTGATTTTAAAGAATAATAAGCGTTGGGTTTCCCCAAATTCTGCTGGATTTATATTATTTTAGGCATCAGATCTGGACCTAAATTCTTTTTTAATTTGCGGCTGTTTTTTGATAAGTAGAGTAAATCTAGGGGCCGTAAATGATATTTGATATGAGTATGTGTGATTTTAAAGAATAATAAGCGTTGGGTTTGTCGAAACGCCATCAATTTTATATTATTTTAGGCATGAGTTGTGGACCTAAAAATTTTTTTAATTTTTACTGCCTTTCGTTAGATGAGTTAATTTAAAGTGCTGTAAACATGATTGCATGAGAGCATGCGTGTTCCTGTAATATTTCAGCCAGGCTTTTTGGCCAATATTAATTTTGTATTCGTAATAATCCTTGACTTTGACGAAATTCTGACCAAACAAGATTAATCCGAGGACATCAAAGGCTGAAAATTAACGCACACGCAGTTGAGTGCCTCTATTATCCGCTTTACGTTAGGTGTTTGCGAAAATATTACTTTTAATTATCCGAAGAATCGAAGATGTTATCCTAGACCACCAAGTATAATATAAGCCCGCTGGAGGGTTTGGAAACGGTGTACGCATGGAAATCCCACCGTTTCGAGAGTCCCCTCCCCCCGCGGCTGCTTTGAGCGTTTTCTGTTTCTTTTTATTTTTATGCCCGCAGGCGAGTTCGCTTTTCTTTTTTCGCTTTTTTCCTCCAAAATTCGTTTTTGTTTTCCGCAAATTTTTGCAAACCTTTTTGGAAGGTGTTTGTGGCCCTTGCGATTTATGGGCTGCAGGCTCTTCGGCGGTGTTTCAGGCGCGGGTTTGACCCGGATTTTTTATCGGAAATCGAACGAAAAATGATGAGTTCCCATGGGGCATATTTTTCGACTAATTAGTCGAAATTTTTGAGGAAAAGACCCGAAAAAAATGTTGAGACGTAGAGGAATCGGTCCAAAAGCGGGGAATATTCAATAAAAATGTTGGTTTAGCTGGGAGTTTGCTGAAACTTTGGAAATTTTTCCAATTTTGGGATAAAATTTGATACAAAATGGTGAAAAAGCTTTATAACTTGTGGATTTAGCAAAATTATTGGCAGTATTTGGTAGTAAAATCAAGGTTATAGTATGTAGAAAGGATTTTAGTTAATTTGGCATGGATTTGGAAAAAATTTTTGTTCGAATTTTTGAGATTTTTGGCAAAATCATCAATTTTTCAGTGTCTTTCTTGGAACTGAGCATTGATATGGTTGTAAAATGTAGTTTTGGCCTCTAAATTTTATTTTATTGCTATTAGCAAAAGTTTTGGCCAAAAATTATAATGTTTTACGGAACGTTTTTCCAAAAAAAACTATCCCAAATCTTTGAGAAAACACGAAAATTCCACGGAAACACTATCCCTCTACTCGAGATAAAAGTCTTGTTTTTCCACTCCGCTTGATAAGAGTGCAAAACGCGCTCTTCAGACGATAAAAACACCAATTAGTAGTAACAAAGGTGACACTTTTCATAACAAATTGATACTGCGCTTTTCTCGAAGTGTTTTTTGAAAAATGCCCCTTCCACGTGATGAGCGGCGAGACGAAATCGTCGAAAACGCTGTAACAAACCGGCCTTGAGGCTATTTTGCAATAAATTATATTGTAGTTGAGCTCTTTTTGCGCAACGAATGTATTTTTTTGAAGCATATGGAATCATAAGTGATGGTTAGATGGAAATTTGGGATCAAAAATGCGGCTTGGGAGATTTTAGAAGGGGTTTTTTTTTGAAGAATGGGGTAAGGGGGGAGCAAGAGAAAATTTTCGGATTTTTTGAGTATTAAAAAGTCGTATTGTTGGCTGCAACTAACTTAATTAGGTTATCTACCATGACTTAGGCATGGTAATAATTCCTGTAGAATATTTAAAGACCAACTTTTTATATTGTACTTGGCAAGTTGACCAAAAATCTGAAGTTTTTTTGGATTTGCTCCCTAAGATAAGGTAGTCAGTTCCAAATTCCTGTGAAATTCAATATACAAGCTATTTAAATCTGTTTTCACCAATGAATACTCTGAATTCGTAATGGTGCAGTATCTTACGGTAGAATTAAGTGCTGAAAGTTATTATTAAACTCGCCCCTCAGCGGATGATTAGCGGATTTTTTGACCAGAATAGAGGATTGTTTGAGGATTAGAGCCGCGAACGTAAAGGGAAAATATGGATTAGAATTGGTTTGAATCCCAAGGCTCTTCCAGTTGGTTCTTACTTTTAATAAGATGGTGGAACAGCGGAATCGAGAAGGTTTATTTTGCCAATGAGTTGGGAAATATTGAATTGACACTTACGAAAATTGTATTGTTTTCGATCCATGGAATCTTTGATTTTTTGAATATAACTTTTTATCATTAAAAAGCCCTCAGGCGATTGCAAACATCACTTTTTTTAATTTCATCCGCGCCGAATCAAGAAATCACCACTTTTCTTGATTCGGCGGGATTGAAATAAAAAAAATGATGTTTGCAGATTGCTCGAGGGCTTTGTAATGATGTAAAGTTATATTCCAAAAATTAGAGATTCCCTGGATCTAAAATAATACAATTTTCGTAAGTTTCAGTCCAATATTTCCCAAGTTATTGACAAAGTAAATCTTCTAGATTCCGCTGTTCCACCGTCTTATTAAAAGTAAGAACCAACTGGAAAGCCCTAGGATTCAAACCAATTCTAATCCATATTTCCCCTTTACGTTCGCGGCTCTAATCCCCAAACGGTCCTCTATTCTGGTCAAAAAAATCCGTTTAATCATCCGTTGAGGGGCGAGTATAATAATTTCCAGTCCTTAACACTACTCTCTCCCACTCTGCGGCGCAAAGTATTGGCTGAGAAAAGTAATGTCCCAATTGCAGCATCGGATGAGGGCCCGAAGCTAGAAGTCGGCGAACTGGTCTTTGCTTTGTGGTCTGACTCGCATTGGCCGGCGGTGGTGAAACAGGACCGCGGAGCGAAGGTTTCGATCGTCTTCTTGCCCTACAAACAGAGGGACCAGCCGTTCAACAAGAAGAAGGCCGACTTGGTGTTCGTGGAAAGCGCGGATCAGGTGGGTTGAGATAGTATCTCGAAAAAATTCGAGATTTTCAGCTTTCGTATCAAGTATAATATAATTTTTTGCGAACTGAGCGAATTTTTTTTAGCTCGTCTGCCCCGCAGACTGCACCAATCCCGAATACAAGCTGGCCTTTGCGATTGGCGCACATTTGTACCAGCTGGGGCCGCAAAAGTCGGCGAAAATCTTGACGACTCCGTTGACCCCCAAACAGCACACCATGGCCATGCAAGGCAAGAATATCACCTACGAATTCCTGGGCGATTTTAAGCCCGAAGGCGACAAGGAGGCCGCAGAAGAGGAGGAAGAATCCGTGGGACTACCGCAGGAATTGATCAAAACGTTCAAGGAAAACAAAAAATCGGACCTGTTCAAGCCGCGGCCGAAGCGAAAAGTGGGCCAATCGGAGGAATCGCCGGCCAAAAAGGTCTCCCGAACCATCCCGTTGAACGAGAAACTCTTCTCCAAGGACTTGAAAAAGCTGAGCGAAGAGGAAATGACCTGCTTGGAAAAGAATCAGGTCTTTCTGGCGGAGGTACTGAACCCATTGAATACGGGACTGTGGCCGGTTTTGGTAAGCGTGGAGATTATTTTGGGGAGGTTTTGAGGGGTTTGGAAGGGATTGTGAAAAATTTTTTTTTTGGGAAAACGGGACATCTTTGTAAAAAATCGAGAGTAAAAAAGCCGAAAAAATCGCAAATTTTTTTGGACGTAAAATCTACTACATCGCATACAAAGCTAAAAATTTTTTTTATCAATCTGAGGTAACACATTCCTCTAAATATTAAAAATTTTCAAAAAAACCCCAAAATTTTCCCTCAAAGAATTTGCACTGTGCGAGAAAAGCCAGAGTGCGAGCGACAGCCCAAAACAGTTTATTGCACGGTGCAGAAAGCCGAAAAATTGCACAGTGCAAAAAAAAACTTTTGTTTTTCGGCGACATGCACTGTGCGAAAACAAAAGTTCACTTTGCACTGTGCAATTTTTCGGCTTTCTGCACCGTGCAATAGCCTTTTTTGGGCTGTCGCTCGCACCCTGACTTTTTTTGCACAGTGCAAATTTTTTTGATGGAAATTTTTGGGGAGTTTTTGGAAATTTTTTTAATCTTGAGAGGAATGGGGTGCCTCAGGCTGGTAAAAAAATTTTGTAGCTTTGTATGCAGGGCAGTAGATTTTACGTCCAAAAAATTTGTGATTTTTTGGTTTTTTTCTCTCGAAATTTTTTGACAATTTTTTTAAAAGTTTTTTGGGTCACTTTAGATCTTGAATTTGTTATATTCGATTGTAACTTTAAAAAAAAGATTCAAAAATTTTTTAAGATTTAAAAAAATTTAACCTAAAATTATATTTTCAGGTCGAAGACATCGACAAAATGACCGTCCGTCCATTCGGCACCGAAATCGCGCCCAAAGTCGCTCAACTCTTCCATTTCCCCACCGAAGTTTTGAGCTTTTGCTTCCCCACCGACGACTCGCAAGAGCCGCTCAGCGCCGCCCTCAACGAAGTGCGCCTGCATCTGCAACGGGTCGGGCTCTACGACCCGCAAAACGTCTTGGAGCTGGAACAGGTCAACATGGACGCCCTCTCCCTGAAGGAGCCCGATCTGAACGTGGCCAAGCGCTCCGAACGCCAAAAGGAGCGCGAAAAGGAGGCGCGGATTCGAAAACGCCTCGAGTACGAAATGCAGAGGCAGAATCCGCAAAACGCAGCAGCGAATGTGGAAGACTACCCGGCCGAATTGCACATTGATGAGTCGGAGTGAGTTTTTGAATTGGGTTCTTGGAGAGGAATGAGGATTTGGACGAAGAATTTCGGTCTGAACTTTTTCCCACGCTTGTCGCCAACGCACAGTGCATTTTTTGAACTTTTTCCCACGCTTGTCGCCAATGCACAGTGCATTTTTGAACATTTTCCCACGCTTGTCGCCAATGCACAGTGCGTTTTGAACTTTTTCCCACGCTTGTCGCCAATGCACAGTGCATTTTCGAACTTTTTCCCACGCTTGTCGCCAATGCACAGTGCATTTTTGAACTTTTTCCCACGATTGTCGCGAATGCACAGTGCATTTTTGAACTTTTTCCCATGCTTGTCGCAAACGCACAGTGCATTTTTTAAGTCGCCAATGCACAGTGCATTTTTGAACATTTTCCCACGCTTGTCGCCAACGCACAGTGCATTTTGAACTTTTTCCCACACTTGTCGCCAATGCACAGTGCATTTTTTTCTTTTTTTTTGCACTGTGCAAACCATAAAAAAACCGATTGCACTGTGCGAAACTTTTTCTCACGCTTGTCGCCAATGCACAGTGCATTTTTCTGGTTTCGTGGACCTGAAAACCACAAAAAAAGTCGATTGCACTGTGCAAATTCTTCAGCAAAACCGCGACGGACGGCACTGTGCGAAAAAGCTTACGTCGCGGCGATTTTTCTGATGCACGGTGCGAAACCAAAGAAAAGTGGAATGCACGGTGCAAAATTGGGGTTTTTGTGCACGGCGAGGGGCATGGCAAATGTCCATGCACTTTATGAAAATGGTAATGTAAGGGTGTGGTAAGAGGGGACCACATTTTTTTTGTTTTTTGCGACTGGTAAAGATTTTTTTGTTTGTGGCTGGGAGATTGGGGAAAATCGAAAAAAGGGTGTGGTAAGAGGAGACCACAAAAAATCGTAATTTTGAAGCGTTGGAAGTGAAGTTTTTGGGGGGAAAAGTGGATTATGAGGAAAAATAAAGCATAAAATAGGGTAGGGTAAGAGGGGACCAAATTTTTTTTTGCTTTTTTTGTCAAAAAATGTCAGTAAAGGTCCAGCAGGCTTCTCTTGGAAGCTTTGTTATGTTTTGTGACGCTGAAAATTTTGGAATTTTTGATGATTTTTTAGATATCCATAAAATTTTTTTCAATTTCAGGTTAATCCAGCACTGCACGGACCCGATCCTCCCCAACCTCCGCATGACCACCGCCGACATGATCGGCACCGTGATCAACACCCATTTCGAGAGCATCTGGGCGGGCCAGGCGCCCATTCCGCACCTGAAACGCCACCAACTCTTCCTGCACCACGTGTTCTTCACGAAGCGGTGCCACATTTTCCCGCGAACCGAGGGCTGCTCGGCCGATTTGTACGGCCTGGTGGACTCGGAGCTGCTGGAGAGAATGTACGACGAATACATGGGCATGGTGCGGCTGGCGAACAAAATCCCGAGACTCACGGAGCTGGAAAGAAGCAAGTACATTATGCAGGTCATGTTCCCAGAAGCAATCGAGTTTGCGGTCGCAAAAAAGTTCGGCATGGACACGGAAACGGTCGAAAAGTTCTTGGCGGCATGTGACAGAGTCGTGAGTGCGAGGGAAATGAGGTAAGGAGGAGATTATTTTTTTGCAATAGTAAGGGGGGACCAAGGGAAGTTTTGGAGAAAAAGTTGGATTTTTTGAGGCAATTGTGGCTCGGTAGAGGATTTTATTAGGACCCGTGTGATGTTTTTTGTTTGGGTTTCAATTGGCTATTGAAATTTGGACGAAATTTCAAATTATTGATTTTTTGACGAAGTGTCAAAAATTTATTGGATTTTTTGAAAAAGCCAGCAAATGTAAAATAACCACTGTAAAGGCGTTTAGAATGTTATATACTGAAATTGCAAGGCCCGAATCTTATAATAAGACAAAAAATTTTGAGATTTTTTGATTTTTAAAAAAAAAATTTTTGTGTCTAAAATTAATTTTCACTGATTTAAGAATCGATGACCCTCTTGCGCTAGCCGAGATCAACTCCCTCCTCACGAAAAATTGCCCAACCTTCTTCACCGACACCCACGAACAGGAAAATCGTGCCGAATCGACCGAAAACTCGCCTCCAATCTTTCTCAAGTCCGATGTTGAGGCGCAATAAGCTGCGACTTCTACTCAGCGTATAATATTGTCGACAAATAAGGGAAATTTTTTTTGGAAAAGGAAAAATTTTTTTGGTCAAACAATTCGCTATGCGAAATTTGACCGCATTTTATATGGGTCTTTCTTTGATCTCATGGAACAGAAATTGAAAAAAAAATTTCCGTTCCAAATATTTTGCGTTTCACTAATTTTTTATAAAAATACCATTACATAATATTGTTGTTTCATCGCATTTTTTTTTGGTTTAAACCAGTGATTTCACTCCATTTTTTATTTGTATGTAATAAAATTATCAGAACCAAAAAATTTGAAACGTTAAATTTATTTTTTATTAGTTACGAAATGACTTGATACATATTCAATTACGCTAAAATAAATATAAATTCTCGGTTGGGAAAAAAATCACATGATTTTTGCTCTAAATTTGTATCGAAAATTTGGGTCGATACAGTGAAAAAATTTGAAATTTTTTCGTATTTAAAAAAAATTTTAAAAAATTTTAATTTCAAAAAAAATCAAAAAATTTCGTTCAAAAAAAATTTCAAATCCTTTCCGCATCATTCCCAGCCTCCAAAAAAAAACTTTTATCCACCTTTTTCTGGCATCTTTATGTCAAAAAAATTAGTCCTTTTTGAGTTTGGGTTTTCGCACAAACTCCTCTCCATTGAGGTAGATAAACGCGGCGAACGCCAAGAAGATGACGAACCAGAAGATGGTGGCGGTCATGTTCTCGGAGATGAGGACGCACAGCAGGGTCATGGCCATGGAGAAGACGGCGCCCACCACCGCGAAGCCGTTCGCGTCCCAGCTGACCAGTGGGCGGTCCAGGTCTTCGGGGGCGCCCATTTCGGGCAGTTTGTAGTAGCCGAGCAGGAGATTCATCGCGTCCTAAAATGCGGGAAAATTGAAATACTCGGTTTTAGGGTCAAAAAGGCCTGAAAATCAATTTGAAAACGGGAATTTACGTGGGCACATTTTATACGATCAAACATGTTTCATCGTATAACATGTCCAAAAAAACTTTCGATACGACTGAAACTTTTGGGAATTGATTTACGGCCTACAGAAAAAGTTTGTGGAAAATTTGAAGTAAATCTGAAAGTAGATCTTTGAGAAAACTTACTTTTTTATCACTTTTTTCTAAGTTTTCTCAAAGACCGACTTTCAGATTTCCTTCAAATTATAAACAAACCCTTTCTATAGGCCGTAAATCACTTCCCAAAAGTTCCAGCCATATCGAAACTTTTTTGGACATGTTATACGATGAAACATGTTTGATCGTATAAAATGTATCCGCATAAATTTGAAACAAAAATGGCAAAACCCATCATTTTTTCTCCTATTTCCGAAGACACTCACCAATTTATATCCGTCAGTAAAGTTGTTCTTGTAGTACCTAGTCAATGCGTTGATTCCGTCCTGGACCGCACCGTGCGTGGTCCTCTTCCCCACCCGTGTGTAATCCGTTTTCAGGGCGCCTGTTCCAGCGTATTGTCGGCTGATTTCGTCGCCATTATCGGCCCATACTGGAAAAAATCAAGAAATAAGTGATGAGAAAAATATTTGGCGAAATTTCGGAAAAAATCCCAATTGTTTCTGCATAACGCGATTCGTAAATTACGCGTAAATTGGAATAGAAAGTTCCCAATTTTAATTTCATTTCAGTGTAATAAAATCCTGGAAAAAATCGCAAAAAAAAACATTTTTCCATCAAAAATCGGTTGTTTCTGCATAACGCGATTTTAAAAATTCGGATATTCCTTTAAAAGTCTAATTTTAACTTCATCCCGTGTAATCAGAACCTCAAAAATTGCAAAAAAATCCGCTTTTTTGAATCAAAAATCTCTTTTGTTTCTGCATAACGCGATTTCAAAATTTCGCATACAGCTTCAAAAATTCAAATTTTAATATCACCTAAGCGCAAACAAAACCAGGAAAAATCCAAAAACAATTTTTCAACCAGAAATCTCTTTTGTTTCTGCATAACGCGGTTTCCCAAAAACTAAACCTACAATTTCTAAAAACAAAAAGGAATGTGTCGAAATGGTCCAAGTCGTCTTGTTCGGCGAAGATTCCCAGATGAATCAATTGATCTTTGAGGGACTCTTTGGCGATCATCGCTTGGGCCACATTGGTCCGGTCGAGGCAGTCCATGCAATTCGTTCGGAAGAATCCCTTTTGTTTTCGGTTTTCGGCCGACGAAAAGAACCCAAACTCTCGGAGGAGCGGCTTCAGCGTGTCGCGGAGGAGGCTGAGCCGGCTCCAGTTCAAATTTTTGCATTCCCGATGGAAATCGAATGGGATGTAGCGGACAAAGTCGAGGGAGGCCTGAAAAAAATTCAAAAAAAAAAATTCTTTTTTTTTTTTTTTTTTTTTTGATTTTTACGCCGAAAAATGTTCAAAATTCTTTTTTTAGCGAATTTCAATTTGAAATCACCACAAAAATTTTTTTCTCAGAAATTTTGGAAATGAAAAAAAAATAAAATTTCCAAATTCCCGGAGGCTATTTTAGTGGAGAAAAAATGGGTTTTTTGGCTCTAGTAAAAAATAAAAAAAAAATAATTTCCTCCGCTAAAACGGCAATTCGTAAATTTTTTTTTCATTTCCAAAAATTTTGATAATTTTTTTTCAGCATTTTCAAATGATTTTTTTGGCTCCACAGAAGGTAAAAAATAAAACAAAACGAAATTTCCACCTAAATACCCTCCGGCAATTCGTAAATTTCATTTTTTTGCCAACATCTTCCCCAAATGAAGTGTAGCCAAAATTTTTCGCACTTTACTTTCAATTCTCGCCTACAACCTCATAAACCCCTCCAAAATCGCCCTTTCCAACTTTTCCAAGCCCTCTCACCTGCAACGAAACTCTGGCCAGCTCTCCTCCAACACTGTGCTCTCTCCCCTTTTGGTTGACCAAATTCACAATAACGTGGGTTCCTCCGTACCTCCTCCTGAGTTCTTTCATATGGCTAACAAAGGCTTCGGTCTGGTCGTCCTGCGGCCGCATGTACGGCTGCGGTTGCCATTTGAGGTTGGGTTTTTGGCTCCAAAGCAATGGAATTGATCCGCGAAGTTGAAGAAGTGATGTCCAGCGTCGAGTCTCCACTCTCCCACCATTATCGAACTCTATAATTTGCTCAGTCTCGACAAAATTAGCGGACGACCCATTCGCGTCCACTCCGCGGACGATAAATCGGACACCCGGACTGAAATTATATTATCCATGAGATGGGTGTCTAAAAATCGAAAAAAATAATATTCAAAAAGCTCGTACCGTTCGATGGGCCTTCTGGATATGATAACCAGCTTGAATGCATGTCCTTTCAAGAAACATTCGCGAATTCCGACGAACCCGTGGATTATGGGAAGACAATACTTTTGAAGCTAAAATAAGGTCATAAAGTAATTCAACCGAGGTAAATCACTGACTTCTGCACGTCGACTCAACGGAGAGATCAGATAGTTGTTCCAGAGGTACCAAACAGCCGCCTGAAAACAAAAAAACAAACATTACAGCACAAAATTATATTAGACTAGACGTCCATCAAAACAAAAGTCCAAAACTCACTCTATCATAGAGCGCTCGATCCCTAAAATCGGGAGAAGAGTTCTCACTGAGCCATTGCATTGATCGACTCAAATCATAGTCATAGGAAAAGTAGAAACCGCGTTGATTCAACGCACTCTTCAGCATGTCCACATAGACATTATTGAAGCTCCGCTGGCGCTGCGTGAGATGCATTTGACCGATCTGATAGGGAATAGCCTCCGACTGGTCGGCATGGTAAATCTCAGAGCCATTAAGAATCCCAATAATCGATGCTTTGGTAATTACACACAGATAATTCCCACCAAGCAGAGGAATAATGCCCCAAAGTCCGTAGATGGCTTTTACTTCCGCTTGAGCAATTGGAATTGGATTCTTGGCATTGCCTAGAATATTTGGCCTTATATAGGAAGCAAAAATCCGAAAGAAAAATTCAAAACCAGAGGATTTTGAGCGTTATACTAGCTGAATCTGGTCATTCGCCAAGAATCGTTCTAAAAACAGAAAAACAAAAATAATAAAGGACTTACTGAACAAATCCACCTCATTTGTGATTCGGTCAATCCGCAGATAGTTCTCTCCGACCACGGAACCGTCTTTCCGACGTGGCTCAATGCAAAACAAATCTGGTGTTATGTACCTAAAGGAAAACACAAATTATGCGGCGAAATTCTAACCCAAAACGCAAAAACTGAAAAAAACTCACAGGTTATACCGTTCGTAAACCTCGAACGGCATTTTCGCCAACTCAGGCTGAGAAACGACGCAAGTCTGAGGGAATCTTCGGCCAGATAAGGATCTAGAACCACCAGTCGAAGATCAGTCCACCTAAAAATGTGAATTTAACTTAAATCGAAAAACGATTAAAGGCTCGTCGAAGTTAAACCCTGATTGAACCGAAAATGGTCGCGCGAGACAGTAAAATAACTGAAGAAAGGGGGGCTGAACATTAAAAACAAGTGTAATATCGGAAAAGCAAATTCTCCGTTAAAAAATGGAAGTGGGTCGAAGCGGTCAATCAAAACCAATTTTTTATGCTCTTTTACATACTTTGCGATAAGGATTTGTGTTCCAAAACAGCTCACCTTACAAATCAGACCAGAAAATAGAAATCCAATAAAAGTTGTGACACTTCGTTCAGTCTCCGATAATTCCGTGACACTTCGTCTCACGTCGGAATGGACGTGAAGAGCAGACGAAACGTGGAATCAGAAGCAATAGCCGGCCGGATGCGAACATAAAAAACAGCGTCGCAACGTAGGAAGTCTTTTTTTCGCGTTGCGCTTATCGAGACATCAGGGGAATGGGAAGCGGGTGGGATAAACCGGTTTTTGGACGACTCTACGTGTGGATCTGCGTCGGGTTCCCTTTGCCACAGCGGTTTTTTGATGTGGTTATGAATAATTTGGCTGATGATCTCGTTTATGTGGCGGCTTTATTCGATTTTTATATAGATTTAGGTATTTTTTGATATTACACGTCTCTTTAACATCTAAACCTTGATTTTTTCGTGTTGTACTTGATGAGCTTTACCTTTTCTGATATATTATTGCCTACTCTCTCTATCCAGCCTTTTCTAGGTTGTTTGAAGCATATTTGAAAAGAGATTTGATCTCTTTTCAAATTAACAGATTACAAGATTTACTCGCTTCTCGACTATTTCACCGGAAAGAAGAACATGGAAGATGTGGAGCTGAGGTCGAGACAACGTGTACAGAATCCGACAACATCGACAGAACCCTTTGTAGATGAGAACAAGGGCTATGTCGATCACAAAATTCATGCCAGTGATACACTACAGAAGATTGGGTTGTTCTACTCTGTTCCGGTATGATTTTACTATTGTTTCTGCGATTTTTAGGAACCCTCTGATGTCAGCTTGGATTTGCCAAGTCTTTTGTTCATGAAGTTTTTAAAATTCTTGTCGAAAATTGGGTCGATACATTATCTATGCCTAAAACAAGATAAACCTCAAAGAAGTTCGTTTGAATATGAAAATCAAGTGTTTCAGGTTGCTGAAATCAAAAGATCCAACAATATCATTGCTGACCAAGACATCTATGCCCTCAGATACGTGAAAGTTCCCATCCCAGGGCTGCGTCTTCATTATTTGAACGAACTCCACAAAGAGCAGACCGGATATTCGTTGATAAACAATGATGGAATTGCCGAACCAAGAGTCTCGACGCTACGGGCGCCTAGTGAAGGTGAGAATAATCAAAAATTTGTGTAAGAGATGAAATAAATTTTTATATTGTTTTAGAGCCACTTCGGACGATAAATTCAAATGATAAGACCCCTCTGATCCAGGATTCCGATGAAGATGATAGGTGGTCAGGAAGTCAACCAGACTCAGCAAAAGAGCGGATCGACAAACTACTCGGCAAAACCGATAAAACGGTAGCGGCGGTGAGGTCGCAACTTCCCCCATCCCCAGCGCTCGAAGATGGCTCTCGATTCCATTTTGTGAACGCTTCAGCTCCCGATAACGCATTGAAAGGTAGGAAAATACCATGACTGAAGCTTCAGTGAACTTTTTCTACCCATTTTATGCTTTTTAGTTAGATTTTTCCCCAATTTTTCGCAATTTTAGTACTTTCAGGGACCATTTTTCTGATTGTTGGTGTCCTCTTGATGTTTGTGGTGATCCCACTGATACTAACGCTGATGGAGGAGCGAAACGAAGCCGAACTCGAGCTCAGACATCAACATCAGCGAGAACATGTGCATCACGCGCATGTTTCATCGACTTGAATATCAATTATATTATCCATAGTGCAAGTAGATTTGATATAGACAAGGTGATGTGGATTGGCTTTAGAAACCTTTTTCCTGTCTATTACTTCAAGTTAAGGCATACTGCATCAGTTTGAACAAAAATTTTGTTGTAATTTATATTAATTTATGTTGCACTCGCTTCCAGTGTCTAGCCGGGTCTTTCTTCTGTCTATAAATACATTGCCCATGAGTTTACAAGCCCATAACAACGAATTATTCCACGTGGTAACCTTCTAGAAACATTTTTGACCAACGAAAATCACCCATATCTTAGTTATTCCCACATAATCGATCAAAATTTTTAATAAAAGCTGATATTCGTGACATGGAATGAATGAATTTGTTAGTACCAGTAATTAGAGCGCCCTAATAAGTGCTGAAAATTAGAGTGTGGCTAGTATACGGAAGAAGGAGGTCATCAACACGACTAGAGTTTGTCCGCAGCCGATGAACAGACAGTGCCATGCGGTTATCGACTTTTGTGCCATGGAGAAGGTCAGAGCAATCGAGGCGCTGGTCAACGCACCCACAGTTGTTGGTCCTACCAACATCATCACTGAAAATGGAGGGGATTAGGTGCTGTTTAACCAATTTTCTGGCCAAAAAATGGCTGTAATCATCAAAAAATTCTGGTTATTAAGTTCGAGATGGATTCCAGTCGATAAAAATGTCAAAAAAAGATCAAAAAAGTTTGAATTTGAAACCACAGAGGCATTTAGAGCGTTTGAAGTTCAAATTCAAGCTTCTTTTGATATCTTTTGACATTTTTATTGACTGGAATCCATCTCGAACTTTAGATAACAACTTTTTGGATCTTCTACACTGGCGGACCTGATCCAGTGGCAAAAAACGTACCATTTTGCATCCGGGAAGTATCAAAAACGCAGCAAAATGCCTCCCTCTCCAAGCGAAAAAACTCCGATTTAAAAAGCGCGCCCTTCAAAACGGAGTTTTTAGTTGGAGAGGGAGGCATTTTGCTACATTTTTTGATACAATACTTCCCGAATGCAAAATGGTACGTTTTTTGCCACTGGATCAGGTCCGACCCTTCAATTTCAAATTCAAGCTTCTTTCTGATCTCTTTTGGCATTTTTATTGACTTGAATCCGTCTTGAACTGCCAGAGGGAACAATTTTTTGGACCTTCTAATTGTCATCAACAAATATGGATGGATTTCCCCTCAAAGGCCAAAGCAAAAATACTTTGCAAACAAATCCTCCTCAAATTTGCATAAATTCTTTGCAAATGTTCCTCTCCCAAAACCGCAATTCTTTCACAAGTCAAAACTCCTAGACGGTGGTGTCCGACGTTGGGCTCGCATCGAAAGAATGAAACATGACGAATCGTCGCGGGATAAACAGAAGACCGCGTCGGCGGCGAAGAAGCGGCCCAACCGCATGGATCGGGTGTCCATGCTCGGCAAGTGCCAGAGCACGCTCAACTCCGTGGAGGCGAACACGACCCTGTCCACGGAGAACATCGACACCTCCTTCGAAAAGGACTTGGACACAAAGTTCGTGATTCAAGTTGGGGAAGTGGCGGAGGGAACGGAGGTTGGGGCCGGGAATTTCGCGGTCGTCCGCAAAGGTAAGGTGGTCTTGCAGTGGGTGACCTGCTCCAGTGGCAAAAAACGTACCATTTTGTATCCGGGAAGCATCAAAAATGTGGCAAAATGCTTCCCTGTCCAAGTGAAAAAACTCAGATTTTGAAAGCGCGCCCGCTCTTTTTGTAAGGACAAACGGCGCGCCCTTCAAAACGAAGTTTTTTTTCACCTGGACAGGGATGCATTTTGCCACATTTTTGATACTTCCCGGATGCAAAATGGTACGTTTTTTGACACTGGAACAGGTGCCTCACTGTATAACGTGATTGCGGAGGGTCAATTTAACCTATCCCCTTTTCAGGCACCTACAAGTCGAAGACTGTGGCGATCAAAAGGGCCACGGATGCGGAGCGAATAACCGATCTGCGCAGGGAGGCGCTGATCATGTCGCTGCTCGGCTCTCATCCGAATGTTATTGGGTTTTTCGGGGTGATAGAGAATCCGGTGAGCATTTACAGTGAAGGACCTGATCCAGCGGCAAAAAACGTATCATTTTGTATCCAGGAAGCATCAAGAAGTATGGCAAAATACCTCCCTCTCCAAGTGAAAAAACTCCGATTTCAAAAACGCGCCCGCTTTTTTTGTGAGGGGCCCTTCAAAATGAAGTTTATCACTTGGAGAGGGAAGCATTTTGCCACAATTTTGATGCCTCCCGGATGCAAAATGGTAGGTTTTTTTGCCACTGGATCGAGTCCATCACTGTATACACCCATTTTGGATATAAACGACCGATTTTAGATTCGAATTGTCATGGAATTTTGCGTCGGCCCGTTGGACGACATTCTGGCAAGTGGAAAAAGAGAGATCAAAAATGATGAAATCCTGACGTACCTCGCCGAAACCGCGAAAGGAATGCTTTATCTTTCCGAGAAAGGGTGCATTCATCGGGATTTGGCAACTCGAAATATTTTGGTGACTGATGATGGGATTTTGAAAATATCCGATTTTGGGATGAGCCGGCAGGCGTCCGTTTCCGAAATGGGGTGCTTCGCACACCCAAAGGTGAGTAGTTTTCTATACTAGTCAGTAAAAGAATCTCTGTGGCAATTCGGGCACTATTTGCCTCAATTTGCGAGGACAATCCTACATTTTAATTGATAAGCTGTCGAAAATGCAAAATTCTTTGACGAATATCGACTCAAATAGCCTAGGATTGCATACCTTGTCCATATAAACACCAAATTTCAAAAATTTTATATTACACTAGGTGAGCTAATCAAAAAGTGGAATTCTCAGCTCTAGTCCATTCGAATTCGACAAAACTTTTCTTGTACCCTCTTTCGCGCTTATCTAAACCAGACAGAACCAATTTTATGCCACAAATTCCATAAAGTTTGACATTATACTAGTCATCCAATTCCGAATTTCAGCTAAATTTCAACATTCCGCTGCGCTGGTGGCCTCCGGAATGCATTCGCCGCGACCCCATCTTCACCCCCGTTCTGGATGTATGGTCGTTTGGGGTGGTGATCTACGAAATGTTCAGCAATGGCGAGCGACCTTGGCCGGAGGAGGACCCCAAAGTTGTGGCGCATCGCATTCGACGCTTCAAGATGTTCAAGTTCCCGAGAGAATGCCCGCCTTATCTGGTGGAGCTGTGTCAACGGAAGATTTTCATTCCGCACACTCAACGATGGACCTTCAAATCGGTGAGGATATTAGAGTAGGCAAAAAGGTTGAAGAATTCATTTTCATTTTGCCAGAAAGAGATCGGAAGCTGAAATAAAGCCATTTTCAGATCAACAACTTTATCAACTACGTCCAGTTCGAAGTGAAGCCGACCAAGAAGCACATGAAGCATTTGTTTGGAAGCCGAGTCGTCGATCCGAAAGTGGAAAGATTGAGATGTGGAGAGCAGGAAATCAAGGAGTTTCAGGACCTCATGCGGAAAGAGAGCAAGGGGAATACCAGCAGCAGAGAATCGAAAAGAATCCTGGATCCGGTAAGCGTTTCAGAATTAGCGAAATTTAAAGTGAAGGTGCGTGTGCCAGCCTGACCTGGAAGGATTGTTTTGCTTACAGCTCGGGAAGTAATGGATCAAGAACCGCAAAAATTATATTTTTTGGATCCATGGAGCCTCTAATTTTCAGCATGTAACTCTTAATCACTAAAAAGCCCTCAGGCAATCTGAAAACATCATTTTTTAAACTTCATTCTTTCAGTTCGAACGAAATTTTAAAAAATGACGTTTTCAGATTGCCTGAGGGCTTTTCAGTCATAAAGATTTACATGCCGAAAATTGGAGACTCCAAGAATCCAAAAAATATAATTTTCGCGGTTCTTGATCCATTACTTCCCGAAATGTAAGCAAAACAATCCTTCCGGATCAAGGCGGCCCACTTTAACTTAAAATTTCCTCAATTCGTCTGTTTCAGCACCACAATCCGAAGACCAAAGGGCCCCGCGCCAGAAAAGCACAGAATCAAACGCGGACCAAAACCTTTGAGACCACGACCACCGGCTCCGATGCTCACGACGATTACAAGAAGGGCAGACACAACCGTTTCCTCGACGTCATCAGATCCGAGCGACAAGACGAGCCCACCGAAAAACAACAGCACAACAAATCCCGACTAGCTTGAAATGATAAAAATTTTTACGAATTTTTCTCGGCATTATTGATGAAACAGACGTACAGTGACGGACCTGATCCAGTGGCAAAGAATGTGTCATTTGGCAGTCGGGAACTATCAAAAAATGAAGCAAAATGCCTCCCTCTCCAAGTGAAAAAACTCCGTTTTGAAGGGCCCTCACAGAAAGAGAGGGTCCCTTCAAAACAAAGTTTTTTAGTTGGAGAGGGAGGTATTTTGCTACTTTTTTGATACTTCCCGGATGCAAAATGGTACGTTTTTTGCCACTGGATCAGGTCCATCACTGTAAAGGGTTTTTACATCGAACACCAAAGGATTTCAAGGCTATGTCACAAGGGTGGGAACTATTTTCCCATCAAAAAATGGGCAAAGATAAAGAAACCTCGAAAAAACTTTTGGAAATGTGCCATATAAGGGATAAAAAAGATAGAAAAGTCCATTATCCCAAAGAATAAGGGAGTTAGAGGCTATGGCAAAAGCGGCACAACCAAAGAAAATCCAGCATTCTGTTTTCAGCCTTTACGATCATCTTTTATGCCCGCAGTGCGGACCTGATCCAGTGGCAAAAAACGTACCAATTTGCATCCGGGAAGTATCAAAAAATGTAGCAAAATGCCTCCCTCTCCCACTAAAAAAACTCCGTTATGAAGGGCGCGCTTTTGAAATCGGAGTTTTCTTAGTTGGAGAGGGAGGCATTTTGCTACTTTTTTTGATACTTCCCGGATGCAAATTGGTACGTTTTTTGCCACTGGATCAGGTCCGCCAGTGTAGAAGATCCAAAAAATTCTTCTCTAAAGTTCAATATGGATTCCAGTCAATAAAAATGTCAAAAGAGATCAAAAGAAGCTTGAATTTGAACTTCAAACGCTCTAAATGCCTCGGTGGTTTCAAATTCAAGTTTTTTTGATCTCTTTTGACATTTTTATTGATTGGAATCCATCTTGAACTTTACAACAAACAATTTTTTTCTGTGTGTCTCTCCTAGGCTATGGCAAGGAGCGACACAACCAAAAAAACACCCAATATTCTCTGTTTTCCCCTTTACGATCTTCTTTTATGCCTAAAGCAAGGTCAAACTGCTTCTAAATTACTAAAATCAGAATTTTTTTGATGCAGAAAGCAAAGAAACAGCCCTCAATGGCCTACACCGTCAATATAATATATTTTTTCCATATTCAATCTCCCATTTTCCCCTCAAATTTCGTCGACTTACACAAAAATGGGAAGCTGATGAAGAAGACCCAAGGATGGTAGCGGAGTGAAATCACGGCGACCACAAACGCCACAGCATGAACGAAAATGTAGGAGACGGCCATCCACACGAAAATCGACCACCACAACTGCCAGAACCCACTGACATTGTTCTCTTGAAGCGTGAGGACATTCCACATGTCATATTCACTAAAACAACAAAAATATTCCTATTGTAAGAAGTGATACTGTGCCCAAAAGAGTCAAAAAGACTTGCCGTTCAATTGTCTGAGTATCCATACTGTGCTTCGGGAGGATTTTAGGGTCATGTATGTTGTTATACCACCGCCATCATACAAAACAAAAAATTTTAGTGGAAAATTTTTATCATGTAGAGATTTTTAATGTAAACCCTGAAAACAGAATACTTTAGGCGTCGTTTTCGGAAACTAATGCTCATTTGCAAGCCGATTTTTTGCCAGAGAAAAAATTTTTGAAAAAATTAACCAAGGATAATATAAAAATTGTTCCCAACTTTCGCGAAGCTCTCAGGTTTTCTTCAAGTCTCGTCCGAACAATCTACACGGGTCACATATCAATCCCAGAAATTTTTAGCTCCGGCTTTGCAAATCCGGCCGAGAAATGCAACCATCTTTTCAGATGAGAGACTATGGAAACTGAGGAGAGATGGTCAGAGAAAAAAATCAATTCTTTGCGGTTTATGCCTAGAAAAAACAATTTTTTCGTCAACATCCTTTTTTCCGGATAATTCAAAATCCGCAAAATAAAATCCTTTTTTTTCTCTGACCGTCTCTCCTCAGTTTCCATAGTCTCTCATCTGAGAAGATGGTTGAATATCTCAGCCGGATTTGCAAAGCCGGAGCTAAAAATTTCTGGGATTGATATGTGACCCGTGTAGATTATTTGGACAAGACTTGAAGAAAATCTGAGAGCTTCGCAAAAATTGGGAACAGTTTTTACATTATCCTTGGCTAATTTTTTCGTCTCTCGTCCGAAAAGATGGCTCAATATCTCAGCCGGATTTGCAAAGAGAAACTAAAAATTTCTGGGATTGATATGTGATCCACATAGATTATTTGGGCAAAGTTTCAGCAAAATCAAAATGTTGTTCTTGAGGTACCCAAAATCGCACAAAAATTGCAAAAAAACTTATAATTCTCAAAAAAATCTCTACCCCTGCAAAGCAAATATAAAATATCAGGATGAGAACCTTTTCTTTTCCACCATTCGAGCATTTATTACCAAAAAACTTTACTTTTTCCAAAACAACAAAACAAAATCCAAAGCTAACCAAAAAATCGACAAAAAACCTTAAAAAAGAGAATTCGAGAGGGGAATTTAAATGCAGTGGGATTAAAAATGAGACGATGAAACACTCTGGAATATTGTGAATCTTATGAGAATGTGGATTTGGATCGAAATTCGTCCAAATTGCCAGGCCTTTCTTTTGGGGAAAAATCGCTTGTTTTTCCGCCAAAAAAATCAAGATTAAAATGTGAAATTCGTTGTGCACAGAATCCTTCGGAGCATATAAGTCAATGTGCACAAGAGGGCGAGAGGAAAAACATAAGAAAAAGGGGAAAATTTTACAAAAACATTAAAATCGGGCTAAAATAAGGTCCTCGAACGAGAAAAACGCCCATTTCATCCCTTTTAATTACAAAATACAGTGACCAAAATAAGAAAGCATTATGAATCAAGTCTTCTACAAAAAATTCAAGCCAAAAATTCAGTCTTAAAACTCAATTTTTTCGAAAAAAAACAAAATTTTTCGTCTTTTCCGGTCTAAAACTCAAAATTTCGCTCAAAAAATCGTTTTTCAGACTCCATTCAAAATTTCAGACAATAAATTACGCTTAATTCCGCCTTTGAGGCTAGGAGGGAAGAAAAAAAATCACAAGTTAAATACAAATTTAAGCGACATTTTGGAGACGAACAAAATACGATTTTTTGAATGCGTCGTGAGGATTGGCGCCCGCCGCCACAATCCATTCGTAGGGGGTGCCCAGGTCGGCGACGCAGCACTCAAACGTGGTGTTCTGGTTGGAGGGGTTGCGCTTTCGGTGGGTGTTGAAGATCTGAAAAAAAAATTACAAAAATTTTCAAAAAAATTGAAAAAATCGCTGCCAAAATACAAGCTGAAAATCAAAAAATATCCTGAAAAGAAAATTTTTCAAAATTTTTCACATTTTTAAATTAAATTTCAGCAAAAATTTTGCATTTTTTATCACAACCCAAAAAAATTTTTTTTTTCAAATTTCACCAAAAAAATCATCGAAAAAAGACGAAAAGATCAAATATTCTCTACCACTTGGTCTCAACTCCCTTTAAAATCAAAAAATATGAATTTTTGACACTACACCAAAAAATCCCGTTTTTTTCTCCAAGCCAATTTTTCCAAAATTCCCTCAAAAAAATCTGGGCATAGATTTATTATGTATTCATCTCTCCACATCTCCTCTGTTCTTCTCTATTCCTAAAATCCAAAAAAAAAATAATCAAAACACCTACCGACTCATCCGCAGCGCCGACCATCATCGTGTGCATGTACTGCAGGTCATAAATTCTGAAATCCAACGAAATAACTCTGGCCGCATCCTTGGAGGTGTTTCGTTCTCTTTTCTGGTGATTTTGTAGTTTTCCAGTCTTCATGATCCACCTCCGGAAGTGTTCGGATTCATGGAAAACTTGGGGATTTATGACGAAGATCACATGAGGGCTGGTGGGGAGTGCTTCAATGTCTCGGACGACGGTGACTCGGCTCAACAAATCTCCTGGGACTTCCGGGGGCCTGTACAGGATCACGGGGATCCTTCTGTTCAGCAAGTGTTGGCAAACTCGATGGGTCAGGATGATATTCGCCTCCTCTCCGGCGACCACAACAACATGTCGGGGATGGACGTCGTTCCTCGCGAACACGTCCAGCGCGTATTCGCTGAACCTGTCCGCCAACGTGAGGTTGTACAAAATGTTATTGAACAGTGTTAGGGCCGCGTTCAAGTAGCCGTCCTTGTCGCTGCGTCGCAGAACCGGCAAAATCGCGCCGTTCTCGCAAACCGTCGTGTGTTTCGCGTGGAATTGGTAGGTAAATTTCGTCTCGGGGCACACTTTGTGCGGCAGGGTTTCGGGTTGGACTCGGAGAGTTGGTTTTTGTTTGGATTGGACCCAAGAAGTGCAGCGATTCGGGTCGTTGATGATATTTTCGTCGTGACGATAGTTGCGGCGGGAGGCTGGACGCTCCGCATCCGGCTCTTCATAGTCCTCTGAGTGGGATTCGGGGCGCTAAAACGACAAGTACAGTGGGAAAATAAAAAATTTTTGGAAAAAGGTGCTCAGCACCTAAAGTAATATAAAATTTTAATTCAAAAACCCAAAAACAAACAGAAATCATATTATCCGGGCATAAAAATTAATATTCTACAAAATTTTTCGTATTTTACCCACAAAAAAATCAGTTTAGACATCAAATTTTACGATCAAAAATTAATTCAAAAAACGTCCAAAAAACCTGTCATCATGACATAATAATAATTAAAAACCGTTTTTCAACTAACAACAACCTATACTACATCAATCAAACCACTTTTTTCCACTATTCCAAGAACTCATTATATTGTAGTAGGTACCAACCACAAAAAATAGCAAGAATTCTCGTCGAAAACTTTGATGAAGCTCCTTGAGAGATCACAAAGTCTATTCAAACTCACATCCTTATCAAAAAGTGCCAGATTCGATGAGAAATCAAAGTCTTCGTTGAGATCCTCCAAGTTCAAACTTTCGGCCAAATCCTTATTTCGGCCGCGACTCTTATAGCCATTCTCTTGGTCCTTTGCCGGGTTGCCCGATGGTCCCTTCTGCTTTCGATTCGATGGGCGGTCAGAAGCGAATTTCTAAAAATTTAAAACCAAAATATCGCAAAAAAATCCAAAACTCACATTAAAATCGGGCTGTTGTTTCTCAGTGAACTGCTTAAAGTCGCCGAACTTCTTGAAGGCCTGCTTCTCTTCGGTTTTTCGTTTGTTTTCACTGGTATTCAACAGCTTGTCGATAATGTGTTTGCCATCTTCCTTTTCGGATTTTGCCTCTTCTTTGGGCTTCTTATCCGATTTCACGAAGAGTTTGTTCAATACGGACTTGTCAGACTTTCTTCCGTTGAGAACTGCGGCTAAAATACCACAAAGGTCATGTGTAATATAAATTATCGTCGTATATCTAAAACCAGAAAAACAAAGTGAAAAATCGCATACCAGGGATCATTTCGACCGGAATGGCGGGCTTTTTCTCCGGCTTGACTTTGACTGTCTCGCTCACAACACAGGATGAGCTCATTTCGGCCGAAAGCCCGTAGTCGTTTTGTTGTCCGCCCCGTTTCAGCAGCGTAATCTTGGCATTCTTTGGGGATTCGCATTTATTCTCGATCAGCGCCGCAACTGACGTCTTCTCCGCCTTTTTGGGCTTTTGTGTTGGTTTAGAGTGAGGTTTTTGAGGAGATTTGTTAGACTTCTGGGCTTCTTCGACAATTTTCAGATTTTTTATCTCCAAAGCTTTGACTTCTGTGGTGTGCTCGGGCACTGGGATTCCATCTCTGGAAATAGATGTAATTATTCTCTTAAGAATCAAATCATCTAGCTTTAGAGCCAAAAATACTTCAAATTTATATTATCCATGAGGCTCACCTAAAATTCAAAGACAAATCTCAAAATCGCGACTTACTTGAAAGCTCCCCTCAGAACGACCGACGGATTGTCTCCGGGACGGATCTCCGCCACTCTCCCTTGAAAGACATCGCCATCTTTGACCTCGATCGAAATTAATGCATCAATATATTGTGATGGGTCCATGGTGTGGAAAACGCTGTGGACAGTAGAAAATTGCTCAGCAAAGCGTTTCACCTGCAAGACGGCGTATGAAAATGAAGAGGGAAAGAGAGAGAAGGAAAACGCGGGTTGATGAAATGTCACGCGGAATGGGGTCGTAAGACAAGCTTGTTGTCAAGAATAATATCGCTAGAAAACAATTCTTGATGAGTAGCCAACTTGCCATCAAAAAACCAATAATCCAAAAGAAAATCAGAAGGAGAACATTCACCGTCAAAATCACTGCTAAATTAGACTTGATTAACCCTATTTTAGGTCATTCCGGAGAAAAAAAAGGATATGGTGAATACAGATTAGATCGAAAAACTCTGAGTGTTCGTGAATCATGATTTGTCTGTCAATCTTAGCTGGCGACCACAGAATTTTGTTCTCTCCGTCACCGTCCGCGAAAAAACCAATGAAGTCGTGGCATTCTGCAATAACCAATTGGCATTCATTGTTTTCGTGGTGAGACTCATGCACGTAAAATACGAACTGTAGATTCATGCAATATGTGCATCTCATGATCTGATAACAAGCTTATTTGATTAATTAAAAGGTATTTAGTCAATAAAAATTTCAACCTTGAGATTTAATATTTATTCAGATCATGAACATCAAAGACGACTATAATACAATGAAAATCAGGCAATGTAATCCAATGGCCGATTGAAACCGCCTTTTCTGTTCATGTACTGGCGGTATTTGCGGACTTTGTGTACTTTAGCTGCTCCTCCAACGTTTCCTTCAACTTTCTTGTTCTTGGTCGTATCGAACCCAGCGAATCCCATTTGTTTCATTAGATCTTCCTCGGAAATTGTCGCCGCTTCCTCAAGAGATGCACCTGAAAGGAGTAGAGGTTGGAAATAAACAATGAATTGATAGTTTTTGGAACTAAAAATGAAAAAAATTCAAAGATGTTATACATACTTTCCTTTGGCCGATCCTTTCGCTTATCCGACCTCTCCCGTTCCTTTGATCGACTCCTTCTGTCTCTCTTCTCTGTTGCACGATCGTCTCGACCTCTACGTCCAGTCTTATCGGGTGAACGACGTCTGGTTCGATCGTCTCGACGATTTCTCGGTGATCTGCTTCTTCTCCGCGGACTTCGGCTTCTCCGACGTTCCGGTGATCGCCGGCGTTCTGAAAACAAAAAACGTATTGTCCTCGGCGTTCGTGGAAAACCCTGGCAGCGTTATCCACCTAAAAATCAAAGCAAAATGCAATAAAAACCGACCAAAGAACCTTCTCCATCAAGTGCATGGTGAATACGAATAGGAATCTTAAAAACATTTGTTATAACCGTTTTCGCATGCAAACACACCTAATTCAGAGTTCATTTGATGAATCAGGTCCTTTGATGGAGGTCATCTTACCTCGGGGAGATCTGGAACGAGATCGACGTCGTTGAACTTCACGATCGCCCATTTAAGGGGTTGTATTAGTCTGAAAATAAATTTAACACTGTTTAGAGGCAAGAAAAAATCAAGTTAAGCAAGTGCAGAACGCGGGAATTAATCTCGAAACGTTCTAACAAGTTAAAACAAAATTATTAAATTTCTAGTGTAAAGTGATACCTAAAACAATATAATATAGCTCACAGAGCCCAAAAAAGCCGCCAAAAGACGTATACAAGACAAAATTTGCTAGACGCATGTTATTCAACGCAGCTGCGCGCATTTTATCGACAAAACCGACTTGCGAAAATGCAGAAAGAAAATTTCTTGGCGTTCTGATACAACTCTTTGGCATTCATTATTTTCGTTGCGGGAAAATATTGAAAAGCTAAAATCTCGCGGATTTTACGCTCAAGACTCTTGAATCCTGTTTTGTTAGCTGTTTGCAACCGGCTCGAGCTTAGATTTAATCTTGCACCGCTTAATTTTTCGAAATTTTTTATATTACATTTGTGATACGTTGTGCTTTGTGGTCTACAGTTAAGCTACGTGGCATTGAATTGAAACGCGTGCAAATGATTCGTCAAAGAAGTGACGGATGGGTTTGCAATTTACGGGATTTCGCGTTTTTTACGGGAGGGAATAGAGATATTAAATTTTTGATAGATCAGATGATGATTTAGCGGGCTTTAATGATGGAAATGTAGGGGAAAACTAGGTGTTTATAGTGCGAACTACTTCCTTATGGGTTGTGTTTTAATCTCGACAAGTTTCGGTTTGCAGAAGCGGCGGGGAAATCGCAAAATCCGACATTGTTTTAGTCACGAGATGGACTCTTGCGTAATGTTGCCGTCAAGGTTAATATCGGCGCGCGTTTTGACCCAGATGGCGTCACATCCCCCAGGGGCGATGTACTGAGCTGATTGTTCAATCGTTTCAGGGTTACTGTAAGTGCGAACATGTCAGCGAAGGCGGTTTTGTTGGTCGGTGGGGCTCAAAAAGGTAGGTTGTAAAAGAATTTTTACTACCCTTTTCTCCTTTTTAAACTGTATAGAATTAGATGGAAATGTAAACAAGATGATGTGAAGATACGAACATGATTGCAAACGCATAATTTTGAAGAGATTTTTGAGGTCAAATTTTGGGTCAAAATATTGTACCTAAAATAATATAAATTCATGTCTTGTACAAAAAAATTTCATGTATTTGACCTCGAGCCGCCGTAATAACCTCTCGTTTACCTTGATTCTCTCGAAAAGATCTAACAAAGACCGTGGAATTCGGTGAATTCGGAGAAAATTTTTATTGAAAAACAGAAAACAATCAAAAATTTTATGTAATTGAAAAATCGAAGCTAACAAGGAAAAATAATTTTTTTTATAGAAAATGGTCTCATTGCACGATAAACTCATTCGTTTTATCAAAAACCTTTAGTTTGAGCTTTCAAATTGACAGGGGAAGTACTCCAAGTGCGACGCTTAGGTTTTGATGAAACTTGGCACGAATTTAGAATAATTTTTTCTTAGATATATGCGAGAATCCTAGCTCGCGCTTTGCAGAAACAGCCGAGATTTTTAGATCGAAAGTCGGCGAAAATTTAGGACTTTTTGCCGAATTTCGGCATGAAAAGTTTCATGAATATTTCAACCGTAAAGGATAATGTTTCTATCAAACTTTTCCGCACAAACTTTTCCGCACAAAACTGCCAAAGTTATGGCAAAAAAGCGCTTTTCTCTCTGACCGCTTTCCACATTTAGCGTGCTCTCTCGGCGGCAAAAATCGTTCGATATCTCGGCGGCGCCCGCAAAGCGCGAGCTAAAACTTTCAGGAATTGATGTTTAGTCCATACCCGACGTGTGTGCAAAATTTAAAGAAAATCTGAGCGTCGCACTTGGAGTACTTCCCCTGTGAGATTTTTTACTCAAAACATCTTGTTTTGGAGCTCTGTCTTGCACTCAATTTGTAAGTTCCACGATCTGCCATCCAACTTCCGCATAGGTGCCTTTGAGCTGTGTTTTGTGCGCGTGTGGGTTGATCGGTAATAAATTACCTTCACTTTTTCTCGCCAGAACTTTCGTGTTGAATACAGTAGCGTGGGACGGGCTGATATAAAAAGCCTCGACACTTCTACGTACCGGGGGTGCTGGAGACAAACTTAGAGTAAAAGTTTTGCAGACATCAAAGAAATTCTTCTCCCGCGTTTTGCAGAAATAATTAGGGCTTTTTAAAGGAAATTTGACAAAGAACTACCATTTTTTTGCGATTTTGGAATTGTTATAATCAGAGGTTGTTACATAAGAGGAGTACAATATCTTTAGCAAAAATAAATTTTTTCCATGCGAAAGCTCAAGGGATATAGCTAAAAAAGTTTTTTCTCTGACCGCTCTCCACATTTCGCGTACTCTCTCGGCCGCAAAAATCGTTGAATATCTCGGCTGCCACTGGAAAGCGCGAGCTAAAATTTTCAGGAATTGATATGTAGGTTAGACATAAAAAGTGTGCAAAATTTAAAGAAAATCTGAATGTCGCAATACTTAACACTTCCGTTAGAAAAATCAGAGATTTCCCACATTCAATCCGACCAAAACTCTTGTATTTTGGCCTGTATGTTATTCAGTTGAACGCTCTAAAACATGTTCTAATCAAATTCTTGCAACTCACTAAGTTCACAAAGTTAATTTACAAAAAAAAATCGAATTTACAAACGAAAAATCACTGTGCTCTTGCTCTCGAACTGTTATTTGTATAAAACCACATGTCATGCCGGGATGACGTCAGTTTTCCAAAATTTTCTCTTCTGATCGGTTTACACGTTCACTTTGCAGACTCCCCCATTCTTTTCGAAAACCCCAGAAGATCCCCTTTCTTCCCGATGACCCCTTTTTTGAATCCCTTTCTTCGGGTTTTTCTCCCCTTCAAATCCAAAAGTTTTCGCTTGGAATTGACGGAAAATGCGGAAAAAATCGTGCGATATTTGCATAATACGTGCGAACCGAAAAGGTTGGCGCGAATTTTTTCTGCGGTAGCCTTTAATCGAACCCGCTAAAAGTGCTGACGTTTTTGAGAGCAAGAGCACAATGGTTTTACTGTTGTAATACTGTTGTAAATTCGCTTTTTTTGTGAATTCACTTTGTGAACTTAGAGAGTTGCAAGAATTGGATTAAAACCAGTTTTAGAGCGGTCAACTGAAGAGCGTACGGGTTAAAATACTAGGGTTTTGGTGGGTATGAATGTGGGAAATCGCTGATTTTTTATAAAGGAAGTGCTAAGTATTGCGACTGTCAGATTTTCTCTAAATTTTGCACACTTTTTGTGCCTAGCCTACATATCAATTCCTGAAGATTTTAGCTCGCGCTTTGCAAGGGCAGCCGAGATATTCAACGATTTTTGCGGCCGAGAGAGTACGCGAAACGCGGAGAGCGGTCAGAGAAAACACTTTTTTAGCTATATCTCTTGAGCTTTTGCACGGAAAAAAATGATTTTTGCTAAAAATGTTGTACTCCTCTTCTGTAACAACCTCTGATTTTAACAATTCCAAAATCGCAAAAAAAAGATGATTTTTTGTCAAATTTCGTTCAAAAAGCCCTAATTATTTCTGCAAAACGCGGGAGAAGAATTTCACTGAAGTTTGCAAAACTCTAACTCTAAGTTTGTGTCCTATATTTTTACCAGGTATGTAGAATGTCGACGCTTTTTATATCACTTTATGCCACGCTACAGTATCCAATATAAAGCCAAAAAATTGAAATTTTCCCTAAAGAGGCTATTTTTTGCCACAATCGTTTTTCGACGTAGAACTAGGTCATCTATCCTTACTATCATCAATATTTTCGCGCGTATTTTACCATTCTGAATATTCATCTACTAAATTTTCGAGTTTGAAGTCCTATTCCTCCAAGATGGTGCTTCTCGCAGGCGGCGCTCTCTTCTCAATCTACGCCTTCTTCCTTCTCTTGCCGATTTTCATTTTCGCCTATGTTGTTCAAGCTTGTCCGCTAAGGCTTTGAACATCCGAATTTGGAGCAAACTGATGACTAAAAATCTCAAGAAATCAAAATTTTATGTGTTTGGAATCATAATGTATCTTCCGAAATTGCAGTGCTTGTACAAATTAGAGGACAATAAATATGATGAAATTAAAATTTAGGAAGTTTTTGAGGGTTATTTTTTAGCAAAAATAATGATTTAGGGACCAGATTTCGGCCGCTCTCTTTGGGCCTTCCCAAGCCTCTGTTTCCGGTCGCTGGACTCCCATTGATCGAACATCACATTGAGCAGTTGTGTGAGGTGAGTTTAAAATACGGAAAAACAGTCCTTCGAGTTAAAAAAAAGACCTTTTTTTACAACCAAGAACGTAAAATAGTTGACCAAAGCTTAAAAAATGGCCTTTTTTGGGCCTCCTGAGGACATCAATTTTTGTGGGTATAAATATATTTTTAAAAATCCCTCAGGCAAACCGGCAAAAAAATTAATTTTTTGCATGGTTGACTCATCAAAAATCAGTGTTTTCTGAGGTGTAATTTATAAAAACCCTAAGGGCATGGTAAGAAAAAAAGTTTTATGACGAAAAAATGGATGCCTTGTGGGTCCCGAAAATGCAATTTTCCTTGCTTTTGAACCATTATTTCACTAGTTATTGGCCAAAGAATTCACCCTACCCAGATCAGACATGTACAATATTTTTAGTGCAAAGCTCTCACCGAAATCCTCCTGCTCGGCTTTTATCCCTCGGAGGAGTTCACTCATTTCATCGAATGTGCCAAGAAGAAGTATGGGATTCATATCGAATATCTGGAGGAGAATGCGCCCTCCGGAACGGCCGGAGGGTTATTGCGGTTCCGAGATCGCATTTTACAGCCAACGAAGGGAAAGGAGACGGAATATGTGTTTGTGCTGAATGCTGACATCTGCGGTGACCTGCCGATTACCGGTGAGTTCGGTTTTTTCAACGTCGCATCGCGTTGGACGATTTGGCCTAGGGCGCAGCTCGCGCACTTTATTTTCTCGAATTTCGGTGGAGTTTCTCGAATATTTGGTTCGTTTTCAGACCTCCTCGACGAAATCAAGCGTCAACCGGACGCCGAAGCTGTCCTCCTGACCACTGAAGCCACCAGAGACCAGGCCAGCAACTTCGGATGTCTTGTTGTAGATCCAAAGTCGAAAAAGGTCCTCCATTACGTGGAGAAGCCCTCAACTTTTGTCTCCATCACAATCTCTTGTGGAATCTTTATCCTGCGACCGAATTTTTGGCCGAATCAACTTGAACGGGCTGAAGCCGAAGCCGGCGGAAATGGGACTTTGTGGTATGAAACGGACGTTTTCCCGCAAATGGCATCGGATGGAAAGCTCTACGCTCTGCACACAACACGATGGTGGTCCCAGACCAAAACCCCAGCGTGAGTTTTTGACTATTTTGATCTTGTTTTAGGCGTTTTATCGCAATTTTGCCATGGATAATGTCAAGGATAATATAATTTGGAAATTTTAGTGGTGCCCTCTATGCGAATGGCCATTACCTTCGATTGTATCGCGTAAAATGTCCGGAAAGACTTGCGAAGAGCTCTCCCCAAATAATTGGCGATGTTTTCATCGACCCAACAGCTGTTGTTGATCCCACCGCAAAAATCGGTCCCAACGTTTCGATCGGTGCCGGAGCTGTGATTGGAGCTGGCGTTCGGGTCAGAGAGTCTATTATCCTGCCAGAGTGTGTTCTGGAGGAGCATTGTTGTGTTCTCCATGCAGTTGTGGGATGGAGAAGTATTTTAGGTATGTGTAATATATTTTTTTCTTTTTTTTGTTGTTTTTAGTCTCGAAATGGTTGAAACTGAATAAATATGGAAATTTCAGAGCCCTGGACTCGTGTTGAAGGCACTCCCATCGCTCCTAATCCGAATGTTCCGTTCGCAAAATTGGATAATAAGCCGTTGTTCAACGGAGACGGCCGTTTGAATCCGTCACTCACAATTTTGGGCTCAAATGTCCGCGTGCTCCGAGAATTGGTCATTCTGAACACTGTCGTGCTGCCTTACAAGGAATTGTCCACCAGCAAACATAATCAAATCATTTTGTAGATATTAGAGTAGATCCTACTAACATGTGATATTTTTAATATTTTATTAACTTATTTTTCCCATCTAACGTAATGTAATATACCCGAAAGAGTGTCTAAATTATTTACAGTGCGATTGCAGCAGTCTGTAGTCGTATATTTTGTAATTCTTGCCATAAATTATATTATTTATTATGTTTTTTGTAAAGTAAAGTAATATAATGTATTTTTGGATGTTTTTTGGGTGTGAAAAGTGGAGTAAAGGTGGTATTTCGTTAGTTCCTTGAAAGTGGAATTGCTTTTTGGCCCGTAATGAGGGAGAATAATGAGCTGTTATAATGGCCTTTTTTTTAGGTAATAATGGGTAAAGTTGCAGGTGTAAGTGGCTGAAAACGGTTGAACCTGAACTCTACCCCTTTTCTGAACTTTACCCCTTTTTCAACTCCACCCCTTTTTGAACTTTACCCCTTCAGAACTTTACCCCTTTTTCAACTCTACCCCTTGAATGAACTTTACCCCTTTTTGAACACTACCCCTCATTTTGAAAATTGAAAAAATGAGGTGTGACACCTTATACGATGAAAATTTTTTCAAATTGAAAATAATAAGGTGTGACATCTTATACGATGAAAATTTTTTTCAAATTAAAAAGAATAAGGTGTGACACCTTATACGATGAAAAATTTTTTCAAATTGAAAAAATGAGGGAGATTCAAGTTGAAAATATTTTTTCATCGTATAAGATGTCACACCTGATTTTTCTCAATTTGAAAAAAAATTTCATCGTATAAGATGTCACACCTTATTTTTTCAATTTTCAAAATGGGGTAGTGTTCAAAAAGGGGTAGAGTTCAGATTTTTTGGCGAAAATCAAAAAAGGGGTAGAGTTCAGCCTTTTTTGGGGTAGAGTTGAAAAAGGGGTAAAGTTCAGATTGGGGTAAAGTTCAGAAAAGGGGTAGAGTTCTGCCGCAACGTTTCTGCACAGTGCATTTTTCCACTTTTTGCACTGTGCAATGTCTGTCGCGCGCGCGAAATTCGCGGCGACGACGTTAAAAAAAACCTTATGTCGCTGCGACTTTTGACTTGCACGGTGCAAAAGGTCAATTTCACAGTGCGGAGAGCTTTTTGCTTTCGACAAAAATTTTGCGCACTTTTGAAAGGGGTCCGTCCGCAAAGTCGCTGGACCGATTTCGGCGACATGCACTGTGCGAAAAAGTCGGGGTGCGGCCGCATGCGGCCCGCTGTCGCTCGCACCGTGCGGGCGACAGCCGAAAAAAGCCTTTTGCACCGTGCAAAAAGCCGAAAATTGCACAGTGCGAAGTGAACTTTTGTTTTTTTTTTGTTTTCGCACAGTGCATATCGCCGAAAATCGTTGCAGCGATGGTCGGAAATCGCACAAATTGAAATTTTGGGGAATTCAAAAAAATTTTTTTTTTATTTTTTTGGGTATTTGAACCATTCAATCCGCTGCCCTGACCTTGCCAAACATGAGTAATCTCTGTTGTCGTCACAACCTTGTTCGGATCAGTTTTTGTGTCACTGAGTGCGTTTAATTAAACGCGGATTATCCCGGATCCCGCGAATTTTTTGTTGGGCCAACCGTATATAAGGGTGTTACAGTTGATCGGCTCGAGTATAAACAGGATCATGAGACATTTCAACGTGGTTTTCATCTGTTTTGGAGCCATCGGAGTGGCAGTGGCGTTGGCGGGAAAGGTAGGGATTTTTCAAAAAAAATGATGAAAAAATGATAAAAATTAAAAAAAAAAAAAAATTAAAATAAAATAAAATAAAAAATAAAATTTTTTTCGGATATATTTTTTTAAATTTTTCGAGGTTTTTCACAAAATAAAAAAATCGAAAAATCCAAAAAAAAAAAAAAAATTAAAATAAAATACAATAAAAATAAAAATTTTTTTCGGAAATAATTTTTTTAATTTTTCGAGATTGTTCGCAAATAAAAAAAATCGAAAAATTCAAAAAAAAAATTAAAATAAAATAAAATAAAAATTTAAATTTTTTTCGGATATATTTTTTTAAATTTTTCGAGATTTTTCGCAAAATAAAAAAAATCGAAAAATTCAAAAAATTCAAAAAAAAATTAAAAAAAATTTTTTTTTGAAATTTTAAAATTAAATTTTTTTCCATTTTAAAAAAAATTTCCTCATTTCCACCTCCTTTCAGCGCGACACCATCGAAGATTTCGAAGGCGGACTTGTCGAGAGTTCGGCCAAACTTCAAGACGGCGCCAAGCACGCCGCAAACGTTCTACGAGAAGATTTGGCCAACCTACGGCCGAAGCGAGGCGTTCAGGATGATATTGGGGATGCTCAGGACAAACTGAGCGATCTGGGAGATCAGGCGCAAGACCAGGCCGACGCCTTGAAGCAGGGGGCGCAGAATGCGGCGGCTGATGCGCAGGACCAAGGACAAGAAGCTGCTGGAGGAATAAAGGGCAAAATTCAGGGCGGAATCAACGATTTGAAGGTGAAATTTTGAGAAATTAAAAAAAAATTAGAAAAATTTAAAAAAAATTTTTTTCAAAAATAAAAAAAAATTTGAGTAATTAATAAAACTTGGATAAAAAATTAAGAAAAAAATTTTAAAAGCATATGTGAGATTTCTAGCTCTCGATTTGCAGAAACGATCGAGGTTTTTAGCCCAAAAGTTGAAAAAAATATGAAATTTTTTTTGCGAATTTTGTCATGAAAAGTTTCATAGCTATTTCTACCGTAGAGGAGAATTTTTCCACAAAAAATCAAATTTTTCGGCGCGAAACTGGCAGAGATATGGCCAAAAAAAGAGATTTTCTCTAACCGCTCTCCGAATTTTTTGTACTCTCTCGGCGGCAAAGATGTTCAATATCTCGGCTCTCCCTGCAAATCTCAAGCTAAAATTTTCAGGAATTGATGTTTGGCCGATGCCTGAAGTGTTGCCAAAAAATCTCAAAAAAAAAAAAAAAAAAAAATCCATTTCAGGACCACGGTGAGCAACTGGCCCACGACGCGGACAAACTTGCCAAACACGCCGAAAAGACGGTAAACCAGGGCCTCAGCGATGCCAAATCCAAGGCGCAGGATGCGCTGGACACCGCCAAGGACAAGTTGGACGAGGCGCACAGCGGAGTTTCCGGCTTTTTTGGGAACATCAAGGAGAAATTCGGAAGGAAATAAGCCAGATATCCAGTTACCAAAATAAAAAATATCATTTTTTTTAATTAAGAAATCTTGGAAGATCTTTGGTATAAATTTTCTAGTTGTTTGTTTGGTTTTTCGGGGCAAAATTAAATTTCTTCTCACTTCAGCGATAGGCAGATTTTTTTTTATTTTTTAATTTTTTTGACTGAAATTAGCATTTTCATAAAGTGCAGAGACATTTTTTCTCATTCCCACACTGCATTTTGAACCTTTTCCCAGGTTTTTCGCCAATTCAGGTCTTTGCACAGTGCGAACGGCCATTTTTGAAGTTTGCACTGTGCGAAGAGAGGAAATGCACTGTGCGTTGGCGACAAGCATGAGAAAAGTTCAAAATGCACTGTGCGAAAAGAGGAAACGCGCAGTGCATGAAAATGCACAGTCAGGGTGCGAGCGACAGCCCAAAAAGCCTATTGCACGGTGCAAAGAGAAAGAAGATTGCACAGTGCAAGTGAACTTTTGTTTTCGTACAGTGCATGTCGCCGAGGTTTGCACTGTGCGAAAAGAGAAAACGCACAGTGCATGAAAATGCACAGTCAGGGTGAAAGCGACAGCCCACATAAGCCTTTTGCACGGTGCAAAAAGAAAGAAATTGCACAGTGCAAAGTGAACTTTTGTCTTCGCACAGTGCAAACCGCCCTTTTTGAGGTTTGCACTGTGCAAAGAGAAAAAAATGCACTGTGCATTGGCGACAAGCGTGGGAAAAAAGTTCGAAATGCACTGTGCGAAGAGAGGAAACGCACAGTGCATGAAAATGCACAGTCAGGGTGCAAGCGACAGCAAAAAAAATCATATTGCACGGTGCAAAAAGCAAGAAATTGCACTGTGCAAAGTGAACTTTTGTCTTCGCACAGTGCATGTCGCCGAGGTTTGCACTGTGCGCAGAGAGGAAATGCACTGTGCGTTTGCGACAAGCATGGGGAAAAAGTTCGAAATGCACTGTGCGAATGAGAAAAAATGTCCATGCATTTCGGCAATGTGCACTGTGCGGAAAAACTGAGGGTGAGAGCGACAGCCCAAAAAAGCCTTTCGCACGGTGCAAAAAGGAAGAAAATTGCACTGTGCAAAGAAAACTTTCGGCGACATTCACTTCACTGTGCATGTCGCCGAGGTTTGCACTGTGCGAAGAGAGAAAGAGAAAAATGCACTGTGCGTTGGCGACAAGCGTGGGAAAAAGTTCAAAATGCACTGTGCGTTCGCGACAAATGTGGGAAAAAGTTCGAAATGCACTGTGCGTTTGCGACAAACGTGGGAAAAAGTTCAAGATGCACTGTGCGAAATCAAAAAAAGTCCATGCACTTTATGAAAATGCCAATATTTCTATTTCTCGCTGCTCTCGCAATGTTGCGACCCCCGGCTTCGGCAGCATTATGCTTTGTTCGCACGACGCCGAATAAAAGAGCGTAATCAGTTTCAGTGGATTCCGTTACCCGGGAAACTTGCCGTGAGAAGCACATTATTGTTGTCGTGAGCCAAATTAGGCCAACCCCACGGCGGTTTCGGCTTTTCCATACTTTACATCTGTTCCTTACACTTGAGTCGGCGCGATGCCCGTCACGGAGATTGACAGTAAAGTGAGTTGGAATTGTAGAGTGGGGTCTTTAACGGGGTCAAATTTCAAGTAGGTGCTAGTCGTTCCAGAAAGTGCGTAGACTTTTTGTTACCGTGCACAAAACCCCATTTTTGCACCGTTCATTTGAACGCTTGCACGGTGCAAGTGCAATATCGCAGCGGCGCAGCTTTTCTGAACGAAAACGTCGCGAATTTTGGGGGAGAAAAGAAATCGTTGACGAAAAGTTTGCTTTTCGCAGAGAAAAGTCGAGATTTTTTGCCCGAAAAATCTCCAAAAATATGATTTTTTTTCAAATTTTCAAAATCAAAAAAATGACGTCATATTTGAAGGGTGATTTACCCTCTGGCTATAAACCAATCCCTGAAAATCTTAGCCTATTTTCGGCGCCAGTGAAGATATTCAACGAACTTTACCGGCCGAGAGAGTACGCTGAATGCGGAGGGCGGTCAGAGAAAAACCCCCTATATCGCTGCCAGTTTCGTTCGGAGAAAATTGAAAAGGATCGTGTCGCGCGACATGCGCCATGCGTTGCGAAAAAGGGCCGAAAAAAGTGTGCGCCGCGGCGCAAGGTTTCCCAACTTTGTCGCCGCAAATTTTGCTCGCGCGGCAGACATTTCACCGTGCGAAAGGTGGAAAAATGCACCGCGAAAAAAGTCTGCGCATTTTCTGGAAGAATTAGTATACCACACTTGACTCATGTTTTGATGCGTTGGATGCGAACAGAGCACCTGGGCGAACAGTTCACGAGGACCAAACCGATTTTTTGAGAATTGTTTTGGGTTCTGAAAAAATGATTATATCGGTCTGTCGGGAAAAAAACGGCGGATCGTCGCGCCTCGGAGTCGCTCATCATCGCTTTGCGACTGCAAGCCGCGGCTTGGGATTTGGCGGGCGATAGCGGCGAGGCGATACATTTTGCTGCGACGATCCGCCGTTATTTTTCCGACAGACTGATAGTAAGTGTGGCGGACAAAATTTACCTTGGTCTTCCCTTACCATCAAACCAAAGAAAGTAGATCGAAAAAACCTGCTTGCTCCCGTTTTACACAAGTCTATTTTTAAGGTGAACTGTTTGCCGAGGTACACTGTTTGGCCAGGTGCATTGCTCGGACCAACTCGTCTGTAGCCACCTCTGATGGTTCCAAAAAAAACTTGAGAAAACCAAAAAAAAAAAAAAATATCGCACGGCGACAACTTTAGATTCACGGTGCAATGGGAAAGGAAAAGTCTATTTTTTTGTAAAAAATTTCTTCCTTTCCCATGCCCTAGACAGTGCGATTCAAAAATCGCTTTACTTTTCAATTACAGGGTGGGGCATCTTTGTGGCCCGATTTGAATTGGCTATAACTTCTTTAGTTTTTGGCCAAATTTTAAAATTCTTTTTTTCCCTGAATCGTCAGCCAACCCCATTTTGTTTGATGCCAAATATGTTATACATAGGTAAGTGTCATCTACAGTTATTGATTATTCTTGTAGTTCATTTTTTTGGTCGTTTTCGGTTGTTTTTTCGGCCTTTCCCGGTGTGTCCGAAAATGGAGTCCGGTGTGGAAGAAAAAGCTTGGTCTGTGGTTTGGTATGGCAAATACGGTTCGCCGATAAATGACTGTAGATGACTGTCCAATAACTGTAGATGACACTTACCTATGTATAACATATTTGGTATCAAGCAAAATGGGGTTGTCTGAGGATTCAGGGGGAAAAAGAATTTTAAGATTTGGTCAAAAACTAAAGAAGTTATCGCCAATTCAAATCGGGCCACAAAGATGCCCCACCCTGTACATAATTACCTTACATTCAGGAGCAGCTACAGAAGATCCTGGAGGAAGCGGGCGATGGTTTGGTGGTTGTCAAATTCTTCGCCACATGGTGCGGACCTTGTCGAATGATGGCGCCAAAGTTCTTGGTATAGTTGGCTTTTTTGTTTGTATACAAATTTATTATTTGTATACAATATGTTGTTTGGTTTACAAGGGAAGTACCCGAAGTGCGACGGTCATATTTTCTTTAAATTTTAAACATTCTTGGGGCATAGTTCATATATCAACCACTGAAAATTTTAGCTCGGACTTTGCAGCGGCAGCCGGGATATTCAACGATTTGCCGAGAGAGTGCGCAAAAAGCGGAGAGCGGTCAGAGGGAACCCCTTTTTGGCCATATCTTTGCCAGTTTCTGGCGGAAAAAATTGATTTTTTGTAGAAACGTTACTCTCTACGGTAGAAATAGCTATGAAACTTTTCATGCCAAAATTTGAAAAAAAAGTTGTAAATTTTTTTCCAATTTTTGACCAAAAAATCTCGGTCGTTTCTGCAAGGCGCGAGCTAGAAATCTCGAATATGTCCTAAAAAATCGTTCTAAATTTGTGCCAACTTTCATTAAAATCTGAGCGTCGTACTTGAAGTACTCCCCTATCATCAGTCTGTCGGGAAAATAATGTGGATTTGTCGTGGAAAAAAGTCTCTTCTCACCGCAGCCAAATCTCCAGCTGGAGGTCGCATGATGGGCTTCCAAGGCGCGACAAATCCACGTTATTTTCCCGACGGACTGATATCAAGCTGTCGGGAGAATGGTGTGGATTTGTCGCAGCAAAATTTCTCTCCTCGTGCCTGCTATTAGGTCTAAAAGTATGACTCCGCCGTTTTTTTGTTTTGCATTTTTTACAAGTAGGAATACAATTTTGCAATTTCGGTTTATACGATATGAAAGGACGTTGAAAACGCTGTCCAATGACATACGCTTCGTACAGTGAGGCCTTATATAACGGTTTTTATGAAGCTTCAAAGATGACCGACTTCATCTCAAGAAGAGGTGACAAATTGTGGGAAAATATCGTGGTTAGCAGTGGTAATAATAATTAAATAAGCTTTAATGTAATTTTTTTTGTTTTGATTAAAATTGTCGAGCCAAAAAAACGGCGGACTCATACTTTTAAACCTAATAGAATTAGAAAATTACTTTATTCATCGCAAATTGAACTCGTTGAAAAAACACCTGTTTTTAGAAGCTCTCCAACGAATACACTGGCGTCACTTGTGTGGAAATCGATGTGGATGAACAGGTAGATTTTAGTCATCAAACAAAAATAATGTATATAAATGCACATATGAAAGTTTACACTTTTTTAATTTTTTTAACCTTTATATACTGTAGTATATGAAGCCACATACCGGCTCTTTGAAGCCATAATATGAAACATTAATCCCTTCAATTTCGCTTCCAGGAAGAGCTGGTCCAGGCCTATGACGTGAATGTAATGCCGACCTTTGTTTTCGTCAAGAAAGGCCAGGAAAATGTAAGTTCTCCCATTTTTTATTAGCTACATAAAATGTCATGGGAATGCGGCAGTGTTCTCATGGCAAATAATGAGAGCTTTCGAGGGAATGAGGTCAATTATAATGCTGTAGTTTGAAGGAAAATTTGAAGTCCAACTGAGGCTTGTTATAACGGTTTAACAGAGAGCTTAACTCCATGCCGAATGCTAGGAGAAGGCTTAGTTAGTAGAAATAATAAGATGGGTCGTATCCTAGGATAGCTTATCACCAATTTGAGGTATTTTACATGTACTCATACTCACATCAATAATGTCTAAACAAAAGTTACGAATCTTCGTTATTTGCCTCAAATTTTGGTCTTTTATATGTTAAAATAACTCGGAGTGAAGAAAAGTAACGTTAGTAAAAGCTAAAGTTGGAAAGAGTTCAGATTTTGCAAGTCTTCTCCAAGTCTCCGTCGAGCCTTTGCTGAGCCTCCGCCGAGCATCGAGCGAGTTTCCCAGGCTTCGTATACTGGTTGACAAAAATTTCTTTCCACCTCGTATCTCGGGAACCGCTGGGCCTAGAACCCCCAAATTCGGCACAGACACATCCTGGGACAATCTAACACCATACCCAAAAAATAATTTAATTTGATGCACTTTCAGTGCACTTTTTATGCAAAGGGCAAAAAACGGGATGACAAAATTTTCTTTCCGCTTTGGAAAAAACGCTTGTAAATCATAAGCCAGGGGGCGCTAAGGCATTATTGTAGTATCGTTGTGTTCGCGAAGGAGTCCTCTCTTGTCACAATTTCACAGGAGTTTTCGTTTTAGGCGCTTCTTTCAAACTATTTTGTAAGAAGTGCCTACAAAAAAAAATTCTGGTGCGTATCGAAAAAAGCCGTTTGCACGGGGCAAAAAGCCAGGATTTGCACAGTGCAAAGTGAACTTTTGTTTTCGCACAGCGCATGCCGCCATATATAGTTGCTCCAGCGACTTTGCGGACGGACTGGTTTCAAGATTAACGTTTGGATGGCATTTTCTATAGAAATATGTGTCAAAACTTGCTCAGAGTCTGTAGCTGTTCTGTAATCTTTTTTCGCACCATGTTGAGCTAACGGCGATGTAAAAAATGTTCTAAAATTTTCACTGCACTCTCGGAAAGAGGATTAAACATCTCCGCCGCGGATCGAATCTGAGCGCGCAAAATTTAAGGGATTGGTTACTGGGGTATTTGGAGAGTCTACGCAAAATTTTAATAAATTTTTGGAAGTACCCCAACATAAAAAAAATCAATAAAATCGAAAAAATTTTTTTGCGAACAGTAGAGCATTTATCCACCGCTTAATGTTTTTGTTTTTTTTTCAGTTCATCCTCGAAGGCAATAATTTCGAAGAGCTGAAGAAGAACTTTGAAGAGCGCTCCAAATGAATGGGGCCCCGGTCTCAGGTTATATTTCCTTTATTTCTATGCAAAACTATGAACATTGTATTTGTCACATTGTAGTAATCATAAAGCTGTTAAACAGAGAGGAGATCATATTGGTATTTCAAGTGCAAAAAATGGAAAATTTCCGAACAAGTTGTAAAGTCATCAAAATACAAAAAACTTGCAAAAATTGCAACGTAAAGAGACGAGTTACAATGCAAAGAAAAGGAGTGTCATCACAAAGGTCTGTGGAGTACAATGGATGCAAAAAATGTGGTATAGAGACATGAAACAAGAGGGAATTTTACCGGGATGTTGTACATGCCATGTCTATTCAAGAGGGAAAGTTCTCAATGTGCAACGCTTGGATTTTAAAGAAACTTGGCACAAATTTAGAGTAAGATTTGTTAAGATATATGCCAGGCTTTTAGTTTGCATTTTGCCGAGAAAAATCAAGATTTTTTGGACCGAAAAATCTCCAAAAATATGACTTTTTTTCAAATTTTCAAAATCAAAAAAATTATGTCATATTAGATGGGTAGTTTCCCCTCGGGCTATGAACCAATCCCTGAAAATCTTAGCCTAAAATTTTCAGCGCCAGTGAAGATATTCAACGAAATTTACCGGCCGAGAGAGTACGCTGAATGCGGAGGGCGGTCAGAGAAAAACCCCCTATATCTTTGCCAGTTTCGTGCGGAAAAAATTGATTTTTTGTGGAAACATTACTCTCTACGGTAGAAATAAGTATGAAATTTTTCATGGATAAACTCGTAAAAAAATTTTCGAATTTTGGTCATGTTTTTGGCAAAAAAATCTCGTTAGTTTCTGCAAAACGCGAGCTGGGAATCTCGTATATGGCTTGAAAAAAATTAATTTAAATTTGTTCCAATTTTCAATGAAATCTGAGTGTCGCATTTTGGCTATTTCAAAAAAATTTTTAAGGCGTATTTTACAAAAAAAAAAAAAATTTTTTTGAAAAATTCCCTTAAAATTCTATTTCCTCTCCTCATCCAGATCAATATTCTCGATCCGCTGCCGATTCGTATCCAGATTCCCATTCTCAACGCCGCCATTTCCGTTCTCGGCCGGCTCTTGTTGAAGGTTGGGCTCAACCCAAGCTTGCTGCGGCTTCAATTCATCCCCCAAGGGCACCACATTCACTTGAGTGGTCCCGTTCACACCATTCTGCGGCTTCTTTTGCTGCTCCTTCATGTTCCGCTCGTAGGAGGTCCATTTGGGCTGGAGGCGGAACAGCTCGCGCCAGCTCTGGAAATAATGATTGGAAACATGTTAGGACTCTTTTAGAATTTGAAAATTATTGAAAAAGTAACGAAAATATATTTTTTTTGAAAAGTTCCGCAGATTGACCGCCATCCCAAACGATCCCTCAATGCGAACTGCGCCCACAAGAAATGGAAGCCTAAGCCTTTTAAAAAAGACGATTTTTGGCTCGCTGCGTCAGCCGGGGACATTCAAAAAAAATTTTTTTGAGTTTTTTGGCCTAAAATGTTGGTATAGGTCACTAAAACACATTCCCAAAATTTTTTTGACCCAGTGATGTGATGGCGAATTCAAGTCAGTAGGATTACTGTAACATACAGTTTTTGACCTTCGGTCGATAAAAATCGACCGTATCTCCTTCAAATCAAAAATCCCACAAGATTTTCTTGCAGATTTGGAATCAGCGTAAAATTCTGGTCTAGGAACATGTAATTTGCATCCTTGATTCCGTGGCAGATAAATCATGGCGCAAATGGGGAAAAACTTCCTTATTTTGGCCACAACAAAGGTACCCCGCGAACTGCGCCCAAGCTTGGGCACTAAAGTTAGGAAAAAACGCTTCGACCTAGCTGGCACTGAATTACTATAATAGCTCTATAGTTTTAAGGGGACCTACGAAGGCTGTGACGACTCATTTAGTTCCATACGAAGGCAATAAGTTTAGTTCCGGACATGTTTCATCGTATAAAGTGTAAAATCACAGGCTGCAGACGTTTTTGAAGGGTAAGATGGTACGTAAAAAAGAAGGTACCTCACTAACTAAATCCACTTTAGTTAGTGATCCGGGCATTGACAACGATGAATTGAGCGTGCACGCTAAATTTGGGCTAATTCCGACCAGTTTCCGCAAAGTTATAAGTTGTAGCCAAAATAAGGAACTTTTACCGAAAATAGTACGTTTTTTGCCACAGGATCAGGTCCGTCATAGAGCCTTTCAAGTTCAGGGGAAGTACCCCAAGTGCGACTCCAGATTTTTATGAGACTTGAAGCAAATTTAGAAGAATTTTTTAAGACTTATTCCAGACTCCTAGCTCGTTCTTTGCATAAAAAATCAAGACTTTTTAGCCGAAAATTAGAAAAAATATGATTTTTTTGCGAATTTTTACATGAAAAGTTTCATAGCTATTTCTACCGTAGAGAGTAATAATTCCACAAAAAATCAATTTTTTCCCCACAAAACTGGCAAAGATATGGCCAAAAAGGATCTTTTTTCTGACCGCTCTCCGCATTTCGCGTACTCTCTCGGCAGATCGTTGAATATCTCGGCTGGCACTTAAAATTGCAAGCTAAGATTTTCAGTGATTGATATGTGGCCTATGCCTTGAATGTGTGCCAAATTTAAAGAAAATAGGGAAAATTCTGATAGTCGTACTTACAGTAATTCAAATTTTTATAAAGGTGCTAAAAAAGTAAAAAAAAAATAAAAAAATCAAAATTCTCACCCTTCCTTGTTTGCTGAACTTGTGCAAATTGTAGAGCACAAACGCCGGCAACGACATCAACGGCAGCAAGGAGAGCGTCCAGCCGAACATGATGGCCCAGTTCGGGTACTCGTACAGCCGCTTCCCCTTCCCGTAGTACAATTTGTTCCCGATCTGCGTCATCAGCACCACCACGAAGATGGCGGCGCTCTCGATGGGCGCCACGTACTTCCACACCATCTGCACGTAGCGGCCGGTCGGGCCGAACCAGCGGCCCAGCCAGGACTTGGGCTCGCCCATCATGTAGTGCAGGTCCTTCATGTAGTTGGCCAGACCGTACACATGCACGATCAGATAGAGCTCCATCAGCACCAAAAACATGATCGAGAAAGAGGCCGTGTAGTCGTTGAAGATGTTGAAGTAGAATATTCCCGCCTGAAAGGTGGGAAATATTGAGATTTTTTGAGAGAAAAAAGCGATTTTTTGACGAGGAAAGTACTTCTATTTGGTGTAGAGTTACAGGTGGTGACATATATCAGAAAAATCGCAAATCTTTTCTGATTCAGAATATATAAAAATTAGCTGCCTAATTTTGATTTGTAAAGGCGAAAAAATCCTCACGAGGGAATGATCTGAACTTCCCCCAGCGTTCGGGAAGATGACAAAAAAAAAACCACCGGAATTTATACGAAAATCCTTTATTATTTGATGTTTTATGATCTCTAGAAGTCTTAAAACTACGAAATATTTTTTTTTGTTCACAAGGGTTTATCCTGGTCACCAAAGCCGTATCATAGCTACTAAAAGAATACCGAGCGGACTCTTTGTCCACTCGGCCAACCGAACCACTGGATGGGCCTTTTCTTTTCCGAGGGAAGAGAAAGAGGAAATTTTTGTGGAACTTTCGGTGGATTTCTCTCATCGGCCGTACTTATTTTGTAGCTGGAAATTGCGTTTTCTGCTCTATCCACCTGGACTAGTCATTTTCCCGAGCGCTGGGGGAATTTCAGACTGTTCAATCGTCAGAATTTTTCTCGCTACTCAAATGCCTTTTGAGCTTTTTTGCAAGGTCTTTTCGGTGGCGTTTTTCCGTCAACTCTGACGAGCCATAACTCTGCCCTCAGAGCCCGTAAACACTTTTGGAAGCTAGATTCTTCTTACGCTTTCTGAGGTCTTCAACATCCACTAGGTCGCCAATAAGGATTGATCAGCGAAAAATGTGACTTCCCTTCTTAGAAGGTACCTCTTTCAAAATTTTTCAATTTCTTGGGGCAAAGAAACTTTCAAATTGCATAAAACTCACTCTCGTGCACATGCAGAGGCCGGCGAAGAACAGCGTGGTGCACACGCCCACCGCAATCCAGGCCTTGTACACGCGGATCTTCGGGAATTGGTCGTAGATGGCGGTAATCATCACTTCGGCCAGCCCGAACTGACTGGTGATCCCCAGGATGAACAGCATGATGAAGAAAAGCGCCGACCACAGCCACGGCAACGGCATTCGACTCATGGCCTCGGGGTAGGCGATGAACGCCAGCCCCGTCCCACTCTGCACCACCGTCTCGATTGGGGCCTCCAACTGCTTGGACATGAAGCCCAGCACCGAGAACACCGCCGTCCCACCGAACATGGACATCACCGCGTCGGCCACCGTGATGATCAGCGCGTCCTTGAAGCAGTTGTGCTTGATGGGGTTGAAACTGCTCAAGGACATCAGACCGCCGAATGCAATCGCCAAGGAGTAGCAGACGTGAGTGGCGGCGGCTCGCCAGGTCTGAAAATGAGCGAATTTTTGGGTGAAAAATGGTATGTTTGGTATTAAAAAAGGGGGTAAGATTAAATTTTAGGAAAAATTAAAATTTTTTGAAAAAAAAATTTTAGAACTTTTTTTTATTTTTTTTGTGAAAAAAATAAAAAATGTAGGGCTAGATACGTAAAAAATTTCGGGGCTTCGGTAGTTCAGCCCCCCACGAAAGGTAGTTCAGCCCCCCCACTGTTTTGCCCATTTCACACCCCCATAATGAAAAAATTAGAATAATAAAAAAAGTGCAAATGAGATTAAAATCTTAATTCTGAAACGATTCATTCATTCTTCTTGTTCTTCCCCTTGGAACCGGTCGGCATGTCACAAATCTCTACTTTGGAACAGATCACCAACCTCGTCTCTTCTGATGGTCTCATTGGTGCTCTGCAGGCTCTTGGTTGTCTGCCCAAAGACCTTTGTTGCGAGAAATGTGGGCACATTATGGTATTACGTACTCGGGGCCGTTCTATGGATAAATGCGAGGTATAGTGTGCATATGTACTTCTTCAGTTATAGTTTCGGTGCCGCAAAGAGGGAATTAGAATGTTTAGTAGTAGAACGTTTAGATCAAGCCCCCTACGTTTCAAATCAAGCCCCCTACGTTTTAGATCAAGCCCCCTACGTTTTAGATCAAGCCCCTACGTTTTAGATCAAGCCCCCTACGTTTTAGATCATGCCCCCTTACGTTTTACAAATTAGAATAATTCTTGGGAATAAATTTTGGGGGTACGGAATGGACGTGGGGGGCTGTACTGGGGCATGGGGGGCTGAACTGGACTGGGGGGCTGTACTACCTTAGCCCCAAAATTTCTTTACACAGTCTGACAAAGATATTTTAAAGCAAATTTAAAAATTTTTTCAAAGACAAAGGAAATAGAAAAATTTGCACAGTGCAAAACAAAAAATTTTTTGTCCGCACCATGCATAATCAAAAAAAAAATTGCGAACTGTGCAAAAGAGTGTTTTGTTTGCACAATGAAAAAAAAAAAATAAATAACAAAATTTTGTCAGCACTGTGCAAAAAATTCTTTTGTCCGCACCGTGCAAAAAAGTTTCGTTTCTCCGCACTGTGCAAAAAAACTTTTTTCTCTGCACTGTGCAAAAATATATTTTTGTCCGCACTGTGCATAATAAAAAAATTGCGAATTGTGCAAATTTTTTTGACTGCACGGTGCAAAAAAATAAATCAGAAAATTTTGTCCGCACTGTGCAAAAAAATTTTTTTTCTGTGCAAATAACAAAAATTTTCTCTGCACTGCGCAAAAAAAACTAAAAAAATCCATAAAAAATTGTTCCAAAAATCAAAACCCCCTACCTCCGGATCGTAAATCACAGTCATGTTTGGTTTCAAAATGTAATAATCCATTCCGATTTTAGCCCCATCCAGTGTGACTCCTCTGATGAACAACATCACAATGATCACATAGGGGATTGTGGCCGAATACGGAGCGATCTTTCCCATCATTTTCACGCCTTTCAAGAGGACCAATGCTGTTAGGATCCAAGCGATTGCCAGGGCCACAACGACTTTGAAATTAAAACCGCCGAATGAGTCCATTGTTGGGGTCTTCTCGAGGACGTAGCGTCTGAAAATTGGGATTCTTTGGGGGAAATTTTTTGAGGAGTAAAGAAAAAAAAATTTTTTAATTTTTTGGCCAAAAAATATTTTTTTTTACTGAAAAAATTTGTAAAAGAATAAAAAAATCAAAAAAAAAATAAATAAATAAAAAAATCGTATTTTATGGTTATAAAAATTTTTCTATTTTTTTGGATCAAGTTTTATGCGCTTTTTAAATAAAAATTACTTTTTTTTTATTTTCAAAAAAGAAACAATTTTCTTCAAAAAAAAAAAAAAATAAAAAAAAATAAAGAAAAATTTTTTCCACCCAAAAATGGCTTACTCAAAAAACTCCTCTGCTGGACTGACCGCCGGCAATACCGTTTCGTATAATTTGTCTCTAATATCCCGGATCCCATCCTCCGCTCCATAATGACAGGTTCCGTTGAAGAAAAAGGCCCAGTCCGTCGCGTTGGTGGCACCGTTTTCGTCAGCACAGCGTTGGTCTTCAAGAGACGATTGACAGTCTATAAAAAATTTTTTGGTTATTGCTTGCCAAAAAAATTTGCAAACCATTTTTTAATTTTTGTTTTCCAAAAAAGTCTGGGAAGCATATTCTGATTTTTGCTTGCCAAAAAAAATTTGTGAAGCATATTCTGATTATTGCTTTCCAAAAAAATCTGCAAAGCATTTTGTAATTTTTACTTGCCAAAAAAATGTGCAAAGCATTTTTAATTTTGGCTTCACAAAAAATCTGCAAAGCATATTCAAATTTTTGCTTTCCAAATTTTTTTAAAAATATTTTTGCTCTGCTCAAAAAATAAAAACCCCCACTTACAAATAGTGTTAAACTCGTTGCGGCAAGAGCTCCATTCCTTGCTCCTTCCCATCACCAGCACGTACAAGTAGACCATGGTCCAAGCAACAATAACATTGTAGTAAATGGCGACCATCAGCGAGATGCCCGCCATGCACCAGCCGATTCCCTGGTAGACGGGGCGGATCCGGCCGTAGAGGACGGCCGGCCCACTGCGCGAGAACTGGCCCAAACTCATCTCCAAGTAGAGCAGCGGGAAGCCGACCAGGAAGGAGCAGGAGAGGTAGGGGATGAGGAAAGCGCCTGAAATTAATTTTTTTGGGCTTTAAATTTTTAAAATACGGGGGGCTGTTCTAACATTTCTATAAGACATTTGACAAGAGAGCATGAGAAATGTGGAGAGCGGTTAGAGAAAAAAAACTTTTTTTTGGCAATATCTCGGCTGGTTTTGAGCGGAAAAAATTGGTTTTTTGTGGAAACATCGCCCACTACGGTAGAAATAAAGCTGAAGCTTTTCATGCATAAACTCGAAAAAAAATTGTCATATTTTTTTCAAATTTTGAGCAAAAAATCATTTATTTTTGATAAATGGCAAGCTAGAAACCTTTCATATGATTTATAAAAAAATATTCTAAATCTGTGTTCAATTTCATCCAAATCCGAAACCAAAAGTTTTCAAAAATTTCCAAAAAATTCGAAAAATTCCAAAAAATCCCAAAACTCACCTCCTCCATGCTCGTACGCCAGCGACGGGAATCTCCAGATATTCCCCAGTCCGACTGCATATCCAATACAGGTCAGGATGAACTGAATTCCACTGTCCCATTGCGCGCGCTCCGGGATTTCTCCGCTCATCTTTGAGATCCCTTCAAATCCGTTGGAAACCACGCGGAAAATCGAGATTCTTTGCTAATTCCTCCGAGTTTTTGCCAAATTTTTTATCCTAAATAACAACTACAGTCAATTCTCGTCAACACTTGATCAACGAACATCAAATTTTGAGCGATATGTTTGGCAAAACAGCAGGTTTTTTCTTGGGGTCGTCCCTTTTATAATGGATAATGTAAAAATAAACAAAAATATGCAAATCGCGCGCAAATTCGCTCCGGGGCAGTTGAAATACGGTCGTGCAGAGAGTTCTGTATCGGAAATTCCCCAACCCCAACAGAGAACAGGCGAGTGTTGAGGCGAATTCGGAGAAAAGTTAAATTCTCGAAAAACAGGCGGATTAAGATATTCGGGTTCGCTGAAAAGGTTGTCGTTGAAACAGATGACGGCTGTTCCAAACAAAAAATATGCTGATCCGTCTGTGAAAGAGTAAATTTTTGTTTGGGAAAGGCTTTGAAGCTGGGAATCCAGGCTTTGAAGCTGGGAATCCAAAGATCTTTCGGGAAGTTTGCATTTTGTAGGCCCTCAAGAAACTTGTTTTTTAAGACAATTTTTGTGAGAGACTCGAGTTAGCTGTGCACAAAAAACAAGACGTTACAGTAGAAACTCTGATCCAGCGGCAAAAAACGTAAAATTTTTTATCCGGGAAGCATTAAAAATGTAGCAAAATACCTCCCTCTCCAAGTGAAAAAAATCCGGTTTTAAAAGCGCGCCCGCTCTTTTTGCGAAGGCCCCTCAAAACGGAGTTTTTTCACTTGGAGAGGGAGGCATTTTGCCACATTTTTTGATACTTCCCGGATGCAAAATGGTACGTTTTTTGCCACTGGATCAGGTTCGTCAGTGTACAGGAGAAGTACCCGAAGAGCGAGGCTCAGATTTTGATTAAACTTGGGCACAAATTTATTACACAATAATTTTCATCAAGCCGTCAAAAAATAGCTGTATACATAAAATAACAGTTTTAAAAAACACTTTTCAAATTTATGCCAAATTTTACAGAGTAAATCCTCAAAGTGCAACGTTCAATTCTCGGTGAAACTCGGTACAAATTTAGAACGCGTTTTTTTCATCACGTGTGCGACATTCCAGGTTCGCGCTTTGTTCGAAACAATCGACATTTTTAGCCCGAAACTTGGGTACAGCTCGTCATTTTTGTCGAGTTTATGCATGAAAAACCTTGGAATTCGTATTCGCCACAAGAAGTTCGGACAATTTTGTCGCCGGCATTGCAATTTCTATGCCGAAAAATACATGTTGCTGGGGAAAAAAGTGAAAGTCGTGGCGATACTAATATAAAACAAAAAACGTCCTTTCTCTAGCCGCTCTCCGCATTTCGCGCACTCTCTTGTCCGCAAAAAAATGTTGAAAATCTCAGCTACTCTTGCAAAGTGCGAGCTAAAATTTTCAGGAGTTGATTTGCAAGCCATTTTGAAGATATTCCAAAATTTTTTTAGAGGAGACGTTTTATACGATCAAACCTGTTTCATCGTATAACGTGTCCCCTGCACTCACAATTCAGCTCCCCGCAAAGCGCGCGCTAAAACCTTCAGGTCTTTTATTGCGGTTTGAGACCAACATCTACATGGGCGATTCAGAGAAAGATCAAAGATACACTTTGTTTTAAAACACGTTTTTTCTAAGCTTGGAGAGCCTCGGCTACACGAAAAATCAAACTGCTTCATTTTTCTTTAAACTTGGAAAACTGTAGCTACGTACCATTCTAAGAAACTTTCCCGTTAACTTTTTTTCGAAATCTTACTGTATTTTGGGTTACGGTAACATGACTCGTTTTGTCATAACTCGAGAACCAGATGTCGTAGCGAGACGGGGTCTTTACCAGTATGTTCAGCGTGCCGAAAGACGGCTTTTTGTTAATTACACCAAGTTTCGAAGACGCCGGGAAGTGACCACAAAATTTGAATATTTATGCAAAAATTCAAAAATATGCAAATTTCTCGAAAATTTAACCCAAATTATGCTCATTTTTATTTGATGTCTCGAAAGGTGAAGTCATAGCGGTTCCAACGGCGTAAAAAACTTGAACGTGCGAACCGAGCTGACTGAGAACGGGCTGTTTGAAGTTGGGGCATCCAGTCATGAATGAGCAAAAAATCGGAGTAAACCGTATAAAATCATTGTTAAACGCCAAGAATGGAGAGTAAATTTTGTTATTACATTGTATAGGTCACAATAAAAGATTTTCCATATAATTTTCATAAATTTGCATATTTTGGAATTTCTTGCATTTACGGGTGCATCAGCCGCCAGGTAGGCGTGGACATGGGAAAAATCGATTTTGAGTTTTTTACATTAAAATGACTGTTGGAAGGTACTAAGCAAAAGCGAACAATATTTTTTCCCAAATCTTTCATTAAGGTATATTTTTACAACATTTTGACAATAAATGCAAGAAATTCCAAAATATGCAAATTTATGAAAATTATGTGGAAAATCCTTTATTGTGACCGATAAGATGTAATAACAAAATTTACTTTCCATTCTTGCCATTTAACAATGATTTTATGCAGTTTACTCCGATTTTTTGCTCATTCGTGACTGGGTGTCCCAACTTCAAACAGCCCGTTCTCAGACAGCTCGGTTCGCACATTCAAGTTTTTTACACCGTTGGAACCACTACGACTTCTATTCTCGACACATCAAATAAAAATGAGCATAATTTGGGTTAAATTTTCGAGAAATTTGCATATTTTTGAATTTTTGCATAAATATTCAAATTTTTTGGTCACTTCCCGGCGTCTTCGAAACTTGGTGTAGCTAACAAAAAGCCGTCTTTCGGCACGCTGAACGTACTGGTAAAGACCCCGTCTCGCTATGACATCTGGTTCTCGAGTTATGACAAAACGAGTCATGTTACCGTAACCCAAAATACAGTAAGATTTCGAAAAAAAGTTAACGGGAAAGTTTCTTAGAATGGTACGTAGCTACAGTCTTCCAAGTTTAAACAAAAATGAAGCAGTTTGATTTTTCGTGTAGCCAGGGTTGTTTACCTGCGTTTGACTTTTAGAAAAATCGTGTTTTAATTAAGAAAAGCTAAATCAAAGCAATTACGCAGATGTCTGTCTCACTGATTCAATTGATCCATCTCAAAAGTCCATAAACTAATTAAAGGATAGTCATCGTCAATAATGGGCGACTCCAAGGTGCGACGAATCCACATTATTTTCCCGACAGACTGATAGTCAGGCGCTGGCTAGCCGCAGCTGGAACCTCGGTGTAGACGATTTTACTGCGACAAACAGATGACAAGTCCACAGTACCTTCCCGACACAAATTTATAATATCGCTATGTCGGGAAAATAATGTGGGTTTTTCATAGCAAAACGTTCGTGGTGACCGTGCACCAAATTTCCTGCTGCGCCTAGAGGTCGCAGAGCGATGATGGGCGATTTCAAAGTGCGATGAATCCACATTATTTTTACGACAGACACACATTAGTATTTTTATGAAGTATATGGACATTTTGCTGCAGTCCGCATCGTACACAAAAATCCCCCTTTTACACCGTGCGCTAACGTTTTTTTGGTTTTTGCACCGTGCGAGGCGCGGCAATCAAAAATCGAATAAAAATGTCTCCTGCCCACTTTGAGCTTCGTCCAGACGAAGTGTCGCAATTGACAAAAAGAAATATCCACGAAAAATTCAATTTTTCAAAAATGCCTTGTGCGTTCGTGACAAGCGTGGGAAAAGTTTGCAAATGCACTGTGCGAAAGAGAAAAAATGTCTCTGCACTTTATGAAAATACTAATATTAATAAAAAGAGCTTGAAAAATCAAAAACCCCCATCCACTTACAGCCATTATACCTAGGCATTGATCACCGGGTGGATTAAAAAAAAAGATGACTATAAAAGGTAAACGGGGGGATTGTTATTTTTGGTCGGAACGGAGTGAAGTCTATACTTATCCCACCCAACTTTTATCCCATCCAAAACGTTTTTTGATGATAGCATGAGGAACATGAAGAACATGTGGGATCTACCCGAACATACGTTGGTTGTTTGCTCTTATAATTAGATCGTATAATGGGAGATCACTCGGTGATTTTGCGAGATTGCTGCAGCGAATATTGGAGTTTTTTAAAGACGATTTTGAGGGGGAGAAAAAAAATTTTCATATCAGTCTGTCGGGAAAATAATGTGGATTGGTAGGCACCTTGGGGTCGCCCATCATCGCTTTGCGACGTCTAGCCGCGGCTAGCAAATTTGAGACGGGACATTTTTCTATTATCTTTGTAAGTCTTTGTGACGTCACACCGGTGGCATACCGTAGAGTAAAAAATGAAAATATAATGTAATTTTAATCTAGTCGCGCCTTAAAATCCCGACACTTTTAGTCGGCGCAAAAAGTCCTTGGAATTTTTTGCGGCCCCTAAATTTTGTCGTACCCCGAAAAGTCGATTTGTCGCTGAGAAAAATGGGAATCGCGACAAATAAGGCAAAATCAACAAAATCGCACAGTGCAAAAGCACTTTTCGGGCCGGATGCACGGTGCAAAATGTGTTTTCGGGTTCGTGCACAGTGCGGAGTCGCAGAAAATTCCAAGGACTTTTTGCGGCGACTATTACACGATGAGTTTAATTAGGGTCCGCCGCGGCGAACGTACCAGCGACATGCACGAGCTCACTCCGATTTTCGCGCTCGGCATCAGCGATAAATGTGTTGGGACTTTATGGCGCAACTACCATCAAACTGTCGGGAAAATATTGATCACTCGAGAATCGCATCGTCGCCGAGAAACTAAATTATGTCGGGGAGAAAATCAAATTGCTTTTTAATTCCGCGACGTCATCGGCGCACATTCTGCTCATTATTTCCCCGACAGACAATGAGAATCTAACTATCAGTCTGTCGGAAAAGTAATGTGGATTTGTAGTGCCTTGGAATCACCCATCGCTGTTCAACGACGGCTAGCTACGGCTGGAGATTGAGGAAAGGCAAGACATTCTGCGACAAATCCACATTATTTTCCCGACAAACTAATAGCAAGAGAAAAGTTTTTCTGTGTGACCACTCATGCACCCTCCAGACCGCAAAGATCGTTGAATATCTTGGCCGCCCCTGAAACGCGCGGGCTGAAACTTTCATGAATTGATATGTGGCCTATGTCCGGCCCATGTGCAAAATTTAAAGAAAATCTGAGAGTCGCACTAGGGGTAATTCCATTGTCAGCTATAAAAATTAGAGCTTTTTCTTTGTCTTGAATTTTCACTGTAGTCTAATGAATGTGTATAACATATTTAGTATCAAACAGAATGGGGATGTCTATGGATTCAGGAAAAAAAAGAATTTTGACATTTGGCCAAAAACTAAAAAAGTTATGGCCAATTCAAATCCGCCCGAAAAATTGCCGCACCCTGTACTCCAAGCGCGATGCTCAGGCTGTGATAGAACTTGGCACAAATTCACCTTCAAGTCTTTGTGACATCACACCCGTAGCATACTGTAACATAAAAAATAACAATGACAAATTTGCTACTATAGAATTCTATAGAAAGGACTTTTGGCCGATTGGATATCAGTCTGTTGGGAAAATAATGAGCACTCTGTCGCATCAAAAATCGCATCGCCGCCGAAAAAAAATCCTTGTGTCGCGACAAAATCAATTGCTTTTCACTTCAGCGACACATCGGCCCACATTGCCCTCATTATTTTCCCGCCAGACTGTTATCCAATTGCCCAAAAGTCCGTCCGTTCCTTTCGATGACATTCTAGGACTTTGCAGCTTAACGAATCCAAAGAGTCCGAGCCGAAGCCGTTAATAGGCGCCCCAAAAAAACAGCCCACAAATCCGCGTCTGGCGGCGCTCTCCGCGAGTTGGCGGCGGCGGACAATGGAACGGGGCTGCAGAGAGCCAAAACTAGGTGCAACCGACTTCCACAGTCTTCACCGCTCCGCGAATACCCCGAAACAATGCCGCAGGCGGAGCGTGATTGCGTGCGACACAAAAACAAAACCGAAAAAGGCGTGGAATTTTGCATAATCGACGAGGGAGTTGCTCGGCCGGAAGCGCGGCGATGCGCGTTAGTGCATACGGAAGCGAATCCTCCGTATGTAGGAGGAAGTTGCAAAATTTGGAACAGGGAGTAAAAAAAATTTGAGTCTGTCGGGAAAATAACGTGGATTTGTCGCAGCACCCAATCTCCAGCCGCGGCTGGCCGTCGCAAAGCAACGATGGGTGCCGCTACGAATCCGTATTATTTTCCCGAAAAAAATCTATGCATTTTTGAAAAATAATAAGGCCCGGGAAAGATGGTTGATTTTTTGTTTTAATTTTAATTCTTGCTTTCAATTTTTTTCATTTCGCAAAGGCATAAATTTCTAATTGTAAGAGTTATTAGTTGCACCATAAAGTCCCGGCACGCTAATCGCAAATATCGCATTAGAAAATTGGGGGCTTCGGTAGTTGAGCCCCCCACGAAAGGTAGTTCAAACCCCCACTGTTTTGCCCGTTTCACACCCCACATAATGAACAAATTATAATAATACAAAAAATGTAAGTGGGGGTTTGATCTACTACGTTGGGGGTTTGATCTATAATAAAACGTAGGGGGCTTGACCTAAAACGTAGGGGGCTTTTTCTTAAACGGAGGGGGCTTCATCTAAAACACAGGGAGCCTGTGCTGGACCATACAACTTGGATTAATTCTTTGAAATAAATTTTGGGGTTGAGAATGGACGAGGGGGGTTGTATTGGGTCATGGGGGGCTAAACTGGACTGGGGGGCTGTACTATTAGGTTGGACGGAAAGTTCGTACGATTTTTTACTGCTGCTATTTTTTCTTGCGCTGATAGAAAAAGACAAACACAAATATATGGTATTGGTAGGGGACAGGCATCCCTATCTGGCACTACAACCCTCAGCCATCTTAAGCATGTACGAAGAGAGAACTTAATTTAGACATTTACCCATCTTTGGTCTACAAGTAGAGATCCTTGGCTGGTTTGTTTAACAAGGCATAATAAGAAACTGCTTTAGCACTGCTAAAAAGCTTCCTTTTGATGCTCTTAATATGCGTGAAGTATTCGGGGATTAAATCAAAACATAGCCAGAAAACTTGGCTTTAGCAAGACCCACCAAGTTTGAATATGATTTACAACAGTCGCTTGCCGATGCATTCCTATGGGTCTAACTATGATATGTCAAAACTAAAGACACTGCCTTACACTTAGGTACCCGTCCTTAGCCAATTGTTTTACTGCGTAACATGACAGAACTCAATGATTTATTTTTCAAAAACTCGCTTGTGAACTATCGGAGCAATTCGTAAAATTCAAAAAACAGCTCAAAGCAGTTTTCTAATCCTCCTTTTCTAGGGTGGAAAATTGAGCCTCTTTATCGTTCTACTACTTTATGAAGCAATGGGTAACCATTGTTAATTGTCAGCAAATCACATGCGTTTCTCTAGAGCTATATATTTTTGGCAATTTTGCCTCTTTACGCCAAACCCGAAGCGTCTATGATCCGGGTTACTCATGTAGCACGTAAAGGGCTACCCGTGTGCCTCACTGAACCCTGTTATACGGACAGACCATCATCAATGCGTGGAGTAATAAAAAAACTTTTTCAAGCGGGGCGTTTTTTGAAGATTTGGTTGAAACAATAGCTATTATTTTATCCCACAGACTTTTTTAAGAGTTTTAACTGTGGTTAACGTAGTTGGATGGACCACTAGAAATAGCCTAAAAAGTTTCAGAGCTTCAGCAAAAACGGTTTGGAAACTAGAGCTTGCATTCCGCACCCCACCCGAAACTACCCCAAAGCGGAGAACCTCTTATAATTATGCTCGTTTTGGCCGAACTAACGACTGGCACATATCACATAAATCTGCACGCTGTACTCTTGTATATACTAGGTATCTACGGTAGACAGTCGGTCGTGGCGCAAAAAAAAATAAATTTCAAAGTTGGGTAGCAAATCGTACGAACTTTCCGTCCAACCTAATACCTTAGCCCCGAAAATTGTAGTAAGCTCGCAGGAATGTGCATGTCCTATGACCGACTTTATGGCGCAACTTCAGTTCGAGATTCTCAATGATTCCAGAAAGATTGCAATTTTTTGGTTGGAAGCTCTAAAAAATTTCCAGTTTTTTGCGAGCAGCCAAAGAACCACCTAGATTCTGCAGGCATGTTTGGAAATCAGCCAACATTTGCTTACAACTAAAAATTCAAACTATGGATTTGGGTGTTGGATATTGCGGATTAATTTTTCAGGTGTATAAGTGGCTAGAATAGCTACCATAAGGTTGACCAGGCGTTTTTAAAGGTTTAGAAACCATTTTTCCCTAGGCAAACTCTCATAAATTTGCAAGCGGTGTATGAATTCAAGAAATTCGTAGACTTATCTGTACTAGGGAGTTGCTTGCTTACGTGGTCATAATTCTCCAGATTTTTTTTTATTTTTTACCACTTTTTTCCAACTTTTCATATCATTCCATCAACAAATCCCGACTCATTGTCAGTGTGCTTGATTTATTAGGCGTTTACAAAATACCTTGTTAAAAATATTTAAAAGAAAAACGAAGCCGGACGCGGGTCCGGGAGACCATTTTAAGACGTTATAAACCGTTACGAAAGCCATGTACAATAAGACGACTACAATAAAATTAGAAAAAAAAAGAAAATCCCCTGAATTTTTGAATGGTTGGTTTTGTAAATCGGATATATAGATATTCAAATTTAAAAAAACGAAAATTCGAAAACTTGAATATTCAAGATTTTTGAACCAATTTTTTTCGTATTTTATACACAAATTTTTTGTTCCTTTTTTGAGGCGACGACGATTATATGAATAGATTGAGCCGGAAGACGGGAAATTTACATATTTGGCGGGAAATTAGAGAAAAAAAAGAGAGAAAGGAAGATCATTTTTTGAGTGATTTTTTCTTTGAAATTCTTGGAAAAAGTATCGCAAATTTTTTTTTCAAAAAAAAATTTTGAGATTTTTGAAAAAAAAAATTTTTTTAAAAATCGACCAAAAATGTTTTTTTTAAAATCGACCAAAAAATTTTTTTTTTTCAAAATCGACCAAGAAATTTTTTTTCAAAATCGACCAAAAATTTTTTTTTTCAAAATCGACCAAAATTTTTTTGCAGTACTCCACTAAACGTAGAGCAATATTGGATACGAATATTGCCCCTAGAGACAGACGAATAGACGGTTTTTACAACAACAAAATTGAAATAAGTTAGCAAATGGGAGAAATTTCCAATCTCCTCCGAAAATGATGACTAAAAAATTTTGAAAAAACAAAGTAAATCTCTTTACCAAGGACCTCAAACACTATGGGAATAAATTTTACCCCCTCTGAAGTCCATTAATTTAAGATTTTCTCGATTTTTCAAAAATTTTCGTCAAAATCCATCGGAAAATTGAAAAAATTGGGAAAAAAACGGCAAAATTCGTTGTAGCCAATGACGCTGACGGCATAACAAACAGTTTAGAGCTTGAGCCGTTTGGCCACGCCCTCGAAACAGTCGTAGATCGCGGAGCGTTTGCGGGCCGAGGGCTCGAACTTGGCCGAGTCCACCATTGTGGTGGTGTTCGTGTCCAAGTCGGTGATGCAGTGGCCGTAGACCGAGGCCGACTCGCTGAGGTAGGCCTCCATCCCGCAGTTGGCGACTTTGGAGACCGGGGGTCGCTGAAAATCGAGGGAAATTAGGGAAAAATTTGGTTTCTTATATTATACTTGATGAAAATTTGAGAGCTGAAGTGCTCAAAGTAGGATGGTTGGATTTCTTTCAAATTTGGTATAGTAACAGTACATAGGGTGTATTTTAATCACACCAAATTTTAGATATTTCCTAGCACCGCCAGCTAAGTTACAAGCTTTTCTTTTTTCCCGAGAGAGTACAAAAAATGAGGAGGGCGGTCAGAGAAAAGATGCTTTTTTGCTTGTAATATAGCGGATTTCCCTTGAAAAAAATTATTTTTAGCATAAATATTGCACTTTACATTAAATTTCAAAAAAATTTTAGGTTCTAAAAATCGCACAGTGCAAAAATTTTAGGTTCAAAAAATCGCACAGTGCAAAAATTTTTAGCTCACAAAATCGCACAGTGCAAAAATTTTAGGTTCTAAAAATCGCACAGTGCAGAAATTTTTGGTTTTAAAAATCGCACAGTGCAGAAATTTTTAGCTCAAAAAATCGCACAGTGCAAAATTTTCAAGTTCTTAAAACCGCACAGTGCAAAAATTCCCCAAGTCTCCGCCGAGCGTTCGCCGAGTGTCCGCCGGCCACCCAACGGATTCGCCAGGCCTCATAGCCACTTCCTAGAACCTTTTTTCGGGTGTCCACTTGCCCTACGGCTCGTATTGATCGAGTTTGTGTTGATCCGAACTGCCGTCGACCCCAAAAGTTGGGACGCAAATTTCTCGACGGCCCCAGCCAAGAGTGAGTTGAAATTTTCAGAGCTTGATACTGACCATACTTCTTCAAAAAAAATGATATCTTTTATCACTTTTTTCCAACTTTTCTTATCATTCCATCAACAAACCCCGACTCATTGTCAGTGTGCTTGATTTATTAGGCGTTTACAAAATACCTTGTTAAAAATATTTAAAAGAAAAACGAAGCCGGACGCGGGTCCGGGAGACCATTTTCAGACGTTATAAACCGTTACGAAAGCCATGTACAATAAGACGACTACAATAAAATTAGAAAAAAAAAGAAAATCCCCTGAATTTTTGAATGGTTGGTTTTGTAAATCGGATATATAGATATTCAAATTTAAAAAAACGAAAATTCGAAAACTTGAATATTCAAGATTTTTGAACCAATTTTTTTCGTATTTTATACACAAATTTTTTGTTCCTTTTTTGAGGCGACGACGATTATATGAATAGATTGAGCCGGAAGACGGGAAATTTACATATTTGGCGGGAAATTAGAGAAAAAAAAGAGAGAAAGGAAGATCATTTTTTGAGTGATTTTTTCTTTGAAATTCTTGGAAAAAGTACCGCAAATTTTTTCTTCAAAAAAAATTTTGAGATTTTTGAAAAAAAAAATTTTTTTTTTCAAAATCGACCAAAATTTTTTTTCAAAATCGACCAAAAAATTTTCTTTCAAAATCGACCAAAATTTTTTTTTTCAAAATCGACCAAAATTTTTTTTTTCAAAATCGACCAAAAATTTTTTTTTTCAAAATCGACCAAAATTTTTTTGCAGTACTCCACTAAACATAGAGCAATATTGGATACGAATATTGCCCCTAGAGACAGACGAATAGACGGTTTTTACAACAACAAAATTGAAATAAGTTAGCAAATGGGAGAAATTTCCAATCTCCTCCGAAAATGATGACTAAAAAATTTTGAAAAAACAAAGTAAATCTCTTTACCAAGGACCTCAAACACTATGGGGATAAATTTTACCCCCTCAGAAGTCCATTAACTTAAGATTTTTTCGATTTTTCAAAAGTTTTCGTCAAAATCGGTCGGAAATTTGAAAAAATTGGGAAAAAACGGCAAAATTCGTTGTAGCCAATGACGCTGACGGCATAACAAACAGTTTAGAGCTTGAGCCGTTTGGCCACGCCCTCGAAACAGTCGTAGATCGCGGAGCGTTTGCGGGCCGAGGGCTCGAACTTGGCCGAGTCCACCATTGTGGTGGTGTTCGTGTCCAAGTCGGTGATGCAGTGGCCGTAGACCGAGGCCGACTCGCTGAGGTAGGCCTCCATCCCGCAGTTGGCGACTTTGGAGACCGGGGGTCGCTGAAAATCGAGGGAAATTAGGGAAAAATTTGGTTTCTTATATTATACTTGATGAAAATTTGAGAGCTGAAGTGCTCAAAGTAGGATGGTTGGATTTCTTTCAAATTTGGTATAGTAACAGTACATAGGGTGTATTTTAATCACACCAAATTTTAGATATTTCCTAGCACCGCCAGCTAAGTTACAAGCTTTTCTTTTTTCCCGAGAGAGTACAAAAAATGAGGAGGGCGGTCAGAGAAAAGATGCTTTTTTGCTTGTAATATAGCGGATTTCCCTTGAAAAAAATTATTTTTAGCATAAATATTGCACTTTACATTAAATTTCAAAAAAATTTTAGGTTCTAAAAATCGCACAGTGCAAAAATTTTAGGTTCAAAAAATCGCACAGTGCAAAAATTTTTAGCTCACAAAATCGCACAGTGCAAAAATTTTAGGTTCTAAAAATCGCACAGTGCAGAAATTTTTGGTTTTAAAAATCGCACAGTGCAGAAATTTTTAGCTCAAAAAATCGCACAGTGCAAAATTTTCAAGTTCTTAAAACCGCACAGTGCAAAAATTTTGGGCTCCAAAAATCGCAGTGCAAAATTTTTGGGCTCTAAAAATCGCACAGTGCAGAAATTTTGGGCTCTAAAAATCGCACAGTGCAAAAATTTTTCGTTCAAAAAATCGCACAGTGCAAAGACTTTTGGCTCTAAAAATTGCACAGTGCAAACATTGTTAACTCAAAAAATCGCACAGTGCAAAAATTTTTTGCTGAAAAAATTGCACAGTGCAGAAATTTTGGGCTCAAAAAATCGCACAGTGCATAGACTTTTGGCTCGAAAAATCGCACAGTGCAAAAGTTTTAGGTTCTAAAAATCGCACAGTGCAAAAAAAATCAAAAAAAAAATCGAATCCTTACCACATTGACCAGGTCCACGAACGCGGTGGTGGATTCGCTCTTCTTGCACGGCTCCTTCTCGAACTGCCCGATCATCGGGCACGAGCTGACGTTCAGCAGCTCCGAGTAGGTGTTCAGGTTGGAGGGCAGCGCGGAGGGGGGAGTGGTGTCGGCCAGCGACGCGCCATTCCCCTCCTCCATGAAGTTCTCGGGCAGCGGCTGCGGCACGCTGTAGTCCGAGGCGGCCGGGCACGAGGCCGAGATCATGAATTGTTCGTACACCGGATATAACAGGTTCTCGTGCGTCGACGGCATCTCGTCGCTGCCCAGTCTGCAAGAAAAAATGGATTAGAAATTGGGAATTTGAGGTTTGAAAAATAGCTCAAAACTGCACAGTGCAGAAATTTTTGGCTCCAAAAATCGAACTGTGCAAAAATTTCAGGTTCTAGAAAACGCACAGTGTAAAAGTTTTAGGTTCTAAAAACCGCACAGTGCAAAAATTTTTGGCTCCAAAAATCGCACTGTGCAAAATTTCTTGACTCTAAAAATCGCACAGTGCAGAAATTTTGGGCTCTAAAAATCGCACAGTGCAAAAACTTTTGACTGTAAAAATCGCACAGTGCAAAATTTTCAAGATCTGAAAATAGCATATTGCTAAAATTTTTGATCAAAAAAATTGCACAGTGCAAAAATTCTAGATCAAAAAACTGCACAGTGCAAAAATTTAAGGAACTAAAAATTGCATAGTGCGAAAAATTTTGACTCTAAAAATCGCACAGTGCAAGTTTTTTTTACTCGAAAATCGCACAGTGCATTTCAAAAACTCCCAAAAATTTGCACAGTGCAAAACAAAAAAAAAATTTTTTTTAACTGGGAACCCAAAATTCCCGCCCTAACAAGCTCTAAATCCGCTTACAATGAGTAATCCCGAGCTGGGACGGTGTGGTAGTCGTCGTAGTAGCGGCGCGACCCCTCCAACATGTACAGGTCGGGTTCGGACTCGCGCCAGGAAGGCGCGGACGTCGGCGACGACACCATGTCCGCGCTGCTGGGCGTGTTGGAGGTGAAGGTGGGCGGCATGGGCTTGTTGAAGAGCGGGTCGTAGCTGCAGTCGCTCAGGCAGTCGTCCAGCTCGGCGGACGGCGGCATCGGCGCCAGGTCCTCGCACTCGCTGTACATGAACATGGGGTTGGTGGGGGCAAGGAAGGAGGAGTCCAGCGAGTCGTTCAGGTCAGACGGGAGGGAATCATCAAACGATTGGACACTGGAAACGTTGATTTTGAGTTTTGGTAAAAAAATTACGGTTTTTTTTTTTTATTTTTTTGCAATTTCTCAGCGAATTGATGAGAAAAAAGCTAAATTTTTTGAAGAGAATACGCCTGCAGTAGTTGAAACATAATGCCAAAATTTTATTTCGAAATTCCAAAAAAATTTTGAAAAGTATCAAAAAGTATCCAAATTTGGAAAAAGTCTATTTTTAGTCCAAAAAATTAAGAAAAATTAAGGAAGACTGTATAATATCTATATAAAAGCAATTTTTTTACATTTTTTCTTCAATTTCAAAAAAATTTTTTAATTTTTTCCATTTTTTCTTTCAAAAAATCATTTTTTCAGCTTTTAAAATCACCACAAAGCAATTTTTTATTTATTTTTAACCAATTTTTTCACGGAATTTCCAAAAAATTTTAAAAAAAAATTTTAATTTTTTCCCCTCAAAAAGTCATTTTTTCTCTAAACTCACTTCAAATCTTGTACCAATGGATCCTCAACTTCTTCGTACTCCTCTTCCTCCTCCTCTTCTTCCTCACTCTCTTCCTCTTCTTCTGTCTCTTCTTCGTTTTCCTCTCTCATTTCCTCCTCTTCATAAGTTTCGTCTTCAACTTCTTCCGTCTCCTCTTCATCGTCGTCCTGGACGTCTTCGACGAGGGCTTTCTTCTCCGCCGACGTGGAGGGGATCTTGCCTTTGAGCTGTTTGCGGAGCTCTCGGGTCACTTCGTCGTCGTACTTCTCGGACATGTTCTTCTCCTGCTCCAGCATGAACGCGACGAAATTTTTGATCAGCAGTCTGAAAACGGAGGCCGGTCTGATGCGTTTCGGGTGAGAACTTGGACATAAAATTTCGGAAAAATCCCAGTGCTACCCAAAATTTTAAAACTAAAATTTTTCAAGTACCAGTTTTCAGATTCTTTTCAAATTTCCCCCATATGATATATATGCTTCTTAAATTAATCTGTGAAAATTTCAGCCCAAAATTTACAATTTCAGCCGAGATATTCAACGATTTTTCCAGAAAATCGTTAGAGACGGTCAAAAAGATTTTTTTTGTCCATATCTCGGCGAATTAGCGGTCAAAAGATACGATTTTTTGTAGAAATTATGTTTACAGCAGCTGAAACAGAATGCCAAAACTTTTTTTTCGAAAATTTTGAAAAAATTTCAAAAAGTATCAAAAAGTATCCAAAAAAATTCTTCGAAAAAATCGTCATACAAGCTTTCTAGACCCATTCTAACCACTCTAAAATATTTTTCACCCATTTCCCCGCCTAAAATACGACTATTTCCCAAGCCACATGGACTTTTGGCGGTCATCGAAAAGTATCAAAAAGTATCCAAAAATCAAAAAAATTCTTCAAAAAAATTGCCACAAAAGCTTTTTAGACCTATTCTGATTTCCTTAAAATATTTTTTAACCTAGACCCAGCCTAAAATACGACAGTTTCCCCAGCCCAAAACACGGACCTTTTGCGCATTGCCGCACCGCCGCACGAGGCCTTCTTTTTCTCCGATTTCTTGGCGCATTTTGCCACCGCCAAAGAGCACATGTAGGAGAAGATGTCGTCGACTTGTGGTTGAACGTCATCTTGTATAATGGACATGAATTTAAGGAAGCGGGCGACGGGAAAACGACGGAGTTGGGCGGCGGGTTGTGTTGAGGCCGGGAACCGAGACGACCGTGGCTGAGTCGACTCTACCTGCAATGGGAGAGATTAATCAGTAAATTAGAGGTTCTTTTAGAATGTTTTTATCAGTGAAAAATCTCGAAAAATCCGCGAAAATAAAAAAAAATAAAAATTTTTTTTCCAAAAAAAATCAGTGAAAAATCAAATTTCAGATTGGTAGAATTATCCGTAATAGCCTTATTTTCCCAGAATAATTTTTTTAAACCAAAAATCTCACTTTAAAAAAAATTTGTTACCTAAAAATATTATTTTAAAAAATCAGTGAAAAATAAAATTTCAGATTGATAGAATTATCCGTAATGCCATTATTTTCCAATAATAACCTTTTTAAACCAAAAATCTCACTTTAAAAAAATTTGTTACCTAAAAATATTATTTTAAAAAATCAGTGAAAAATAAAATTTCAGATTGATAGAATTATCCGTAATGCCATTATTTTCCAATAATAACCTTTTTAAACCAAAAATCTCACTTTAAAAAAATTTGTTACCTAAAAATATTATTTTAGCCCAAATATTGCCGAGATTTAATAAAAAACCCGGAAAAACATGCCGATAAGAGCCCTCCTTCTTCATAAATACTCTATAAATTTCCTAATGCCCCCGCTAATCCGTATTCGGCTCTCTTCCCCTCAGGGGTTTTCCCGAATTTTCGAATTTTCCCGGGGAAAAAATAAAAAAAAAAAAATAAAATAATTTTTTTTGTGACAATGTTAACGATATGATTCGCCAACGAGTTTCCATCAATGATGGAAAATTTCGTCATGGCGAAACGTCGCGAAAAATAAATGGAACCTGTTTTTTCCCCCCTCGCTCCCCACCTTTTCTTGTTTTTGTTATGGCTATGAGAATCGCGCAGTATTAGTAATAAAGGCTCGTAAAATAAGAATGTTGAGTGCTGGCCGAGACATACACATTCAGGTGTTCATAATAGGCTCGAAATTTTGTTTGGAAATTGAGTTGGGAAACTTGGAAAAAATATCGAAATTTGATCAATATTTTGATGTCTGGAAGAGCGAAAATTGACTTCAAAATGGATGCTGTTCTCTGACAAACGTAATACATTACGAGAGTTTTGTAGTCGGTGAAATTTTTGGGGTTAAAAACAGATTTTTATATTGTACTAGGTACAAAAGGGAATTTTGATATCTAAAACAATATTTTGATGTTTCCAAAGGGAAAATTATGATAGATATATGCTCTATAGGCCTATCTAATAATCTAGGACAAATTTCAGACCCGTGGCTAATAAAATTTGCCTTGAAACACCCATTTACATTGTACTAGGTTCCAAAGAAATTTTTATATCTAAAATAATATTTTGATGTTTCAAAAAGAAAAATTATGATAGATATAGGCTGTATAGGCCCTATGTAACAGTCTAGGACAGATTTCAGACCCGCGGCTAGAAAAAATTGCCTTGAAACGACCATTTTTACATTGTACTAGGTACAAACGGGAATTTTTATGTCTAAAACAATATTTTGATGTCTCAAAAGGGAAAATTGTGATAGATATAGTTATTATAGGCCCTGTCACACAATATAGATCAAATTTCAGACCCGCGGCTAGTAAATTTTGAAACCACCATTTTTACATTATACTAGACATTCAGGTCAATTTTGCGCCAAAACCGATGTTTTAACGCTTTGAAATGCTAAATTCTAATTTATTTACTCGTCATACGTGCCATTCTACAATTTTAAATTAAAATTCCCCATTTACAATTCCTCTCTTGACATTAGTTGAGCCCTTTTTCGCATTTACTACCTAAAATCTCCCAATTTTCACGTCCCCGCGAAATTTATTCAAAATCCCATTTCCACATGATCTCCCCTGCCCGCCCCGCCACCTATTCTCCACTGCCGAGCGATTTACATCGCCCGAATCCACGCGGTAATCCTATCAAAACGCCAAATCGCCTTAAATAGAACATCAACCCCGCTATCTACGGGCGAATTCGCGAAAACTCCGCGCCATCGCTGATATGGGAGGGGGGAGGGAGATAAACATGATGAGAAGTAAAGATTCACATGATTAATATGAAATGCGTGTGAGTAGAGGGGGAAGTTGGAGCTGAGGCGGGGGAAAATGGGAATTTGGATAAAATAAGGTGGGATTTTTGAGATTTTTCGATTTTTTGTGGGGAAATGAGGGAAAAGAGATGGAAATTGGGAAAAAATAAGAATTGGAGGATAAATAGGAAGTTTCAAAAAAAAAAAACAAAAAAAAAATGATTTTTGCCAAAAATTTTTTTTTATTTCTTATTTTTTTGGCTGAAAAATAAGGAAAATGAGGGGGAAATTGGGAAAAAATAAGATTTGGAGGATAACCAGAAATTTTTTTCAAAATAAAAAAAATTTTTTTTTGATCTTTGCCAAATTTTTTTTTATTTTGTTCCAAATTTCACACAAATTTCACAAAAAAAAATCACTTTCAATTTTTCCCCCAAAATCTCAAATACCCCGCGGCAAAGCGTCCTTGAAATAAATTTTCTGCGACTCCGCACTGTGCATGAACTCGAAAAAACATTTTGCACCGTGCATCGGGCCCAAAAACTGCATTTGCACAGTGCAGTTTTTTTTTGCCTTTTGTCGCGCGCGATCCCCCATTTTCGCAGCGACAAATCAATTTTTCGGAATTTGAGGGCCGCGAAAAGGTCCCTCGAATTTCCCCCAAATTCCGTCGCGCTCCGAAAAATTTGATTTGTCGCTCCGAAAAACGGGAGTCGCGCGCGACAAAAAGCAAAAGAAAACAAAATTGCACGGTGCAAAAGAATTTTTTGGCCGGATGCACGGTGCAAAATGTTTTTCCGGGGTTCATGCACAGTGCGGAGTCGCGAAAAATTCCAAGGACTTTTTGCCGCGGGGTATTTGAGGTTTGGGGGGAAAAATTTAAAGAGATTTTTTTTGTGAAACTTGTGTGAATTTAGAACAAAATAAAAAAATTTTTTTTTGCAAAAATCAAAAAAAATTTTTTTTTTTTTTTGAAAAAAATTCCATTTATCCTCCAAATCTTATTTTTTCCCAATTTTCCCCTCATTTTCCTTATTTTTCAGCCAAAAAATTAGAATAAAAAAAAAATGAAAAAAAAATTTTTTTTTTTGAAAAAAATTCTAAAATTTCTATTTATCCGTTTTTTATTTTCGAAAAATCCGATTGCACCGTGCAATTCGAAAAATTACACCGCGACATCTCAAAAAAAAAAAACAAAAATTAATGCGACAGCAGACGAGAATTTATTTTTAATCGGTTGCCTAGCGACCGAGACTTTGAAAAACAACTCTCTTGATATCATAAGACTCCCCACTGTTTCACTATATTATTCGTCAAGGTCTGGAAAAACAAAAAAAAACATCTGTTTAAAAAAAATAAAAAAAAAAATTTGTTTTTCAAAAACGCAGGTCATCACAGAATTAGCCGCCCACAATCGCGGCTAATCGACGTAATTGCCAGCGGGCTTTTGTGCGAGGAGGGAAATGGCTAAATTCTCTCTCTCTTGTTTTCCCCCCACCACACATAATTGTCGAACGAACGCACGCCCGGATCCCATTCGCAGAATGCGAAATAGGTCAGCGGATTTCGCTGGAGAGGATCTCTTCGTCTCGCGGAGCGAGAGAGAGAGAGTTTTTGCGGGAAAATAATCAAATTTCAGCCGGAGAATACGCTCCATAAATATTGGAAAAATTAAAAAAAATTTTATTTTTTAAAATTTACACAGCCCAAATATCAATTCCTGAAAGTCCTAGCCCGCTCTTTGCAGCAGCAGCCGAGATATTCAACTGCCGAGAGAGCACACGAAATGTGGAGAGCGGTCAGAGAAAAACCCTCATTTTTTGGCCATATCTTTGTCAGTCTGGCGGGGAAAAAATTAATTTTTTGTGGAAATATTACTCTCTACAGTAGAAATAAGCATGAAACTTTTTATGCCGAAATTCGCAAAAAAATTTTCTCATTTTTAACAACTTTTGATCTAAAAATCTTGGTTTTTTCTGCAAACCGGAAGCTGAAGGTTTCGCATATATCATAAAAAATTGTTTAAAAAAAAGGAATTTTTTATGACCAAAATCCGTGAGGATAAAGTCCTAAAAGCAATTTTTGTCTGGCCACTCTCCTCAATTCCCGTGCTCTCTCGAAAAAAGGATCGCTTCATATCCGCGCTGCGGATGCAAAGTGTGAGTTAAAATTTTCAGGGATTAACAAAGAGTATATTAGCGATATTCTGAAATAATTTTCGAAATTAAAAAAAAATGTTTTTTTTTCAAAAAAATTTTTTTTCAAAATATTTGTTTTTCCCCGAAATACTACACCCAGACTCAACAACTTTCAAAATTACATCCCCACAATTTCCTACAGTAGCCCGCAGTCGAAAATTTCCGTCTTCCTTTGGGCTACAGTAACTCCAATTAGGACACGACACGATATTAACAAGATACGAGAGCGCCCGACTTATTATCGAGCCATGTCATTTGCAGCGAATTTGTAGGTCGGAGACAGTAAGATTTGGAGGGAATTACATAAAAAAATTAAATTAAAAAATTCAAAAAATCGAAAATAATAATTTGCACAGTATAGTCAGAAGTATAATAATTTGCACAGTGCAATTCAAAAAAAAAATAAAAAAAAAGTAAATTAAAAATAAATTATCGAGTCCTCTAATTACGCAGTAGCTGTAATTGTCACTTAAAAATACAAAAAAATAAAAAAAAATTACAGTAAGAACAATAAAAAACCACAATAAAAAAAGTAAAAAAGGCCTTAAAAGGTCAAACTTTTTCTTCTGAGACATTCTGTTGACGAAAACAACTGGAAACAGCATTGTTATTTCCCTCCCGGAACTCATGAGCAAGACGTGACCAGCTGAATCATATGATTGTAGTTTCTGCCCTGATTCATTGTCAAAGTCACTTCCAAAAATAAAATTTTTTAACACGAGCGTTTAATGACTCAAATACTAGTTAACTTTACTGTGACGTTAGACAAAAACGTAAAGATTTGAAAGCTACAGTAGCCCAAATTGTATAAAATGGAAAATATAAGACTCCAGGATCTCATTGTCAAATTTTCTAGTCATTAAAACTAGTAAAGTAACTTCAAATTTCCAAAAATTACAGTAATTCACAAAGCAGTTGACAAAATGGAGAAGTGGGTTTTCAATAAAAATACAGTAGTCAAAAGGAGCCAAAAACAAAACCACAGGATGACAACACCTTGTTTTTGGATTGTGTAGCCACTAAAGCGTGAAAAGCGGCTTCAATTTAAGCAAAAATACAGTAATACGTAGAAAATGTGAGAAAATCCCGTAAAAAATGATATTTATGAAAATTCAGTAACCTAAAGATTGTAGAAAAGAAATAACAGAAGGCGAACAGCTTATTAGTAAATTATGTAACCATTAGAGCACTCACAGCTGCCATAAACTATCTAAAATTACAGTAATCCTCAAAAAAATTTGTCAAAGTTTCAATAAAAACGATTTCCATTGCAAATACAGTAACCCAAGGAGCGTAGAAAAGAAAGTAAATGACCGCAAGACCCCACTGTTAAATTTTACACCAATTACTGCACCTGCAGTATCCTAAATTTTCCAAAAACTACAGTAATCCTCCAAAAATCCGCTGAAACCTTCAAATTTTTAAATTTTAACTAAAAATACAGTAACAAAGTGTCTCTAAAATTACAGTTTAATAATTTCAAGTGTAAATACAACCCCCTCAAGGAGCGGGCAAACAATGGAAACGGCCTTTGGGACCTTGTGGACAAGAGGTTTGTTTACAGTTCAAGTCCCCCATTCTTTGGCTAGCCACTTTCCTCAGAGGAAGTGAGTCAGCCCGCTGAATCATGGGAAAAGTTAAATTTAAAAGACCAAATTTGGAATTTATTTGATTATGAAGTGAAGAAAGGATTTTTATAACCAATTTCCGGGCTTTTTGATATAAAATTCGGTTTTTAAATAGAAATTTCAGGCTAAAAATCTCGATTGGAGTGTCTTATTTTGTTCGTTACAGAGAGATGTCGCTGTAGAAAGATGTTTTATAGTAAGTTTTGTCCAAATATTGAGCTAAAACAGCAAAAAAATTGAAGAAACATGGAAAAAATCGGATATCTCGCAAAAAATTAGTGAAAATCAACAAATAAGTGGCTTGTTACTTAGCAAAACCTCTCTATTACGAACGTATGTAGCAGTAGCTTTAATTGGGATACCATAGTAAGCCTTTACGCAACAAATTTCTTTTATAAAAATGACTTTTTTTAAAATTTTTGTAATCATACTACTGAATTTTCGGACCTCTCTAAAACCATTTTATCCTCCTCGTATGGCGTAAGTGTCATATGTGATATAAATGTGACATAAAAGAGTTCAAGCTGAACCTATTTTTATATCAAAAATATGACGTGAACCGGGGAGGGAGATCAATCAAAAATGGGGAGAAAAAACTTGTTTACGGCCGAAATTCGACCGACAACCCGACGGCTGTTGCCATTCTCTGCTCGAAAACACCTGACCTCGCTACAATGAACCCTGTACTCCTCTATAGCATCCGTTTTCACGGGAAAATTGGAGAAAAAATTGTGAAAACTCGAAAAATGAATAATTTTGGAGAAAAATCGAGGTAAAATCAAAAAATCTCGAAAAAACTTGATGTAAACGCCGAGGTACGTCGATAAAAACGAAGTACGTCTGTTGTGTCGAAAGAAGAGGATTATACAGTATTCCCTCAAGAAACGGGGTATACAACCAAAAATTAAGGCGATTTTGGTCGGCGAACCGCCAAAATACATTGTAATCGTCTTTGGCGATGTGGCCACAAGTGTCTGATACAGCAAATCGCTTGTAAATCACGTTTACTGCATTTTCGTTTAATTAAAAGTCTAATACTCTGCGATTTCAGCCCAGAAACATGGGGTTTTTGGGGCTATCTTGACTATATCTTGACTAGAACAAGGTTAAGATCAAAAATTGTGCTGTTTTGAGCGGATGTCTGCTATAACGAACCAACAATTGTATTATATACTCTTCACTACACCCGTGGCTCTCTATTGCATCCAAAAACCCGGCTTGCGATAGTCGAAATTGGCGCCAAATCGAGGTTTGGAACGCGAGCGAAGCGAAAGGTCTTCGGAACGGTTATCGCGGCCGTTCCCGCGTCCTTCGCGATAACCGTGGGGGCGCGATAATGATTGGGTTTCGTAACGGTGCCGTTCCCGGCGCGCGCGTCCCCTCGGCCCCGGCCTCGGCGAAGGAAGAAGCCCCAGTGTGGGGCGGGTGAAGGAAAACGCAGGATTGCGTCATTCCCAGGGCCCAAATCTATACGATGGCTGTGTGCGAGAAGGAGAGTGCGCGTCCCGCGGAGGGTGACGGACAGACGGAGTGGGGGGACCTCGGGGGGCCTTTTTCACAGGCCGCCGGCCTCGGTGCAACCGGCTGTCACCGCCCGAAACGACCCCGTCTCCGAGTGCGGACCACTCTCGCGAGTGGAGATTGGCTCGAAAACAAGGTGGCGGGCCCGGCCCCACACCGTCATGCGTAATGAGAGGGTTGTCCGGGACGACGTTCGCGGACCAAAGTACTAATGCCGGGTCCAAAGTAGCACCAGCAATAGGTGAAACCCCATGGATAGGCAGGCTAGGGTAGTACTAGCCGAAGAATAGGGGCCCTGGTCGCCGAAGCCGACGGCCTCGATCCCCAAATCGATTTCACAATCTCCCCCCGGATGAGTCACGCTCGCACAGCCCCTCCAGTCCGTGGCGGCTTCGCCCCTGCAGCGAGTCCGTCTCAGCCGCCAGCCCCACAGCCTCGCACACAAAGAGCGGACCGCCGAGCGAGAGATTGCGTCGTCGCCGGAGACGCCCGAGCCCACTCGGCGGCCCCATTCCGCATGACAAGCGCCCCACTCCGCTTTCGCTTCGCTTCCCATCCCCCCACCCCGAACATTCTTTTTTTTCTTCGCCCACCGCGCTTCGGCGGGAAACGCGAATGGATGGGGATGGAAAAATGGGCCGTGGAGAAGGAGAGAGGGAGCGGCGGCGACGACCCCCACTCCGACTCGCTCTGTGTGTGACTGCTGTCGTGGCGGGCGTCCGCGTTTGCCCCCTCCCCCAAAATCGGGCGGCCACTCTGCTTCTCTGCCCGTCTCCATCCCTCACACGCTATCTCGCACCAACTGTTATCGATTTTTGTGTCGACACAGGGTTGAGGGATTGTGAAATGGGTGGAAAACAAAAATATTTTGCCGGAACTTGTCGTACAGCTTCGATCTTTACAATTGCAGTTGTGAATTGGCGGACTGTACAGGTTTGGTCGTATAAAGTGGTCGTTTGGTATTCAAATCTTGCTGAATGTTTATCTGAGCGAGGAATTGGGCGCCGGCTCAATCCTCTTTCCCCTCCGCCGAACAAAAGGCCCCGCTGCGAGAGAGTGTGGGCCACTGAGAGAGCGTCAGAGACGGAGAGTGGAAAGAGAGCACGGAGAAAGAGGAGAGCGGCCAGAAGGCGAAAGGAGAAGGCAGCAAGAGCCGGCGAACAAAAAGCCCCATAAAAAGAGAATGTGGGCCGTGAAGAGAGGGCGAGAGAAAGAGAGAAAAAGAGTGTGCGACAAGCAGAGAGTGGCCAGAGGGCAAAAGGAAACAACTCCGGCCCCATTCGAACAAAAGACCCCGTAAAAACAGAGTGTGCGCCACGAAGAGATCACTAGAGGAAGAGACAAAAATAGTGTGCGCCAAGCAGAGAGTGGCCAGAGGGCGAAACGAAAAGACAGCGACCTTCGAACGCGACAATGGAGTCCGGGTCGCTCGCTCTTCACATTTCTCTGCGCATCTCGCTCCACCTCCCGCTGGCGCGCGCTCTCTCGCCGCCCGCGGTACTTTGGGGTGCGTCAACAACCGGCCTCGAAACGAAGGGGCAGAGATTCTCGAATGTTCGCGAAGAGGAACCAAGGAAGAAAGTACTAATTTTACAGAGCAAAGATTAAAAAAATGAGGACACCGACAGAGAAGGTGGAGGGAAATTTAAATTGAAATTGCCAGAGGGCTGATTGTTGGATGATGTTCAAATTTGGCTCAGATTTTTTGGACGAGTCAGCGATTGTTCCCTAAAAATTTTAGGTCAAAGTATATAGCTAGAGCTGAGATATTCAAAGTATATTGTTTACCAGTGAGAGACCATGGGAAATGATGAGAGACGGCCGGAAAAGTGGATTTTGACTATATCATTGCGATTTTTTGTTGAAAAAATGTTTTTAGGTGGAAAATAATTATCAGCACGATTACCAGTGTGTTCGGAAAGTCACTACAGTGATTTCAGCGGCATGCATTGTGCAAAAACAAAAGTTCTCTTTGCACTGTGCAATTTTCTTGGGTTTTGAACTGAAAAAAATCCTTTTTTTCCGTTTTTTGTACTGTCGCTTCCATCCTGAGGTTCTTTTCAAAGTGCAAGCGTCAAAAATCACCGACTTTACGAATGCGATGACAAATTTTTGGGACAAAAAAATTTCAAAAAATTTTTATTTTTGACCATTTTTGCTTAAAAATCTAAAAAGTTTGGATTTGCTTTAAAAAATTTAATTTTAAATTTTCGAAAAATTTCAAAAAAAAATTTTTTTTTTTAATTTTTTGAAAAATTAAAAAATTTTTTTTTTCAAAAAATATTTTTTCTACCCTGATTTAACTCTTATTTTTGTTTTCGTAGTTGTTGCGATTAACACGGCTGCAGGAAACCCTCGAAAAAATGGGCGTGAAATCGCATTAGGTGAAGAGAGAAATCGACAAAAAGGCGGTAAACCCTTGATGTTTGATCTCGAAGTCATTTTGATTTCTTCAGCGAAAAGGTGGAGTCAAAAGATTAATCGTGCAGACGAATGATATCATACAGTGTTAAAAGCCGATTAATCTTGGCATTTTGGACTGGGAGGGAAAGGAAATATAGCAGGAAAGAAAGATTACTAAAAAAAAATTTTTTTTTTTTGAAAAATAGTCAGTCGCCGGATTGATCTTTGGCGTTTGCACCAAAAAATTAAAAGGTGCCAAAAAATTAAAAGTGCAAGCGACAGCCCTAAAAAACGATTTGCACGGTGCAAAAAGCAAGAAATCGCACAGTGCGAAGTGAACTTTTGTTTTCGCACAGTGCATGTCGCCGAAACCGAAATCACTCCAGCGACTTTCCGGACGGACTTTTGGCGCTTGCACTGTGCGTTTTTCTGTTTCCAAAAAAACGCACTGTGCGTGGAAAAAAATCAAAATGCACTGTGCGAAAGCCACAAATATCCATTCACTTCGGCGATGTGCACGGTGCAAAACGCAAGAAATTGCACAGTGCAAAGTGAAGTTTTGTTTTCGCACAGTGCATGTCGCCGAATTTGCACTGTGCGAAAAGGGGAAAATGCACTGTGCGCTGGCGACAAGCATAGGAAAAAAATGAAAATGCACTGTGCGAAAGCGAAAAAAGTCCATTCACTTCCCTTGCACGGTGAAAAAAAAGTGAAAGTGCAAGCGACAGCCCAAAAAAACTTATTGCACGGCGCAAAAAGCAAGAAATTGCACAGTGCAAAGTGCACTCTTGTTTTCGCACAGTGCGTGTCGCTGATTTCAGTCCGGCGACTTTGCGAATAGACCAGTATAAAGTAGTTATATCAAAATAAATTTCAAAAAAAAAAAAAAAAAAAAAAAAAAAAAAAAATGTAAAATTTTCAAAATTTAATTTGATATTGCCTGAGGGCTAATTATCCCATTTCCTTCAAAATTTTCTCCAGAATGTCTTTGCCGCACCCAAATTTATCTCTGAAAATTTCAGCTCCCCATTTGCAATTTCAGCCGAGATATTCAACGACCTCCTCGGACGAGAGAACACGAAAAATTAGGAGGCAGTCAGACAAAAAAAATTTATTTTCTTATTACCTCGAAAAAATATGAAGACAGGCTATTTTTTCATATTGAAAAATAAAAAAAAAATTCTAATTTTATTAATTTCCCCCCAAAAAACCTCGATATGCAAATTAACGGCGGACTGACAAAGTAGGGCTAATCCTCAACGAATTATTTATCATCCACATAATCCGAATTTTTCCATCGCAAAACCCCGAAATCCCTCGGTTTTCCCCATTTTTCAATTATCTAAAACACTTTAAAAATAAGAAAATATTTTGGGGGCGCTTAAATTTTTTTGACGTCAACAGATACGGTGAGAGATTTCGAAAAAAATTTGTTTTGTTCTTTCAATTAATCCTTTCGGATTTACCAAATTTTTTCGACGTTTTTTTATCGTTTCGCCACCTCCGAACAAAGGTCAACAGAACAAAGGGACGAAAACTCGGTAATGACTTTGGAAGGGGATACAATAGACTCCCGATATGGGTAAACACCATGCAATAGTACAGTAGAACCCCCCGCGTACAATGGGGATGTATGGAACGAAAAATTTTTTTTGATTGCAGGAGCTTTGGCTATAGAAAGATAGCGAAAATGCGTTGAACAGACAGTGGAACCGCTACAACGAACTAGCAAACTTCTTTTTTCAAAATGGCACAGACATTTTCCCCACGACGCACAGTGCAATTTGCCTTTTTTTCGCACAGTGCAGATATGAAGATGTAGTTTTTGTCGCCGCGCAAAGTGCATTTTTGCCGTTTTTCGCACAGTGCAATCTCGAAAAAAAGATTTTGTCGCAGCGCACAGTGCATTTTTCCTTTTTTGTCGCGGCGCACAGTGCATTTTGCCTATTTTTCTCTGACGCACAGTGCATTTTTCGTTTTTGTTTTGAAACGCACAGTGCATTTTGTCTTTTTTTCGCACAGTGCAAACTTGAAAAGGGCTGTTTTTGCCGCGCCGCACAGTGCATTTTGCCTTTTTTCGCACAGTGCAGATTTGAAAAAAATGGGTTTTGTCGCCGCGCACAGTGCATTTTTGCCGTTTTTCGCACAGTGCAATCTCGAAAAAAAGATTTTGTCGCAGCGCACAGTGTATCAGTCTGTCGGAAAAATAACGGCGGATCGTCGCAGCAAAATGTCTCGCCTCGCCGCTATCGCGCACCAAATCCCAAGTCGCGGCTTGCAGTCGCAAAGCGATGATGAGCGACTCCGAGGCGCGACGATCCGCCGTTTTTTTCCCGACAGACCGATATTTTTCCTTTTTTGTCGCGCCGCACAGTGCGTACCTCAAAAAAAGGGGTTTTTTTAGTGCACCGTGCATTTTGCCTCTTTTTTCTTAACCGCACAGTGCAATTGGCTTTTTTTCGCACAGTGAAAACTCTAAAAAAAGCTGTTTTTGTCGCGGCGCACAGTGCAATTTTGCCTTTTTTCGCACAGCGCAAACTCAAGAAAGCGGGTTTGTCGCGGCGCACAGTGCATTTCTCTTTTTTGTTTCGAAACGCACCGTGCATTTTCCAACCTTGAAAAAGCCTCGCCGCTATCGCGTACCAAATCCCAAGCCGCTGCTTGCAGTCGCAAAGCGATGATGAGCGACTCCGAGGCGCGACGATCCGCCGCACAGCATTCCGAATTATTTTTGCCGCCGACCGGCGTCCGAAAAAATGAAAAAATGAGATACGCCTCTTACATTTTTGGCAATATCTCGCTAGCCTCGAAGTGTAGCGTGAATCTGAAAATTGTGTTTCAAAGCTGACACATTTGTCCTTCATAATATATTAATTTTGTAATGATACTTATTATGTACGGCAAGGAAACTGTTGCTGAAAAATGGCAAATTTCAACATTTAATGCCAGAAAAATGTACTTTCTAAGTGCCAGATCACAAAATTATGGGCCTCATTGTGTACAGCATCTTGAATACTATAAGATATAACAATTTCAGGCATTTTCTGGCCCGATTCGCAGAGTTATAGCCGAAAAACTGCAATTTTGGCCTTCTTATTGAGCTATCTGCACTTTAAAAGTACATACAAAAAATCCCTCTTAAATTATTGTTGCCCAGGTTATGATGGACCACTATGCAAAATCTGAACCTTCCACGACCCCCACGAGAAAAGTTATAACGGTTACAATATGGGACCCTCGTATGTCCAATATTTAGTAAAATACGGTGAACTATGGTGCAATATGGTGTTATATGATGGAATTTCTATTGCCGCTGTTGCGTTGGTTGGGGTAAAAAAATTTTATCGTAATTACACGGTTAACTACATAAAAAAATTTCCCAGCTATATCCCCAACTTTTCACTGTTTTCCCTTTAGTGTAGCGAAAACTTGAAATCGTGTCTCTCGTGCGGAAAAATCTGAGAGGCAGTGTTTAGGTTTCGAGTAAGTTTACATAGACCATATAGAGCTATTTTTTACCATGGTGTACTGTATTTTACAAAATATTGGACATACAAGGGTCACATATTGTAACGGTTATAACTTTTCTCGTGGGGGTCGTGGAAGGTTGAGATTTTGCATAGTGGTCCATCACAACCTGGGCAACAATAATTTAAGAGGGATTTTTTGTATGTACTTTTAAAGTGCAGATAGCTCAATAAGAAGGCCAAAATTGCAGTTTTTCGGCTATAACTCTGCGAATCGGGCCAGAAAATGCCTGAAATTGTTATATCTTATAGTATTCAAGATGCTGTACACAATGAGGCCCATAATTTTGTGATCTGGCACTTAGAAAGTACATTTTTCTGGCATTAAATGTTGAAATTTGCCATTTTTCAGCAACAGTTTCCTTGCCGTACATAATAAGTATCATTACAAAATTAATATATTATGAAGGACAAATTTGTCAGCTTTGAAACACAATTTTCAGATTCACGCTACACTTCGAGGCTAGCGAGATATTGGCAAAAATGTAAGGGGCGAATCACATTTTTTCATTTTTTCGGACGCCGGTCGGCGGCAAAAATAACTCGGAATGCTGTGCGCCGTTTTTTTCCGACAGACCGATATAACGAAGAATTTGGCTTCATTTTTAGTCCTAAATTAAGCCATCTGTAAAAAAATAATTTTTTTGGCCCCTTGCGAGTTGTCGTATTGAAATTTGAGTGTAATTTTGTAATAATATAAAAATAAAAAAAAAACATTTTTTTGAATTTTCAAAAAAATTTTTTTTTTCAAAAAATTCAAAGAACGAACCATAAGAAAAAATTTTTTTTACACCGCCCAAAAAAGGCGTTGGAATGTGCAGTTCTCGTGAAGACATTTCAAAATCCAAACACGTTGTAATAGGGGTCTTAAAGCTGGAGTGTAGATGTAAAAAAGGTTCTAATAGAATGGGCTGAACGGAAGTCATGGCGATAAAAAAATGATTTGAGCAACAATAGAGGGTAGAACAAAGGACAATAAGACTGCAGGGAAAGCAAAGCAAACATTAGGTTCAGGCTTCAAGATTTGAAAAAAAAATAAATATTTGGGAAAACATGAGCGTAAAGTGGCTTCAAGGGCTTCATCAAAAAGTGTTGGCTCGACCAAACATCTTCTTTTTTTGATCTTTTTGCAGGTACCCTAACAGCAACTTTTTTTTTATTTTCCCCCTTTTTTGAACCCCCTCTTTCTGTACACTCCCCTCATTTTGAAAAATGAAAAACGAGGTGTGACATGTTATACGAAGATTTTCTTTTTCAAATTGAAAAAATTAGGGGTGACATGTTATACAAAGGAAACTTTTTTAAAATTGCAAAAATTAGGTGTGACATGTTATACGATCGAAATTTTTTTCAAATTGAGAAAAATTAGGTGTGACATCTTAATTTGAAAAAAAATTTCATCGTATAACATGTCACACCTCATTTTTTCAATTTGAAAAAAAAATTCATCGTATAAGATGTCACACATAATTTTTTTCAATTTGAAAAAAAAAATTTCATCGTATAACATGTCACACCTCATTTTTTCAATTTGAAAAAAAATCATCGTATAAGATGTCACACATAATTTTTTCAATTTGAAAAAAAAAATTTCATCGTATAACATGTCACACCTCATTCAAAATGGAGGAGGTTCAAAAAAAAATTTTTTTTGGCGGGATATTACATTTGTTGCGACAAATCCACATTATTTTCCCGACAGGCTGGTATTCAACTTTATGCAGATTTAAAAAAAAACAATTTAATACATAATTCGACTAAACAAGTGGAATTAAAATCGTATTCCCCAGGTCCAGTGCATTCGTTCCCCGGCGAACCTTGAAGAATCCGTTCAGTCCGCCCCAACTCGAGCCCCACGAGTTCTTGGCCCACCAAAACGTCACGCCCTTGGCGTTCACGCCGTACCCGATCACCGAGACCGCATGGTCGATCTTCCAGCCGTCCGCCGGCTTCACCGGATCCAGAATTCCTTTGTCGTAGCTCTTGAGTTGGCGGGAGTCGATGACTGAAAGTTTTGATGACTATAAGTCTCTTTGTAAGTCCATGCGCCTTATGGAAAGCCTACAGTCGAAAAATTTGCGAGCTTTCTCATAGGAAAAATCCGGGAAGAATGCAAATTTGACAGCCAGCTTTCTTTCAGATTTTGAGCAAATATTCGGCCTAGGCCACATGCCATCTCCCTAGTTTTTTAAAACTTTAGTCGCGCTTATCAGGAGCAGCTGAGATACGGGAAACGCCGGTGAGCATTTAGAAGGAAAAGCCATTTTTGAGATTCCTAGCTTGTGATTTGAAAACAAAAAAAGGGAGTTTTTAGGACAAAATTTGAAAAAAAGGTTGCATTTTTTTGCAAAATTTAGGCATGAAAAGCTTGATGTCTATTTCTACCGTAAAGTGTAATATTCCCACAAAAAAACCATTTTTTCCCCGCGAAACTGGCAAAGATACGGTCAAAAAAGTGTTTTTCTCTGACCGCTCTCCGCACTTTGCATACTCTCTCGCAAGATCGTTGAATATCTCGGCTGTCCCTGCAAAGCGCGAGCTAAAATTTTCAGGAATTGATATGTGGCCTATGCACGACATAGTTGCAAAATTTTTAAAAAATCTGAGCGTCGCACATCCCTCGACAAATATTACTATTGTCCGACCTACCCACAACCGCGGGTCCCTTCGTATAAATGGCCTCTTTCATTTCGTCCTCATCGTACGACGTGACCACCGTATAATTGCTGATAAACGCATATCTGGGCTGATTCTCCACACACGCGGTCACGTTTCCCGTTGTTCCCGACGTGTAGGGATACTCGTCTTCAAGTCCGACGCCATTTTTTGCGATCGTCTCCAACGTCTCGTCAATGTAGCCGCCGGCACAGCCTTGATTCTGGGTGTCCGGCGAGCAGGACACGATCTGTTGCTCGCTCATGTCGTACGTGTAATTGTTGGCGATGTAGAAGACGGATTCGGTGGAGGCGAGCGACGCGAACGCATAGCAACACCCACACTTGGCCTGGTTCTTCACGGACGTAACCGCATTCTTGTCGCGCCAATCGAAGTTGTCGGGAAGCTAAAATTTTTTTAAAAAACCAAATCGTTTTTTTAAATTTGAGTATAAACATAGTAAATTGTGCATACGATTTGTCAGTGTGTCGGAAAAATAATGTGGACTTGTCGCAGCGAAATGACTCGTCTCGTCGCTGTGGCGGACCAAATCTGGCTATTCCAAGACGAATCCACATTATTTTCCCGACAGACTGATATTATGACGCTGTCGGGAAAATAATGTGGACTTGTGGCAGCAAAATGTCTTGCATCGTCGCTGTGGCGGACCAAATCTGGCTATTCCAAGACGAATCCACATTATTTTCCCGACAGACTGATATTATGACGCTGTCGGGAAAATAATGTGGACTTGTCGCAGCAAAATGTCAAAAAGGGTGCAGTGGCCTTCCAAATCTCCAGCCGTCGGAAAGCGATGACAAATCCACATTATTTTCCCGACAGACTGATATCAGGCGTGATAAAAAAGAAAACTCTCTGCGTCGCGATGATGAACGTTTCCAAGGCGCGACGAATCCACATTATTTTCCCGACAGAATTGTAATATCATTCGGTCGGGAAAATAATGTGGATTCTTACAAGGGAAGTCGTTCAGATCGCAAATGAGTTAAGCTATGGGACCGGTATATTCTGATTCTCCATATTCGAAAACGGTAAGAGCTAAAACAGTTTTTCCGTCTGGGCCCTGGTTTTCGAGAAAATCCACCGTAAAGTTTGACCGGAAACCCCGCTAAAAAGTCCTCGCTCCGAAAGGCCTTTGGAACAAGAGGCAAATGGCAGAGGGCGAGTGAAAACGCTCTCAAAATTCTTTTGTCCGGGATGCCGGGAAAGGTTCGGGTCCCGCTAGGCTCAAACCCATTTCCAAAGAGCTTTGATATTGAAAATAAAAAAAAAATAGAAATTTTTTAGTTTTTTGTGGTGAAGTGTGCCCCAATAATTTCAGATCACATAGTTTTTTAAGAATAAACACCTCATTTTTGAGTTCAGCGCAGAAATATGCTTATTTCGCATGCACTTCAATATTTTTTTCCAAAGTATGTAAAAGGAAAAATATATTTTTTTGCTTTGCAACTACTATGAATTTACACATCAGGGTTTGCTCCTAGCGGGGCTCGAACCTCCCCCGGCATCCCGGACAAAAGAATTTTGAGAGCGTTTTTACTCGCCCTCCGCCATTTGGCTCTTGTTCCAAAGGCCTTTCGGAGCGAGGACTTTTTAGCGGGGTTTCCGGTCAAACTTTACGGTGGATTTTCTCGAAAACCAGGGCCCAGACGGAAAAATTGCTTTAGCTCTTACCGTTTTCGAATATGCAGAATCAGAATATACCGGTCCCATAGCTCAACTCATTTGCGATCTGAACGACTTCCCTTGTTAGCGGTTTGGAGGCACGCAATATCGATTGCTTCGCGACGGCTGGAGATTGACAATTTTGCTGCAAACAATCCACATTATTTTCCCGACAAACGGATATTTCTATCGTAAAGAGTAATGTTTCCAAAAAAAATTATTTTTTTCTGGCGAAGCCGGCGGAAATATGGCTAAAAAGTTCTTTACTCTGACCGCTCTCCGCATTTTTCGCACTCTCTCGGCCGCAAACATCGTTGAATATCTCGGCTCTCACTGCAAATGGCGAGCCGAAATTTTCACCAATTGATATTTGGTCTATGCACAATACCTGTGCAAAATTTAAAGGAAATCTAAGCGTCGCACTTTGCACACCAAAAGAAAAAAGCCAACTTACTGTAGCCCTCTTTGTCCGGGAATTTTGCAAATTTTTGTAGGGAACTCCGCCCTTTGGCTTGCCGTGAACCTTGGCGCCGGTGAATTGAGCCGAGAACTCTTCATCGGAGAGGTCGGAGAACTGATTCGGAGCAAAGGTTGCTCCGTTGTTCTGGGCGTTCAGTTTTTCGATGTCTTTGAGGGTGTTTTGATAGTTGGAGAAGTGGTGTTTCAGGTGGGTCTCGTTGCCATAATGCTTGTTGTGTCTGAAAAAGTTTATTTTAGAATGAATAAAATATATTTTTTTCAAAAAAAAAAATATTTTTTTAAAAATTGCCCGGAGGCATAAACTATTTTTTTTATTAATCTGTCGGGAAAATAATGTGGATTTGTCGCAGAGAAATTTGACTTTGCCGCAATACAATTCATTTTCTCGACGGTTTCGATGTGGTTTTGGATGCGACAGAGTGCCCATTATTTTCCCGACAGACTGATATTTGCAGCTTCCCATATAATGCAGTAATCTGTCGGGAAAATAATGTGGTTTTTTGCGTGGAATCGCCCATCGTCGCTTTGTGGTTAGATTTAGTCCGCGACTGCGGCAAGACGAGACATTTTGCTGCGACAAATCCACATTATTTTCCCGACAGACTGGTACTTTTTCGATTATCAAAAAAAATGTTTTTTTTTTATGTTGCCCGGAGGCATTAATTATTTTTTTTATCAATCTGTCGGGAAAATAATGTGGATTTTTTGCGAAAAAATATGACTGTTTCGTCACAGTCACGCACCAAATCTGCAGCTAGCCGTCGTAAAACAACATTATTTTCCCGACAGTTTGATATCAGTCTGTTGGAAAAATAATGTGCATACTTTTTGTCCATACCTTTGTCAGTGGTTTGGAAAAAAATTGATTCTTTGTGGAAACATTACCCTCTAGAAATATCAGTCTGTCGGAAAAATAATGTGGATTCATCGCGATTTGGACGCCCATCATCGCTTTGCGACGGCTAGCCGTGGCTGTGGATTTGGTGCGCGATGAGGCGAGATATTTTTCTGCGACAAATCCACACTATTTTCCCGACAGCTTCAAATCTGTCTGTCGGGAAAATAATGTGGAAATAATGCCCTGCCTTGCCGCAGTCGCGCACCAAATCTGCAGCTAGCCGTCGTAAAACAATAATGGGCGATTCCAAGCCGCTACAAATCCACATTATTTTCCCGACAAACTGACAGCTAACTTCTCGTTGTTTGTCGGGAAAATAATGAGCACAGTGCCGATGCGCCGATCGTGTCGCTGAAGTGAAAAGCAACTTGGTTTTGCCGCAATACAATTCATTTTTTCGACGGTTTCAATGTTATTTTGGATGCGACAGAGTGCCCATTATTTTCCCGATAAACGGATATTTGCAGGTTCTCATATATAATAATAAAGCAATCTGTCGGGAAAATAATGTGGATTTTTCGCACGTTGGAGTTATAATAATTGTCCTTCATCGCTTTGTGGCGCTTTAGATTTACACGGGAAGTACTCCAAGTGCGACGCTCAGATTTTGATGAAACTTGGCATAAATTTAGAATATTTTTTTCTAAGTAAGACATAATCGAGAATCTTAGCTCGCGCTTTGCAGAAACAACCGAGATTTTTAGATCGAAACTCGGCCAAAATTTAGGACTTTTTGCCGAATTTCGGCACAAAAAATTTCATGCCTATTTCTACCGTAGAGGGTAATATTTCCACAAAAAATCATTTTTTTCCGCTCGAAACTGGCAAAGTTATGGCCAAAAAAGGGCTTTTCTCTGACCGCTCTCCACATTTAGCGTGCTCTCTCGGCGACAAAAATCGTTCGATATCTCGGCGGTGCCCGCAAAGCGCGAGCTAAAACTTTCAGGAATTGATACTTAGTTCATGAGCGACATGTGTGCAAAATTTAAAGAAAATCGAGCGTCGCACTTGGCGTACTTCCCCCTGTCAGCGGCGTTGTTATTTTCGATCTCATTATTTTCCCGCCAGACCGATATATGTACTATAGCAGCAAGTCAGCCGGTCTTTGAAGTCTTCTTTGGCCCATAACTTTGTAAGTTCAAAGCGAGCGTCGCATTTGAGGTACTTCCCTTGTAAACCGCAAAACGATGATGCGTGATTTCAAATCGCGAAGAATCCACATTATTTCCCCGACCGAATGATATTACGATTCTGTCGGGAAAATAATGCGGATTCGTCGCAGAAAGGTGTCTCACCTCATCAAAAAAGATTTCCAAAAAAGTGTTTTTCTCTCTGAACGCACTCCCACTGTTGTGCGAGTTTCGATGCGACAAATCCACATTATTTTCCCGACAGACTGATGTTTGCCGGTTCCCATATAAGGTAATCAGTCTGTCGGGAAAATAATGTGGATTTGGACATCAAGCTGTCGGTAAAATAGTGTGGCTTCGTCGCAGAAAAGTGCCTCATCGCTCACCAAATGCACAGCCGCCGCTAGCCGTCGCAAAGCATAGTTCTCACATTTTGAGGTGAGACATTTTTCTGCGACGACTCCACATTATTTTCCCGACAGACTATTAATTTTTTCAATTTTAAAAAAAAATATTTTGCCTAAGGCGTTATGGTCAAATTTTATCGCTGTAAAAAAAATTTAGCAAGAAAAAATAAAAAAAAAATAAAAAAAAATTCAATTTTTTTTATTTTTTTTTTTTATTTTCAAAAAGTTCAAAAAATCTTCAACTTACTGCGCAATAAATTTTAAAAATTCCCCAAAATCCTTTTGCTCCTGTTCTCCCAATTTATTCTTCAGCCCTTTGGCCAATTTCAGCGTGTTCTTTGTTTTCTCCTCCAAATTTTTCAACCCATCCAGCGAATCGTCTCCATTCAAGATTTTCTCCACATCAAAACCCTCAAATTTCGATTTTCCATCAACAATTAGCACTATTGTTAGCAGCAAAGAGAGTTTTGCGATCATTTTTCCAAAACTTTTGGTCGAATTTCGGACCAAAAATTGAAGAAAAAATCGATTTTTTTTGCGATTTTTTGCCTTTTTATACGAGTTAAAACTGTTTCAAAAACGAAAAAAATCGCCGGCTAAGTAAATAGCGGTGATTTGCATGCATAATTGTCCTCGGGAATTATTGAAACAAGTGTTCGAAGGAACCGGCGGATTTGAATAAATCTCTGCTCACAACTCGAGGTCTATTTGCATTTTCGACGAGGAAATGAAGGCGAATTCGACAAATAACGACGCAAAAGGCACAAGTCATCAGAGAAAAGTCTGTCGGGAAAATAATGTGCATTTGTCGCAGTTCGAAAATTTTGTTGACGAAGGCCGGCGATACGTCCCTGGAGATTTTCTGAGAATTTTGCTGCGACAAATCCACATTATTTCCCCGACAGCTTGATATCAGTCTGTCGGGAAAATAATGTGGATTTGTTGCATTTCGAAAATTCGCTCTATGAAGGCTGGGGGCCCGCCGCTGGGGATTTTCTGAGAATTTTGCTGCGACAAATCCACATTATTTTCCCGACAGCTTGATATCACTCTGTCGGGAAAATAATGTGTATTTGTCGCATTTCGAAAATTCGCTTTACGAAGGCCGGCGATACGTCGCAGGCGATTTTCTGAGAATTTTGCTGCGACAAACCCACATTATTTTCCCGACAGCTTTAAATCAGTGTGTTGGGAAAATAATGTGGATTTGGAAATTCGCTTTACGAAGGCTGGCGATACGCAGCTGGAGATTTTTGCGAATTTTGCTGCGACAAATCCACACTATTTTCCCGAGAGCTTCAGATCAGTCTGTCGGGAAAATAATGCGTATTCGTCGCGAGTTGGACGCCCATCATCGCTTTGCGACGGCTAGCCGCGGCTATGGATTTGGTGCGCGATGAGGCACTTTTCTGGGACAAATCCACACTATTTTACCGACAGCTTGATGTCCAATTTCCACATTATTTTCCCGACAGACTGCTACCTTATATGGGAACCAGCAAATATCAGTCTGTCGGGAAAATAATGTGGACTTGTCGCATCGAAACTCGCACAACAGTGGGAGTGCGTTCAGAGAGAAAAACACTTTTTTGGAAACCTTGCCCTCCACGGTAGAAGTATCAGTTGTCGGGAAAATAATGTGGATTCTTCAAGATTGGGAGTCGCCCATCGCTTTGCGACGGCTAGCTGTTGATTTGGTGTTTTTTTTTTGAGTCGAAATATTTTAATTTTTTAAATTTTTAATAACGGCAAATCCACATTATTTTCCCGCCATCTTGATATTTGTCTGTCGAGAAAATAGTGTGGAGAGTACACGAGAAGGGGAGAGTGGCCGGAGAAAAAATACTTTTGGCCGTATTTTTGCCAGATCCTTGTGAAAAAAATTATTTTTTTTGTGGAAATATCACCTTTTATTATATTTAGTATCAGTCTGTCGGGAAAACAATGTGGATTTGTAGCAGCAAAAAGTCGCTTTGTCGCAGAATCTTATCTCCTGCGGCGGATCGCCAGTCATCGTAAGGCGACGCTTCAAAGGCACGGCAAATCCACATTATTTTCCCGACAGCTGGTTATCAGTGTGTCGGGAAAATAATGTGGATTCGTCGCGACTTTGGAAGTCCGCTTTACAGCTGGCAATTTGGTCCGCAACTGTGACGAAAAGAGGGCTGCGAAAATTCACATTATTTTCCCGACGGACTGATAAAATAAAGAAATTCTCGAGTTGGGCAAAAAATATGATATATTTGCTGTACACAATGACAACTGAATAAATTAATATTACACATTTTTATTACACTAGATCAACGACTTCTGCGACAGCATCTTTGTCAGCCGCTTCCGCAGCCCCTGCGGCTTCTTGTCCTCGTCGTCCGAGGCGGCGTCGTTGGCTTCGATGCCGCGCGCCTTCATCACATCCATGATGAAGTTCTGCACTTGCGGATCCATGCGCCGAATCTCGGCCATCGTCAGGTCGCCGTTCGTGATTTCGTCCGCGATCCGCAGCTGCAGCGTCACTTTGCGCGAGCGGATGTCCTGAAAATGGGAAATGGAATCGGATCAATGTCAGCTCAATAAAAGTTTTTACAAATTTCAGTCTGTCGGGAAAATAATGAGCATTCGCTTTGCGAAGGCTGGCGAAACGTCGCTGGGGATTTTTTGAGAATTTTGCTGCAACAATCCACATTATTTTCCCGACAGCTTCAGATCAGTATGTCGGGAAAATAATGTGGATTTGGGAATTCGCTTCACGAAAGCTGGCGATACGCAGCTGGAGATTTCCTGAGAATTTTGCTGCGACAAATCCACATTATTTTCCCGACAGACTGATATCAAGCTGCATCGTAAATCGCGGGTATATAGGCTTAGCTTTGGGTTAGTTATCCCTCGCACCCCCATTTTTTATGCAAAGTGCGAACGCTGAAAATTAGCCCAGCGATTTATTGGTCTGTCGGGAAAATAATGAGTACTCTGTCGCATCGAAAATCCCATCGCCGCCGACGAAATGAATTGTGTTGCCGCAAAATCAAGCTGCTTTCCAGTTCAGTGGCACGGTCGACGCATTACGCTCATTATTTTCCCGACAGACCAATAGTAAAAATTGATATTAGCTGTGTAAAAACCCAAAAAAAGACCCAGATTTGGCGATAGGACAATAAGACCGGGCTCGTTCCAGTTCTCTTCGGCCTGGGAGTTATGTTTACCATGTAAAGGCAACAAAATGTCCGTAAAAACCTTCGTGAACTCAGTTAAACCCACTTCAAAATCCGAGGTCGTCCCCATCAGACTTGCAATCTGTTCGTATGCCAACAAGTCCAGAATATCCTTGGCGCTGCATTGCACGTACTGTCGCATTCGACGTGACGTTCTCCGGCTCTCGAAACTGTCGGGCAACAGGCGATTCACAAAGGCCTGGACTCGTCGCCGCAACGACGTACGATTGAATTCGGCGTCCATTTACTGGAATGGGGTGTGTTTAAGGGTGTCGCAAGACTCAACGCGTCATACAAAGGACACTAATGAATGGAATTTTTTTTGATTTTCAGTCTGTCGGCAAAATAATGTGGATTGTCGCAGCAAAATGCCTCGCCTTGTCGCTGCTGCGGGCCAAAGTTTTATAGCCGCGGCTTGTTGTTGCAATGATAGGCGCTTCCGAGACGAATCCACATTATTTTTCCGACATTACGTGGAAAAAAGTAAATATCAGTCTGTCGGGAAAATAATGAGCATTCCATCACATCCGAAATCGCCGCCGAGGAGGAAATGAATTGTGTCGAGGCAAAATCAAATCTTTTTTTCACTTCAGCGATTCGACCGGCGCAGCAATTCGTAAAATAATGCGCTCATTATTTTCCCGACAGATGATCGCCAAGGAAATTATAGTCAATCCGCCATACAACATCGCACAAGCGGCTGAAAAATAATAATAATCTGCAAAGATAGGCACGCCTTCTCACGAAGACAACGTCAATTATGGGCGGACAACGTCAAGCTTGTTTTGCCACGTTTTGAGCTAAAAATAATGCTCTGTGACGTGGCGCCATCCGAGCGTAGGACGCTAGAAACTGGGCTTCAAATATGAGGAAAAGCCAAATAATAAGGCCGAAGACTGATCACTTTATTCGTCCTCGAGAAGAACGGAGGCCAATGGCGGAAAACGCATTTACACAAATTGTATTAATGCGTGGGATTTACCGAATTACCGGGCGCAAAAGACGTCTAGAGAAAGCGCAAAACCCGTAGAATTAGGACTGTACACTTACGACACACGGTAGTTCCGTGGACTGGTGAAAAAATAGGGGTGGAAAGATGATGAAAATGAAAGCAAGCAGCCCAAGTGCGACAATCAAATTTTGGAAAGTCTGGACACAAATTCAAAGAAATCTCCTTAAGATTTATTCTTAACTAGATCTTCGTTGCAGAAAAGACCGAGATTTTCTGGTCAAAAGTTGGCAATATGGCGCTGTAAAGTAAAAAAAAAAATAAATTTGGGGTCGAGCAATAATTGAAAACAGTAGCGACAGGCCAGAAAGAGCTCAAGATCAAAAACTATTAATAAGTTTACCGTGACAAGTTTCATCTCCTACTTCTATCGTAAAGGGGAATTTTTCCACAAAAAATCAATGCCTTCCGCATGAAACTGTCAAAGATACATATTTAACCTGCAAAAAGAATTTTCTGGATATCTTGACTGAGCGCTTGGAAATCGACAAGAACTTTCCGTAGAATTCCTTGAAAAAACACCTGTAAAAGACTTCCTTGTCTGAAGATTTTAAAACGACCAAAGTGGTCACCCGACTAATCCCTTAAAACTTTCCTCCCCAACTCTCACCCACAATTTCTTCATTTCTTTCCGCCAAAAAAAGGTCAAAAATTAGGCAACATGAGACATGGCGCTAACTTCGTAATCTCCCCGCTCCCTCCGCCTTTCTCTATTTGTCGAAAGATACCCGGGATTCTGGCGCCAACACGTGCAGCCGGGTAAGCGGACCTGACATCTCAAAAATAATGCAATTTGGGGCCCGCATTAAATACGACGTTAGCAATTCCGCTGTGTTTTCGCAAACTTGGAACACCTGTTTGCGGCTGACATTTGGCGCTACAGTAAGGCAAATTGCAGGCCATGAAATGGAATTTGGTCGGGTTTGACGCAGGTTTCTGGAGGCTGGACATGTCATCATACACAACATTAGGAATCATAAATTAATATGGAAAGTCTGCAGAAAATGAGAAGAAAAATGAAGGACAAAAATTGAGGCGCTTTTACCGGTGTTTCCAGACTTTTTTGAAGAAGTTGTTGGCGTGTAAGCGTCTGGAATCGATTTTTTATTTTGCATTGACAACTTCCTGGTACAGACAAGTACACGAATCTATTGAATTCATCCACCGCTTTCAAAGTTGTACAAGTTTTTTGTCAAAAAGTGGTTACCGAACCTCTAGAAACACCTGGTTGACCTTATGGTAGCTATTCAAGCCACTTATACATCAGGAAATTTAATTCACAACATCGAACTGCCAACCCCATCCGTTGAATTTCCCTGTGTCAGCAAATGTTGGCTGATTTCCGAAACATGACTGCAGAATCTCCGTGGTTCTTTCTGCAACCCGAAAAATAGTTCTGGAACACAGTATTTACCCATTTGCATGATGATAGAAAAAAATTTGGTCATCAAGAGTTAGACTTGGGAAGACTTTCGTTTCAATGGGCCGGCCCGGGCCGGGCCAAGCAAATTTAGAACGGGCCGGGCCGACAGAAAATTTGAAACGGGCCCGGCCGGAACCCTCCAGACGGACGGGCCGGGCCGAGATTTTCGGCCCGGGCCGGCCAACGAGCCATGTCTAACTTGGAGTACTTCTCCTGCACATGTATTCGTATAATTTGTCCGTATTTATAAAATGTTTTATATCAGCCAGTCGTGAAAATAATGAACACATCAATGAACACAACGCCGCTGCGCCAATCACGTCGCTGAAGCGCTCCCCGACTTTTCGGGTGGACGATAGTTCGGGTCAGCACAAAATCGATCGATACAAGGTTGTAGAAAGCGCCTACGAAGCCCGGCAAAGCCGTTGGATGGCCGGCGGACACTCGGCGAAGGCTCGGCGGAGACTTGCAGTATCACCACCTTTTGTAATATTACCTTTTGCCAACATTATTTTTCTTTACCGTTGCTGTAATATAGTATGTGTAAAAAAACAAAATTTGCGGCAAAAAACGAATGTCTGTAACTTTTATCTTGATTTTATTGATGTGAGTACTTGTGAAATACCTCAAAATAGATGACAAACTGTCCTTGGAGCCTATCAATTTTATTATTTCTACTAGGTAAGCCTTCTCAGAGTCCATTTTTTCGACAGCAATGCAAGAATTTTCCCGACATCATTAGACTGATATTTCTTCCAAACAAACTTCCTTCCAGCTTCGAATATTCCGCTTACTCCCCGCCTCACGATCACATAAACAACTTGAATTACACCCAAACAAACACTGACCTTTTACTCCCCCCAATTCCCCCGCTCTCTTTCTCTGCGCGCCCTCCGCGATCGGCGCCCCCACTGCTTACACATTCGCTGTCGGCGGGCCGTGTGCGAAGCCCGCCGGCCCTATCAGACTGATTTCTTCGTGTACACAAAACCGTCTTCGGTCGGTGTGGTACACACCCGTTTCTTTTCCGTCTCGGAGGTTTGCGATTTCTGTTGAAAACAGAAAATGTTTTGGTCAGTTTTGGGTCGGGAGACTTGATGTCAAGCCTTTGAAGGGTGATTGTAGCCATCGAAGATGAAAAAATTCTATTTTTCGAAAGTAAATAAAGCGATTTTTTGGCTGAATATTGTTACATTGCAAGGTAATATCATTTGGTCAAAATTGCTTCCAATTTCTTCCAGGAGGCATTCCGAATACCTCCAAATACCTCACTTGAAGGCTGGACGTTTTATTGGGTTTTTTTTTCTCTTTGAAAACTGGTGTTGTCTTGCTCTAGCTTCTACTTACAAACTAAGATGTTTATAAGACTGCAGTTTGCCGAAACCATCAAAAATTTAGAGTTAAAAGTGGCCGGAATTTCAGACCATATCAGTTTGTCAGGAAAATAATGCGGATTTGTCGCGGCAATTTTTCTCGCGGCGTCCCAAATAGCCAGTCGCGGCAAGCCATAAGGTCATGATGGGCGAGTCCAAAGCTCGATGAATCCACATTATTTTCCCGACAGACTGAGACTTTTCTATCAGTCTGTCCGGAAAACAATAAGCATAATGTCGCAGAGCCAATCTTACCGCCGAGCTGAAAAGCAATTCGATTTTGCTGCAGCACATTTGCTCGCGGTGACCGTTTATAATTTCTTGACCTGAGGCATTCTGCAAAAAATGAAAATGGTGGCTTGCACCATTTTTCAAGGGCTTTCCAACGGTATATAACACTTGCCATTTGGTGAGGGTTTGTCTGTACACTTCCCTAGTAAGTTAAGCCTAAGCGGCTAACCAACCAACCCAAAGCCAAGCCTATATATCAGCGATTTTCGATGCTACAGAGTGCTCATTAATTTCCCGACAGGCTGATAAGGTGTATAGACACTTTTTCTCTTCTTGCACAGTGCAAACCACAAAAAGCCGATTGCACTGTGCCAATTCCTGGTGTCACCGCAGCGACGTAGTTGATCGTTTCCAATGCGTTTAAAAATTCGTTTCCACAGTTGTTTGATATCAGAAAATCTTCGCTTTTATTCTTAGGGACATGTAGTCTAACAAAACAAATGAACGTGCCATTTCTGCAGCTGTAGTACAGTCAGGCTCTACGCAACACATGGGAACCAAACTTGAAGGCCAAAAAACGGCGCAAGGCATCTTTGTTAAGCTGTAACTTTTTACTGCGTCGTGATGATTTCACCAAATTTTCGTGGATTATAGAGGAGGTGTTATAGAATATTACCCGTTGTCGCTTATGTTTCTCTAACCTCCGGTTTTCGCGGTGGACCCTTCAAAAATTTGTCTCCGTTATTTTGGGTCACTCTGTACTGCTCGAAAAACTTATAAATACACTTTTAAAATCACCAAAATTTCGGTTTTTTCGACTTTTTTCTAAATTGTGGAACCTTTCCAAACGATTTTTTTGGCACAAATTTATAGTACACTGGTACACATTGGGGCCAAATATGGCACAGTTTTATTGAAAACCACAAAAGTTACAGCGATTTCAAAAGTGCATTTATAATTTTGTCGAGCAGTCTATATGCGTTTACATCAATCTTATTGCGTCGTCTCATATCGTACGTTCAGATGGAGTCCCCCAAAGCGATTGTTTCGCCGATTCCCAACCCGAAAGTCCCCCGAAACGCCCGCTCCACATTCTGGCGCCACTTCGAAAAGGGGATGAACAAAGAAGGGAAGGAGGTTGTCCGCTGTCTCTATTGCACTAAAGAGTACCTTGGCCGTGGGATCACTACATCCGTCAGATATCATGCCGAGCAGGAGCATGGAGTGAGAGAGGAGGAGGCGGTGAAAATGACGCCGGAAATCGAAAACGAAGTCGAAATTTGGGCCGAAAACGGCAACACGGATGAGAATAAGTACGGTTGTGTAAGTTGAGGGGTCCTAAGGTCTTTTAAGGTCTCTTTGAGCAAGATGCTCAAAGTGGGACGGTCAGATTTTCTGTGGTTTTTATACACTGTTCTTGTCTGGGCTGTCTTTTCACGCCACTTTTGTATAAGCCGCGGAAAATGTTAGCTCTTGCTTTGCAGGGAGAACCCACTGTGACGGACCTGATCCAGTGGCAAAAAATGTTCAATTTTGCATCCGGGAAGTATCAAAAAACGTAGCAAAATACCTCCCTATCCAAGTGAAAAAAAACTCCGTTTTGAAGGGCCCTCAGAAAAAGAGGGGGCGCGCTTTTGAAATCGGATTTTTTTTCACTTGGAGAGGGAGGTATTTTGCCACATTTTTTGATACTTTCCGGATGCAAAATGGTACAGTTTTTGCCACTAGATCAGGTCCGTTCGGCATTGTATTGTAACATAAATAAAAGGCCAAAACGCATTTTTTATCTGGATATTATTACAGTAGTAGAAGTAAAATACCTCAAAATAGGTGATAAACTATCCTAGGACCTGATAAATCATATTACAGTGAGGGACTTGATCCAATGGCAAAAAAACGTCTCATTTTGCATTCCGGAAGGAACCAAAATGACTCCAAACTCTTCCCCTCACTAAGCTAAAAAACTCCGCTTTGAAAAGCGCGCCCTTTCCTTCAAGGCGGGATCTTCAAACCGGGGTTTTTTAGCTTATAGAAGGGAAGGGTTTGGAGACATTTTGGTCCCTTCCGGGATGCAAAATGAGACGTTTTTTGCCATTGGATCCGGTCTCTCACTATATTCTATTAACTAAGCCTTCTTCTAGCCATCGTAAGCCTTATTTTAGCCTCCCAAATGCATACAACCACAAATCGAGGCGACTCAAAGAATCGTCGACCCGAACTGTTGTTGACTCGAAAATTCGTAGTGCCCTATATTCAATATTCCCTCTTCGAACGGAATGCCAAATTTCTCAAAAGAAAATTCCAAGATTTTCCGTCTTTTGGCGGCGAGCGCGAAAAAAATTCGCATCTGTCTTGGAAAATTCCACTCCAAATTTGTGCCAAGTTTCATTAAAATCCCTGCGACGCACTTCGCCCTCTCCCCGCCGCCCCCGACACTCGCCCCGAAACAAAAACGCACACAAAAAAGAGCGCGCTGTTTCGGGGGCGAGCCAAAACGACGCACCACACGGGCGAACGTTTCTCCCGAAAGAGCGAGACGAACTCGCTTTTCGCCTCCAATTTCCTGCCGAGATCTCGAAAATCTTTGGGGGGAGTTTTTGCCCCAAAAAAATTCAACCCCAAATATGGTGTCGAAGTACGCCATTTATTTCGAGAAGCGGGATGGCCGGTTTTGGTGCAAGACCTGCAACTGGTCGGTGGAATATAAGCCCAAGGGGACTACGACGCCGCTAACGCGACATTTGCAACGCTTCCACAAAAAGTGTTTGATTTCGCGGAAAACGGATAGCTGGCAGCAAACGGACGAGTCGTGGAATATCGCGGAAAATGAGGTAGTTTAAAGCGCCTGGAGGGAAATTTTTTGATTTTTTTCGTCTTTATAACGACTTTGAATCCCTTTAGCATCCAAAAAATAGCAAATGTAAAGGGAAAACTGTCCAAAACTTTCTTGATTTTCCATTTCCAACTAATTTTAGGTAATAATTTTTTGCAAAATATACTCTGACGGCATTACTACAGTGACGGAGCTGATCCAGTGGCAAAAAACGTACCATTTTGCATCCGGGAAGTATCAAAAAATGTAGCAAAATACCTCACTCTCCAAGTAAAAAACTCCGTTTTGAAGGGCGCGCCCTTTCCCTCACAAAAAGCGCTTTTGAAATCGGAGTTTTTCACTTGGAGAGGGAGGTATTTTGCCACATTTTTGATATTTCCCGGATGCAAAATGGTACGTTTTTGCCACTGGATCAGGTCCGCCTCGGTAGACCCATAGATCTTGATGAAACTCGGCACAAATTTGGCTCTCAATTTTCTGAGACCTTCTATCAGAGTTTTAGATCAGGCTCGAACAAAAAATTTTCATTAATTTGGGACAGCTGATGCAAAATTTACTAAAATGTTTTCCAACCCAATTATTTTCAGAACGACACAGCCACGGCCCACATCACTGCCCAACAAATCCTCGGTGGATTTTTGAACAACGAACTCCTACAGATGATAAAGCCGGAAATCGAAACAGAATTGGCGCAACAACTGCTTCCAGAACTCGCAATTGCCGCAAAATTAGTGCTCGTAAGTTTGGTATCTTTTCGAAATGGAAAAGAATTTCTGTTGTCTTGAAAAGACCGGACAAAAGCTCAGAAAATGTCGCCAAATGCATCCAGGATACTTTTTAAATCCTTTTGCTTTCACAGAGATGCTTGTTAGACTTCTACAGGGCTAATTTTAAAGAGCAGACAGGATTTAGTGTCAGCCAACGTTCTCAAATGCATCCAGGATACTTTTTCAATACTTCCGTCCTCACGGAGCGCTTTGAAAAGTATCCTGGATGAATTTGAAGACGTTTTTTGGCATTGAGGTTTGTCCGGCAGTATAGACACCAGTCTGATCTTTCTAGTCGACAAAATGGTCGGAAAGAAATCAAAATAAGCCTGAATTTGGGCTCAAAAAGTATCACAAAGACACAACAACATATCATAGTTTTTTTGTCTTTTATGATACTTAAAAAAACTATGATATATTGTTGCGTCTTTGTGATACTTTTTGATCTCAAATTCAGGCTTATTTTGATTTCTTTCCGACCATTTTGTCGACTGGAAAGATCATAACAGATGTCTATACTGCCGGACAAACTCCAATGCCAAAAAAAACGTCTCCAAATTCACCCAGAATACTTTTCAAAGCGCTCCATGAGGACGAAAGCACTTAAAAAGTATCCTGGATGCATTTGAGAACGTTTGCTGACACTAAATCCTGTCTGATCTTTAAAATTATCCCTGTGGAAGTCTAACAAACATTTCAATCCACTATTCTTTCAGGCTGAATGCCCAAGTCAGCTCTCCCTGAACGAAGAGAGTCAAATCCTGCGTTCGGCCGTGAAATGTCACGTCTATCTCACTTCGAACGGAGAAACTTCTGCAATAAACTACCCCGAGGTGATCGACAACCACCAAACTCGAAATTCCCAACACCGTGCTCACTTCCTACAGTCTGTGGAGCAGTTTGAGCGGAATAATATTCAAATTCCGTCTAGTGAGATCAAAAAATTGGTCGAAGTTTTGTCACAACTCAATTTTACTGGCTTCCTCTTTCAAAAATTCGTTGATAAATAGTAATAAAAGATGTTAGTTGATGAGAATTTGACTGTACTACTCTAATTATGGCTTTTTCCTCATAAAACCACATGGAATATGAGAGAATGTTAAAAAATAAATTAAAAAATACCAATATTTACATATAAATCATCGAAAAATCATTGATTTGGGTCGTGAATTGAGCCGGCTGGCGCTTGAATCAGCTGAATAGGTTGGCCAGTCGGTGTTACATCGAAAACTTGGCCATTCATATTCACCTGGATCGGATGGGTAAAGTCAGTGTTGGGATCGCACTAAAATAAGGTCAGAAATGAAGAATTTAAGACAAAAATCTCACCATAATATATTGAACAGGGCCTTCTCCGTTAACAAAGTTGCCTTGCATCACTTCAGGCTGAAAAATTGGGATTTAAATTCGAAAAAATGAAAAAAATCAGCATACATGGCTAAATCAATGTAAAAACTTTGGTTTTAATAATTAAGACATATTTTAAAGGCTCAGAAAAATTTCAGAGACCCTCTGACATCTGGATAAGTAAACTGGACGGCTTTTCCAAACATTGAACACCCAACAGACCCAAAAAATTATATTATCCTAGAGGACCTAATTGCCGAAAGAAAAGTAAGCCTCAAAAGCCCTAAACTCACCGGCAGAACAAACTGCACCGGCTGGGAACCACTAACAGCAATGGCTTCTGACGTTGACGGACCCGCTTCAACCAACTCATGCGACGAATTATCTCCGGGGTTGGGCTTCTAAACCAATAACAATATAAAAAATGCCACTTACAATCGGCGCATTCGGATTCCTCGATCCCCGAGGGACAATGTCAATCAGAAAATCGAACATATCCGATTGAGCAACTGCATTGGAGATGTCCAACTTCTGAACGGTCTTTCGGCGATTTTGTTCGGCATGAAGCCACGCCCTGAGCGTAATCTCTTCGATAAGGAATTCACAGGCCTTGGCGATAAGAATAGGGCCTTCTCCACTTATCATCTAAAGAATCGAACAATAATTGAGATAAATCTTACCTGAGATCGAACTTGTTCGTCGATTTTCATAATTTTCTTGATCCGAGCAAGTGGAAGGTCGCCTTTCTTGGTCAATTCTCGGTATTCTTCCTAAAGATAAAATTTCAAATCAAAGTAGACGAACTTACAGTGCTGATGGCTTTGATTTTGGCCATTTTTTCCTTCCAGAAATTCTGAATCCTCGGATCCCGAGCGAAATTGTCAATTGGAGCTTCCTTCATAACAAAAATCGAAACAAAATCTTCTTTTCTAACTAGTTATACTTTCAATCACCTAATTACAGCCGGATCTTGTAGTGCGCATCTGTTCGGCTCAAAAATCCATCAAACGCTCTTTTATTTTTACACCTTTCATCGTATAGAATGTCGCTCCCGGGTCCCACCACGAAACGCCTGTTACGCCACTTGCAGTCTTTTCCATTGTAAAATTTGCTGGCAGTTCGTGAAGAGATATCTTGTCGTTGGCGACTAGAAGCGTCTTTTGTTGAATAATTGTCAGTTCAGCAACACAAATCGTCTAAAACATGGTAAGTGGTTGATTTTTTTTGTTTGTTTTGTGTATTTAGATGGGAACTACATGCTGTAAGTTCGATGAAGTGTGTCGAATATGACCATGTGTGTTTTTACTTTCTTGACGAGGTGTTTGACGTTTTCATTTGTCTAGTGAAAGATCTCTAATATTCCCTTCTTTTGTTAGTAAAATAATATGGGAACGCTGTTTTGGTGCTGTTTTTACGATTCTACCGGCTAAATTCTTTTTATTACTTTTGAAAAGACCTACTTGTTCTTTTATTATCATGTGTTTACTTCTGTTTAGCAGCAAAACTCTTATTTATATTGTTTTAGTCAGACACCACTCGCTCTCCTGGACGTACCGCCGCTGCTCGACCAGCTGGAGCTGGCGCCGTCCGTCAACGTCGGGCTGCCCCAACCTCCGGCTCATCCGGAACTGTGCGCACTCGAGCTCCTGCTAATTCCGCTGGCATGTGGAGATTCACAACTGAGGAGTCCACTGGATTGAAGATGTAAGACTTTTTTGTTTTTTTTCGTGGTTTAGGGGTTGAATACTGGAGTGGCCGCGATATCTTGGGTAGATTATGGATTAAGCGTTGTAATGGGACGAAGGTTTGATAGAATGTTAAAAACAAACCCCATTACGAACCTGATGTTATACTTGACCTCTGAGACAAGTCTTCCTTTTTTATTGGCAAAGAGTGGTACTTTTGATCCCAAAAGGCAAAGCTTCTGAACAAACCTGTTATATTCTTGTTTCATCTATCTTTTTTACAGCCTCCATGTCATTCCAACCTATTTTTATCATGATTTTTTTTTCAGCGGGCCAGTCCCAGTACTCGTTCTCAGCTTGGTTTTCATCGCTTCAGTGTTCGTTCTCCACATCTGGGGAAAATACACTAGAACCACGTCGAGCTAAATATTCCAGTCCTACAGAAAGTCTTTGGTTTATTAATGTATTTTATATAAGTTATTTTGTTTTTTGTATAATAAAAACAAACGTGATATTGTGCTAAATATATTTTTCTAAATAAATTGATCAACATGCAGAAAAAAGAGGCTATTTAGCTAGGTACTATATAGTTATTGCATTGCCAAAACTAAAAAAATGTCTAAATTTCCCGATTATATTACCCATGAGAGTGCAATGCAATAAAATATTACTTTCTCGACAGTTAAAATCGTGATATATAAACAATGGTAAAGGAACATTGATTCAGTGGAATAGTAGCACATACCAAATATTTGGCACAAAAATTGGGCGCAGTTTGCCTTTTCCACTGTCTTCCCGATTTGGTCCCGCCACGAAATCCCTGATTGGGCTGCGTGTTAGCCTAAACCCGTTGAAACGAAAAAAACGTACGATAGAATTTTATTTTCTTTATTTTTGCAAAACTGGTTGAAAAGTAGTGAAAACTAGTGCAATTTCCCGTGTATTTATGAAGTTTATCGTGCATTTTGTTCGTTTCGAGAAGCTGTATTACCCTTTGTCGTTTCAGGTTCAAAATGTTGATGCCAACGGCTGACCGACGAAAGATTTACGAGAAGTTGTTCGAAGATGGTGTCGCCATCGCCAAGAAGGACTTCCAGTTGAAATCTCATCCAGAAATCGAGGGTGTCAGAAACTTGTACGTGATCAAGGCCTGCAGAGTGAGTTTTTTATTAGTTTTTTGTTGTTTAGGTTAGTTGAAAACTTGAGGATAAATTGAAAATGGGGAAATTCCACCTCGAAATTGTTGTTGGCAAATTTTTTTCAATCTGTACATTTTAAAGCACGTGTTGAATTTGGTTTTACGAAGATTTGGAGACTATTACCAAGCCTTTTCGTAATTTTGTCTGAAAAAGGTATGAAAGTCTCCGGAAATCGAGATTTTGGCATTTGAACGATACTCTAGATCGTTCTTTTCCTTCTAGGGTCGCTTTCAAAGGTCGGACATTCTTTTCTAAACATTATTATCGAAAGTTTTATGTTGTACTAGGGCCAAGTTTAATTTCCTAAATTTTAGAGCTTGGCTTCCCGTGGATATGCCAAGGAACAGTTCGCGTGGAACCACTACTACTGGTACTTGACCGATGAAGGTATTGAGTACCTCCGCGACTACCTCGGACTTGCCGCTGATGTTATCCCACTCACCCACAAGACCCCCAAGACCGGAGAGATTCGTCAAGCTTTCGCCGAGAAGGCTGGACGCAGTGAGTTCTTTGCTTTTTGTTGGTGTGTAGGTCATTTGGCATCGTATATCCTGCCGGCGAGTAAATTTCAGTACTTGAGCTGGCGTGGAAAGCGGTGCAATATCGAAATTTTTGTGATTAGTTGCTATTATTTATTCTTCAATATAATTAGTGTAATTAATTCAAAAGACATACAAAATTAAAAAGAATTTTGAGATTCTTACCTTAATTTTGGATTACATTCCCCTTGATTTCAGCTGGATTCCGTGGAGACTCGGACCGCGCCCAATACCGCAACGACAAGGTCACCGAGGCCGGACCCGGCTCGCAGCCCGTCAACTACCGCGGTGGTTTCGGCCGTGGTGGTGCTCCTCAATAAGTTTCTTTTCCTTCCTTGTGGTTAACATAAAGAAGCCCACTGTTTATTGTTTGAATGGTTTATCATTGAATAAATTGTTGTTTTAACATGATATCTGAGGGAGAGAGAAATAAATCTTGTTTTTAGTTTATGAATTTAGATGAGTGATACGACAGAATTTGAAACGCAAACCTCAGATACGACTTTAGTGAGTCTAATAAAGTTGGACGCCGGCGAAGTTGCGAACTTCCTCAAAACCGTGAATTTTGGAGAAGTAAGTCCTCAAAAGCAATTTATTGTTGAGTTCCTTTAGTTTTTCACCTTGGTCTTCACCAAAGATGGGGTCAGAGTGGTCTCGGACGATGGAATCGACGAGCAAGGCAACTTTTACTTCCTGGCCGACTTCTTCGATTCCTTCGAACTGAAACGACCAGATGTGAGGGTCAGAGTTCACTCCAAGAAGTTGATTGTAAGCCAAAGTTTTAAGATTATTGTTCTGTCTTTAGAATGCCCACCAAATCTTCGGCCAGAAGACTAGCTACGATCTGCGCTGGATTCTCGAATCCAAAGATGACGATCTCTCGATTATGCTCCGATCAGATTCATTGTTGGCCAAACAAGCGGTCGCTACGTATGAATTGGTTCAGGCAAGTGGATTTTTAGAATGTTGTACTTGATGGAGAAAAAAAATTTGAAATTTTTGTCCATTCCATATTATTTTAGCTCCAAGACACGAAGGAAGTTGAGCCAGAAGACACAATCGTCCATGTTGAATTCCGAGACTCGAACTTTCTCCGCGAAATCATCCAAAATCTCGACAACACGGCTTCCATGGTGGAATTTGACTTTCGAACCAGCAAAATTATGATCAAAAGTACCAGCACGGTGCATCAGAAGGTATAATTTCCCATTTTTCAGTCTTCAAAATCCCTAAAATATAATCCTTGACTAAAATTTCGATATTATTTTAGACAAGTATCCGTTTCTGCCAAGAGAATGCCGACAAATTGCAGCTGATCACGCTGGCTGAAGGCGGGGTCCGCGTCTTCTATCGAATGGACCATATTAGGCATTTGGTGCAGTTTTTGAAGGTCACGAATCGAGTTTCGGTACTGATAAATGAGGATGGGGTCCTGAGTTTGCAAGGGCGATTGGACACCTTTGCCGCTGTCATGTACCTTCAGTTCTTTGTAAGATTTTTTTGTTGAGGTCGGAATTTGATAAGTTGAAGTCAATGGGACGAAAAATTGGCTTTTTAGGCTCTGCCGGATGTTGTTGTAGATCATGGAGAGCAAAAAAAATTTTTTTGCATTTTTTCGCTCGAAAATTTCTAGTTGTATCTCCTGTGATGTACTAAAATTCTCTATAAAAATTCGATTTTCTACATGCGGGATTAGAAAAGTTATTTCCAAAACCGTTTTTTTTTGTCTGACGACTCTCCTCATTTCCTATGCTCTCTCGGAAAAAAGATGGCTTAATATCTCCGTTGCGGACGGAACACTGCTGCTAAAATTTTCAATGATTGATAGATGGTCTATGCTGAGTATGTATGCAAAATTTGAAGGAAATCGGAGCGTTGGGCTCGGAGTACTTTCCTTTGTAAATTATGCTGGTTTTTGTTGACCGGCAAGATTAAAAAGGAAAGTGCTCAGCGAGTTACTCTTCGATTTCCTTCAAATTCCGCATGCTTACTCGGTATAGACCACCTATCAATCACTGAGAATTTTAGCACCGGCGTTCCATCCGCAACGGAGATATTAAGCCATCTTCTTCCCGAGAGAGCATAGGAAATGAGGAGAGTCGGCCAGACGAAAAAACGGGTTTTGGAAACAACTTTGCTAATCCCGCATGTAAGAAATGAATTTTTGTAGAGAATTTTAGTACATCACAAGGAATACAACCAGAAATTTTTGAGGGAAAAATGCAAAAAAAATTTTTTTTTTTCATTTTTTTTTCTCCATGATCTACAACAATGTCCGGCAGGGCCTAAAAAGGCTATTTTTTGGGCCTAGTCGATTCAACTTATCGTTCACCCAAAAAATCTTGATTTTTTCGATGAAATTTTAATGATTTTTGGCCTGAAATTTTTGGATTGGAGTAATCAAGAATTTTTTTTTGATTACATTGAGCATTTCCAGGTGAATCGCTTCATCCCCGACGAAGGCGAAGAGGATCCGGATGAAGGCCGAATCAAACTGCGGGAAATGCCTCAAGAAGTGAAACAGGAGCGAGATGAGGATGAAGTTGTGGTTGTGAACGAGCGTCTGGCCTTGAGGACCACCGAAAGTAAGGATAATATAAAATTTTTGTTGATAAAATTTAGATTTTCCTCTTATTTTGATCTAATTTCAGATCCAATTGCCGATCCCGCTATTCGCGAGTTCTTCGATCGTATCCATCTTCGATAACCATGTTCATACTGTAAATTTTTCGAACTTTTAGACCGCTCAACTTCAAAAAATCTCAAATTTTAAAAAATTTTAAGGGTTTCATTCACTTTTTTATTTTATTTTTTTCTTTTTTAGGCAGTGAAATTTACGTGCTTTTTGATAAAAAAATTTTTTGAACACTTGTTTTAGTTTCGATTTGAACTTTTAACTTTTTCAAAGTTGCTCTGGCTTTTGATTTTTTACCGAGAACTCACTTTTTTAATTCGAAAATTAGTCCAAATTTTATGACTGTAAAAAAATTCCTGAAGTCCCTTTTGACTTTCCGAAATGAAACAGGAGGTGCACAAAGGAGCATTTTTCGTAGTTTAAAAGGACACAGTAATTCCCACAAATTTTCCTTGGCGGTACGACTTTTTTGAGGGCCGATGCTTTGGATCGCCTCGAATCGTTGTCTTTTGAAAAATTGTAGGGTTGGGTAAAAAAGCTGGTCACATTCGCATACTGGCCGACAAAACTTTCTTTTCACCTGGATCTCGGGAACCGCCGGGCCTACAGTGGCGGACCTGATGCAGTGGCAAAAAACGTACCATATTGCATCCGGAAAGTATCAAAAAGTGTACCTGTCGGGAAAATAATGAGCACAATGTCGCTGCGCCAATCGAATTAAAAAAAAAAATTGATTTTCTCCGCGACACAATTCATTTTCTCGGCGGCGATGTGATTTTCGATCCGACTGAGTGCTCATTATTTTTCCCGACAGACCCTGACGCATCATTTTGCATCAGGGAGGGTATTATGTCAAAAACGGGATAAAAATTTCTTCCACCTTGAAGAAACCTCGACCAGGGGCCAATGCGCTATCTGAAAGTTAGCTGAAAATGGTGGGGCGCAGCTCGGAAAGGTTTTTGAGCATTACTTTCTACTTTAGCGATGCGATTTTCGATTCAACAGAGTGCTCATTACTTTCCCGACAGATCACCCTATAATTTTGTTCGTTACAGCGTGTTTTGTCCTACACTGGGGCCAATGCCTGAAAGTTTGCTGAAAGTTTGCTGAAAATGGTAGGGCGCAGCTCGGAAAAAGCTGGCACGGGCGCGGCTCACATCTCGGGGGCAGCTCGGAAAACAAGCTTTCGCAGCTCGCCGGAGCTAAGTTTGAGCTTGTTTTCGAGCTGCGCCCAAGACGCGAGCTGCGCGCGTGCAAGTTCTCCGAGCTGCGCCCTATCATCATCAGCTAACTTTCAGCAAACTTTCGGATAGGGCATTGGCCCCAGTATAGGACAAAACCCCCCTATAACGAACAAAATTATAGGGTGATTATATCAGTCTGTCGGGAAGTAATGCTTCTGGAGACAAAAAAACCCACATTATTTTCCCGACAGCTTGGTATCAGTGTGTCGGGAAAATAATGTGGATTTTTGCGCTTTAGGTGAGCCCAATATCTCTCTGTGAGTAGTCTTCTGGGGACAAAAAACCCCAGATTATTTTCCCGACAGACGGATATTTTCTGGTCCACATTATTTTCCCGACAGCTGGTATTTTCCCGCTTCTGTTGAACACAAGATTTTCGCGGCCCCCCAAAAACCATGTCAGCTTCCAGTGGGATTGAATTGCATAGGTGTGTGCACTACTATATTAAGGTCAGTTGTTGACTAATCAAACAACAAACCGCAGGGTATAAAAAAATATAGAAGAAAGGGAGAGGGAGGTTGTCGGAACTGTTAGTTATGTCTCGTTTTTTGTTTAGTTTTTTTGTGTTTTTACGTCCGTTATCTGTAGAGGTTTGCTTCCGACACAATTTTCTCGGCAAGGTGGTCGCAAATATTGATGGCGGAAAAGTGCAATCGACAAGGGAACTGATTATTATATGACCCTGTTTTTGGTCGAAAAAATGCGAAAACACCGGGCAAAGGCCAGAAATCAATTCATGAAAGTTTTAGCCAACGCTTTGCAGCGGCAGCCGAGATATTCAACAATCTTTGCCGCCGAGCGAGTACGCGAAGCGCGGAGAGCGGTCACAGAAAAAACAACAATTTTTGGCCGTATCTTTGCAAGTTTCGTGCGGAAAAATATGATTTTTTGTGGAACCATTACACTCAATGGTAGAAATTGACACTAGACTTTTCATGCCAAAATTCGCAAAAAAGAGTCAAGTTTTTCCAACTTTCGACCTAAAAATCTCGGTCGTTTCTGCAAATCGCAAGCTAGGAGTGTCGAATATGTCTCAGAAATAAAATTAAAAATTTAATAAGAATTTAGAGAATTTAATTTTTTCTGGTCTTATAAGATGTACAGGATACTCCAAGTGCGACGCTCAGATTTTGATGAAACCTGGGGACAAATTCAGAATAACTTTTTCTAACAATACATATGTGAGACTCATAGCTCGCGCTTTGCAGAAACGACCGAGATTTTCAACTGGAAAGTTGGAAAAATATGACACATTTTTTGCGAATTTTGGCAAGGAAAGTTTTATTGTTTATTTCTACCGCATAGGGTAATGTTTCCACAAAAAAAAACAATTTTTTCCGCGCGAAACTGGCAAAGATACGGATAAAAAGTGTTTTTTTACTCTGACTACTCTCCGCGTTCCGCGTACTTTTTCGGCCGCAAAGATCTTTGAATATCCCGGCTATCCCTGGAAAACGCGGGCTAAAACTTTCAAGAATTGATATGTTTTCCTACTAGTCGTTCCAGAAAGTGCGTAGACTTTTTTCCGCCTTTTTTCGGACCGCACAGTGCAAGTTTCCTGTTTCCCACGCGACGCGATCCTTTTTGAAACATTTTGCACTGTGCAATTTCAAAAAAGTCGCGCCGGCTCCCTTGAGAAAAGCTTGTGTCGCAGCGATAGTGCACTTCGGTGCAAAAGGTCAAATGCACCCCGCAAAAAGGGAATTTTATGCACAGTGCGGACCGCGACAAAAAGTCTACGCACTTTCTGGAACGACTAGTATGCTGGGATAGTGTGAAAAATGTAAAGAAAATCTGGGCGTCAAACCTGGAAGTCTTCTCTTGTTGGCCCGCTCCTACACTGACGGACCTGATCCAGTGGCAAAAAACGTACTATTTTGCATCCGGGAAGTATCAAAAAATGTAGCAAAATGCCTCCCTCTCCAACAAAAAAAAAACTCTTTTTTGAAGGGCCCTCACAAAAGGGCATTTGGGAGGCTAGAAGAAGGCATACGATGGCTGGAAGAAGGCTTAGTTAATAGAAATAATAAGATTTATCAGCTCCTAGGATAGTTTATTTCCTATTTTGAGGTATTTTACAGGTCTTACTGTAATAATATTCCGATAAAACAGACCTGATCCGGTGGTAAAAAACGTACCATTTTGCATCCGGGAAGGGTCAAAAAATGTAGCAAAATACCTCCCTCTCCAAGTGAAAAACTCCAATTTCAAAAGCGCACCCGCTTTTTTTGCGAGGGCCCTTAAAATCGGAGTTTTTTCACTTGGAGAGGGAGGTATTTTGCCACATTTTTTGATACTTTCCGGATGCAAAATGGCACGTATTTTGCCACTGGATCAGGTCCATCGCTGTAATATAACTTCTCGCTCTATTGACCACTGCCAATTTTGTCATCTAAAAAATGTCACGTTTGTTTTTGTTTTCCATTCTCACTACAGTAATCATCGAGGTCTCTGGTCCAAAAATTGATCTCAAAACTTTGCTCGGCGTACCGTAAACTACATGCTCATAGTGCTTGTTGACTGACACCCGCCCGTTGACACCTCACGTCAACAGCTTGTGACTGCAAGCGGGCTTATCAGTTTCACACTTTGGGCATTAAAAGCGATGAAAAAAGCGTTGACGTTAGCTTTTCAGCGAACACTCCTCGTTGGCGGCGCGCTGAACAGTCGGAAGAGCGTGAGGTGTGCGCTTTTGGTCTTGGTGGAGTATATGGTTTGGAGATTTTTGAGCTTTTTCATGGTGTAGTATGCTATAGTAATACTAAAATTTTCATAAAGTACGAAGACTTTTTTCGCATTTTTTTCGTTTTTGCAATGGGAAATATCAATTTTTGAATAGTCAAATGCACAGTGCGGAAAAGTTGTGACGAAAAGTCTACGCACTTTATGGAACGACTAATACTAAAATTATAATTTTTCGCTTCGATTTTGTCAAAAATTGAAATAAAATAAAAAAAAAATTCATATAAAAAGTACTCCAACTGCGAAGCTCAGATTTTCTTTAAATCCTGCACACACGTCGGGTATGGAGTAAATATCAATTCCTGAAAGTTTTAGCTCGCGCTTTGCGGGCGCCGCCGAGAGAGCACGCTAAACGTGGAGAGCGGTCAGAGAGAAAAGCGCTTTTTGGCCATAACTTTGGCTAGCGTAGGCCACATATCAATCCCTGAAAATTTCAGCTCACAGCTTACACTGAGAGCCGAGATATTCAACGATCTTTGCGGTCGAGAGAGTACGCGAAACGCGGAGGGCGGTCAGAGAAAAAACAGGACTTTTGGCCGTATCTTTGTCAGTTTTGCATGGAAAAAATTGATTTTTTGAGGAAATAGTACCCTTTATGGTATAAATACATATGAAGCTTTTCGTGGCAAAATTTGGAAAAAAAACCACTTTTTTTTCAACTTTTTTTTAAAAATCTGGTTCGTTTCTGCAAAACGCGAGTTAGAAATTTCACATATGTTTTTAAAAAAAATTGTTCTGAATTTGCATCAAGTTTCATCAAAATCTGAACGTCGCATTTGGGGTAATTCCCTTGTGAAACTTATATTTATGTTAGGTTGTCGGGAAAATAATGTGCATTCGTCGCGCTTTCGAATCGCTTTGAGACGGCTAATGCGCGACTGTGACGACGGGAGATATTTTTGCGACAAATCCACATTATTTTCCCGACACAACGGTATAAAAATTCAGGTCAGTCTGTCGGGAAAATAATGTGAATTTTTTGCAGCAAAAGGCCTCGCTTCTTCGCGGTCGCGCACTAAATCTTTTGGCAAGGCTTCACAAAGCGATGATAGGAAATTTGAAGCCGTAAAAAATCCACATTATTTT